TCACGAGAGCCCTGTAGTGGGCATGTTTCCTTCCTTCGGCTTTTGCTGGGAAGCCTTACAACATCAGAACCAGGAGGGACTGGTTTTTCGAGATGAGCCGGACCTTGAAGGACTTGAAATTTGGTGAGCGCTCCTAGAAGCAGCGTGCTCCGTCCCGGGGGCCTGGGGCCCAGCGCGAACTTGGGAGGAGCTGCGGTGTGTGCTGTGCTGCCCCCGGGCCTGGAGGGGAGACCTTCGCGTGTCCATGCCACCACCCTCGCCGTGCCCCCCGCAGCCGCACCCCCACTCCAGGGGGCTGGGAGATGGTATAGGAGGCGGCGTGCTCTGTGTCATTGGTCCTTGCTCACACTGGACCCAGCCTATGTTCCATGGCCTCCCTCATCTGCTGGCCTCCAGCGGGTCTGCCCCGCGGCATTGGGAACATTCTGGTCAGACCTGCTCTCAGTGGGGGCATGTTGCCAGCACTGTGGGGGGCTGAGCAGCGGCCCCAGACCCCACACCTCAATGCCAGGAGCACCCCAGTCATGACAACCACACATGTCCCCAGACACTGCCCAGTGTCCCCTGAGGGGCAGGATGGCCCCGGCGAGAACCACTGGGTGGTACCTGGAGTGAGAGCGTCTTTGCTGAGTGCTCAGTGGGCGGAAGCCGTGTGAGCAGCACACGGCGGGGCTGGGAGAGCTCGGGGCTAGCGGGGGGCTGCAGAGGAGCTGGGCTCCACTCCGTGACCGCCAGGGGGAATCGGGGCCCTGGATAGGCGAGGAGCGGAACATAGCCAGTGCGTGGGAGGGCAGCCCTGGGTGTTCGGTGACCTCTGACCCGTACAGACCAGCTTTCACTGCATGGCGACCTCATCATTGTCCTCTGAGATGACTGGGGCGCTGCCCGTCTCCCAGAAGAGCGGGCTCAGGGCTTGGAAGCTTGTGTGAGGCAGTGGCCTGGGGTGGGTCTCCTGGCTCCTCATCCTGGGGGCCACGTTGGAAGAAGAGGAGACCCCCTTCTTAAAGGTTTGCTTGGTGGGAGGGCAAGTCTGCCAGTGCGGTACCCAGTGGAAGGGACAGTGGCAGCGAGTGGCCGATGACTCCTGCCCCCCTCACGTGACCTGGACGCCAGCCTGCCAGTCAGCAGGGCGAGCTTGGGGCCAGGGAGGCGCTCACTGCTGCCTTCCGGCTCTGTCTTGGGCTCGGCCTGGGGGTGCGGGGGGCCCTTTCCGCAGCAGCCCGTGGACAGTCCATGCTCCAGACTGCTCGCTAACACGAGTCGCCGCGGGCTCTCGGGTGTTTCCTTAGGAAGTTCTCAAGTGTGCAGTGAAGGCGGCTGAACGCGGGGTGCCCTGCCAGCCGTGCCCCGCCCCTGGGCCGCAGCGGGGATCCAAGAAGTGCGAGCTTGCCCGGGGAAGCATGGCTCCTTCCTCTCCCGGCCCGCAGCCCCTGTTCCTCTCCGCACGCTGACCCGTGCCGCTGGCTTTTCCCTCCGAAAGTAGCTTGTTGGCTCGGAGCTGCACTCATGTGCGTGGGGCCCGCTGGCCCTCCCACTGCCCTGGCCGCTGCCCTGTGCCCCGGTGGGGACAGGAGCCTCACGCCATTGCATCAGCACTCGCCTTCTCCACACGCAGCCTGCACGAGCGTCCTTGTACACGTGGCTTTGCACACACGGGGCTATTACAGGCGGATTCTTAGAAGCAGAGATGCCGCATGGGAGAGGATGTGCGTTTTAAATTTGGAAGGCGACTGCCAAGTTGCCTTCCTTGGAAGTCGGGTTTCAGCTCCTGCCAAGAGCGCATGTGCCTGTTGCTCCGTTCACGGGGGCGGCCGGGGGCGTCAGGGAGTGCAGGGCTCGGTGCTGGGGCCCTGCTGCCCTCCAGCCGTGCCGGGGTGGGCATGAGCGCACCCACCACCTCCCATGGCTGGCCGGTATCATACGCCCCCACCCCCAACTTGTCTTGTTTTTTAAATAAAATCATCTGTGGTCTGTCTCATCTTGCGGACACTTCTGGTTTCTCTTGGGCCCTGCCGTCCGTGCAGCACATCAGCCTTGCCAGCTTCCTGGGGAGTCACCTGAGGACACAAGCGTGGTGGCCTTGCTCTGTGAATAGGGGGCTCTGGTTTCCATCAGAACCAAGTTCACCTGGGCTGAGAGGTTTAGAGCCGTTGCTGAAGCCCTCGTGCCCCTCAGAGTCCCACTGTCCCTGAGCAGCCCTGCGTGGGGAGAGCAGGGGAGGGACATCTCTTGAGCATTGGGACTGAACATGGCCTTCACCGGGCTCCCCAGGGCTCACTGCCTGGGCGGCGGCAATAGGCTCCAGTCAGGGCAGGCCAGGGTTGACTCTGCACATAGGCCGGGGCCGTCAGCTGCCTCTCTCACCCTTGTTTCATCTGTGTGGTGGAGAGGACAGCTGACTGGCCCGACTCTGGCAGAGTACCCAGGAGGGTAGAACTTAGCAGAACGGAGCCATTATCGCTGCTCTTTGTGTCCCTGTCCTCTTCCTTCCCTGACACAACCCCCCCGGGGGAGTCTTGGTTCTCACAGCGGTCGCTGGCCTCCTGGAGCTCAGCTCCGGTTTGCATGTGGCCCAGGCTCACCCGGGGGGAACCCCCATCCTCTGAGTGGGCATCTCCAGCCTGGACACAAACTCGTGTGGCCACACGGCCCAGGAGTGGTCCCTGTGGTGACGGCACACGGGGTACATACTGGGGCAGGCCAGTAGGTGGACTGGGAGCTGGATGGGAAAGGGCCTCACCCCCAGAGAAGTGAGGGAGGCTAGAGGGACACAGCCCACTTCCGGACTCTGCTCTGTGACAAATGGGCTGAACCAGTCCAGGTACCTCTGCCGGGGCATACAGTGTCCATGTAGGGTGGAGGGCGATTGCCAAGAAGGGGGTGGCTGCTCCCCTAGGTATACCCCAGAGGGAGGGCCTCAACCCCGCTTCACTCAAAGCAGGAGGCCTGCTGTGTGGCCCTGTGGGGATGATGGGGCTGGGGGAGCTCGGGAACCCCAGGCCCTGGGAGGAAGGGCCCGGGGGCAGGTGGGCACCCACGTCAGGCCTCTGGGCAGGAGCCCCTGTCCATACCCCTACATAACACAGGGCCTTGCTGCCCCGGCTCAGCCATCATGGGTTCACATGCGTGTGAACGTGGTGCACGGTATGGGGCACACCATGGCGACTAGTGGCCGCACACATGTTCCTCCAAGTCCAATCCAGCTGGTTTGTTTTTGGCTGAGTGTCTGGCTTTGGGCCTGGACCACGCCAGGCCAGCGCTCTGTGTCCCCTCGTGGCAGGTGAGAGTCAAGGACTCTGGGCTTATGCTGGTCCTTCAGCCGTGTGCTGTACCCGGTCTCTCTGCCACAGGCCCGGGAACCTGCAGAGAGGCCCTTCGGGGATGTCAAAAGTGGGGCTCAGGCAGGTTGGCCTGACTATCTTCTTGTGCGGCCAGAGCTGGAGAGGTGTGAGTGGTGGACCCCCAGGTCTGTCCCTTCCCAGGTGACACGAAGCTAGTACTCTCCTCGGGTGTCTTTGTTTGAAGAATTTATTCGAAAGTAAGCGAGAGAATAAGCAGAGGGAGGGGCAGAAGAAGAGGGAGAAGCAGGCTCCCTGCTGAGCAGGGCGCCTGACACAGGACTCGGTCCCCTGACCCCGGGATCATGACCTGAGCCGAAGGCAGACACTTAACTGAGCCCCCCGGCCGCCCTCGGGTGTCTTCGCAAGGGCACGTGTTCTCTCTGGTCTGCCCTGTCTCTACGGACGGGACCCTCTGGGGAGCCCCCGTAAGTGGGATCCCTCAGGATGGGCCCCGGGTTTGGCTTCTCTCCCTGAGCGTGGGTCTTCCAGGTGTGCTTATGGTGTGGCAGGGGTCGGACTGCCCTTTCTTGTCAAGGCCGAATGACGTTCCGGCGTGTGGAGGGACCGCACCGGGTTTATCCTTCTCTGGGGGTGGACACTTGGGAGCCCGTCTCCTCGGCTGTCCGGAGTCATGTTAGTGCGGACGCTGGAGGGCTTGGCGGGGTGTGGGTCTGCCTTTCCTCCAGGGCATATACCTAGAAGTGGAATTCCTGGGTCCCCGGGCTCTGTGTGTGTGTGTGTGTGTGTGTGTGTGTGTGTGTCTGTGAGAGACACACACACGCACATACACACACACAAAGAAGCTCGTGGGCTCGGGGTGGGGCTTGTGCTTCGTGGGGACAGAGTCTCAGTTTGGGAGGGTGAGAAGGTTCTGGAGCTCGCTCTGGAGCCGAGGGTGTTTGCAGCACAGCGTGAGTGCTCGACACCGCAGAGCTGTGTGCTTAAAGCCGTTCCGACGCTACATGGTTTTTTGTTTTGTTTTGTTTTTAAGATTTTATTTATTTACTTGAGAGACAGAGATCACAAGTAGGCAGAGAGGCAGGTGGGGAGAGAGGGGGAAGCAGGCTCCCCGCCGAGCGGAGCGCCTGACGTGGGGCTCGATCCTAGGACCCTGAGACCATGACCTGAGCCAAAGGCAGAGGCTCAGCCCACTGAGCCACCCAGGCGCCCCTGACACTCCGTCTTCTGCTGCGTGTCTCTTACTGTGATTTTTTCCTTAAACACAGCTGTGGACCTCCGCAGGGTGCTGCACTTCAGAACTCATAAACTTAGAACTTTGGGCCGGCTTCTGCTTTTCAGTTGGTCCTTCCCTGTCAGGGCCGCAGGGCTCCAGCCGGAGTAGCGGGGATGGTGACTGTGAGCGCTCAGGGAGTCTGGGGTGGAGAGCGGGCATGCCGCAGGAAGCTGCCGTCCTCTGAGCAGCCCCTGTGCTGGGCTCTGTCCCCCACATCCTTGCTCCGGCCTCGAGGCTCTGTGGAGCCCCCAGGGGAGGCACGGCTGGCAAACGTTCCGCATTGGTTTCTGGAAGCACCCCCTGGCAGGGGGCCTGGCGTGTGGCCCGGTGGTGAGGAGCACCCTTCTCCCAGAGGTGGCCGCCTGCTCCCCCTTGTGCTGGACAGCGCTCAGCCCTTTTTTCCCTCCATGTGCTCCTCCTTCTAGAACATTCTTCGGCTGCCTCCTCTCTTCTCACTCCTCTTCCGAGAAGCCTTCCGAGCGGAGTTGAGCACAGTGGGAAGTGGGTGTGAGCTCTGCCACGTGGTGCTGTTGAGCCCTGCCCGCTGTGCACACAGGCCAGCAGGGTGAGGACTGTGGCCACCCGCCCCCCGTCTTGCTCTAGGACACAGAGGCTTCCCCATTCAGGGAGGAACCCATGCTGGGACCACTTGAGACCTTGTCCAGCCCCCCATCTCAGGGCTGGGTGTGGTCAGGGGGCAGCTTGTGGCCTCAGAGGGTCTGAAGCAGGAAGCGACATGGTGGGCTGCGTGGCTTGGAGGGGTGGCCCTGGGGCGAACTCCATGGCCCAGAGACAGATGAGAGACTTGCACTAACCAGGACAAAGGCCGGGGGGGAGCCCCGGTCCTCTCCGTCCCAACCCCCTGTGGCCTCCATAGCCTGTGGGGTGCACCAGGCCCCCACCTCAGTTCCGAGGAGGGAGGCCCTACATGATGGGGGGGGGTCCCGGCCGTCAGTGTGGAGTTCTCAGCGGCCGCCAGGCAGTGGTGGGGGCTGCTGCCGTTGGTGCTGATCCTGGTCTTGCCCTTCCTGCCCCAGGCTGACTTTGGCCAGCTGACCTTGGCCGGCGGGCTGGGCCTGCCCTGTGTCGCCATGGACCAGGACTACGAGCGGCGTCTCCTCCGGCAGATCGTCGTTCAGAATGAGAACACCATGCCCTGCGTGAGTTCCTGGCGCCCCACCCCAGCCGGCACTGGCCTGGCACTGGCCTGGCTCCATGCGGGGGATTGGGGCGAGGCTTGGGGCGGGGACTGCGGTGAGCCTCTGGCTCCACCTCCTAGAGGACGGAAGGGGGTGGGGGTGCAGGGTGGGGGAGGGGCACAGCCACACCAGCGAGTCCCCTCCTCCGGCTTCCCACGCCCTTCCTGCTGCTGGAGCCCGCGTGGACCGTGGACCATCAGCTTCCAGACCTCTGTTCCTGTGGGGCCGCACTGAGGGCTGAGGAGGGGGGCGGGGGAGGTGCTCTCAGTTTCCAGAGAGGGAGGCAAGGGGCCCAGTGTCTCAGACCTGTGGGCTGGCCTGACTGCGCACAGCTGTGATGGTGGCATGAGGGGTCCCGGTCCTTATCTGCTGGAAGCCAGCAGCATTTGGGGGTGCCTCTTCCCTGTACCCCACCCGGTCCGCCATGCTGCCTGTGTCCCGGGCTCCTGACATGTCGCAGGCCATGCTCGCTGCTCCTCTCTGCGTTCTCTGAGCTCCACAGGCTGTCGAGGCCCTTGGTGTCTCGGGGCAACGCTCCTTCTGGGGGTCCTGTGGGGGAGTCCTTCCTAGGACTCCTGGTGTGGCCGGCAGTCCCTGGTTTCAGGGCCAGCCCTCCCGTCTCTGCCTTGTCTTCGTGTCCCCTTCACTGTATGTCAGCGTCTCTGGGTCTTAGGAGGACACGGGACATGGATTTGGGGCCTGTCCCTCTCCAGTGTGGCCGTCTTAACTGGCTTACACCTGCGAAGACGCTGTGTCTGAGTAAGGTCACATCCCGGTGCCGGGGTTAGAGCTTCAGCGTGTCCTTTTGGGAGACATGGTTCAACCCACTGCACATCTCATATGGGGAAAAGGGGGTGGGCCGGTTTGCCGGGAGCTGAGCCCCCACATCCACTGCCCGGCTCTGGTGAGGGAGTCGTGGTTCCACAGGGAACCGTCCTGGCCTGAGGGGGATGGCCCTGATGGGGCGGTGGCTCTCAGCGCACAGGGCGTCCAGGGTCCGGGGTCCGCACTGTGCTCTTTCCCGCCACCTGCGATGACCGGGAAACAGATACAGCCCTGTGGCCGGTGCAGGCGCTCCCCTCTCTGCCGCTCCTGGAACAGGGAGGCCAGACCAAGCACGTGGCTCACTCACCGGCTTACCGCTGCCGCCGGGATTTCTAGAACCGATGCCTGGCTCAGTGACCAGAGGCCAAGTGCAGGGAGGCCGGCCTCGGCCCTGCACGCGGCAGGCTCTGAGGCACCTGCACCGCCTGCCATCCTTGCAGGTCGCGGAGATGCGGCGAACCCTGACGCCAGCCAACTCTCCCGTGTCCTCTCCCAGCAAGCACGGGGACCGCTTCATCCCCTCCAGGGCCGGTGCCAACTGGAGCGTGAATTTCCACAGGATCAATGTGAGGGGTTGCCCAGAGGGCGGCGGCCGGGGCAGGGGCCGGGGGGAGCAGGGGCCCCAGAGGCTCGCTCCAGCTGGCCCTGCCTCCTCCACCCCCCTCTCCCGCAGGAGAATGAGAAGTCCCCCAGCCAAAACCGGAAAGCCAAGGATGCCACCTCAGACAATGGCAAAGGTCAGGAGTCAGGCCACCCGTGCCCCTGCCCCCACGTCCATCCCCCCCGCCCCCCCCCCGCCCCTCCGTGGCTCACAGATCCCGCTGTCCACAGACGGCCTGGCCTACTCTGCCTTGCTGAAGAACGAGCTGCTGGGAGCCGGCATCGAGAAGGTGCAGGACCCGCAGACGGAGGACCGCAGGCTGCAGCCTTCCACGCCCGAGAAGAAGGGCCTGTTCACGGTGAGCCGGCAGCCCGCGCCACACCAGGCCACCCGGCTCGGCCCCCGCTCGGCCCTCCTGCGCCCAGCTGGGCAGACACGTAGCCCCACGCCACGAGCTGAGGCTTTGCTCTCTCGCTGCCCTGAAGGCAGCTCTGGGGCAGGGGCCAAGTGCGCAGTCCCGAACCTCAGCGTGGCCCCAACACAGAACTCGAAGGAGCCTGGCTTGGGTCTCCCAAGAGATGGCCGGGGGGCTGGTGGCCGTGGGGACAGCGGGGAGGCTAACACAGGCAAGTCACTGTCCAGACAATGCCTCAGGCCTGAGGCCTGGTTTGCTTTTCGGAATCCCTCTCCCCAGAGCTCGTCCGGGTTCCGTGCGCACCCCGCACGCCTGCCCGGCCTCTAGCAGCGCAGGGTGCACCGGGGCTCCGGGCAGGAGCTCCCTGAACTCGGGCTGAGGCTCCGCTCACCAGGTCCCCCCCACCCCGCCTCCAGTATTCCCTCAGCACCAAGCGCGCCAGCCCTGACGATGGCAATGACGTGTCTCCCTACTCCTTGTCCCCAGTCAGCAACAAGAGGTGAGTCTGGGCCTGTGGGCAGGGACAGGGCTGGGACAGGGCTGGGACGGGGCCAGGCTGGCAGCCAGGTGCCACCTGGGAGCCAGGGTTGGGCCAAGACCTGTGCCTGGGATGCAGGAGAGTCTCAGGGGGTGTCCCGCACTGGGGACACTCTGCAGGCTCAGCGGCTTTGGGCCCAGCAGGGGAGTCAGGGAAGGCTCCTGAGGAGGTGCTGGGCGGAGGGCCTGGTGTGGCTGTCAGAGCCTAGGGAGAATGGTGGCCGCTGGGTCGCCTGTAGCCTCGGGATCACGTGGGCGGCAGAAAGCAGGGCCGGATGAGCAGAAGACCCCGTCGGGCCGGGAGGGGGCACGTGGGGCTGCCGGGGAGAGGAGACGGCGGCTGCTTTAGGGCGGGGGGCGGGCTCTCCCTCCCTGCAGTCAGAAGCTGCTGCGGTCGCCACGGAAACCCACCCGCAAGATCTCCAAGATCCCCTTCAAGGTCCTGGACGCCCCAGAGCTGCAGGACGACTTCTACCTGAACCTGGTGGACTGGTCGTCCCTCAACGTGCTCAGCGTGGGGCTGGGCACCTGCGTGTACCTGTGGAGCGCCTGCACCAGCCAGGTGGCCCTGCTGCACGCGTGGGGGCGGGCGCAGGGGCGGGCAGGACCGAGCTGGCCCGGCACTGCTGAGGGGGCCACCCGAGTAGTGCCGGGGTTCAGGACCTGCAGGGCAGGACGCTGGTGCGCTTGGGGTGGGCCGTCTTTGGGAGTAAAACGCAGGCGGATTCCAAACGAGGCACATGAAGCCGCCTCAGAAAGGGCTGTTCCTGTGCTCGAGGCAGCCTGTGGCCTGCGCCTGCCGCACAGCGCCCTGGTCACCCGAACACCCCCGCCCCACCCCCCCGTCCAGACTCCGTGCACACCGTCGTCCCTATGCTGGTGTGTGTCCCCTCCCAGCGTGCAGCCTCCTGAGCCCCGGCTCTCAGCCCCGACACCCATGCGCACAGACCTGAGGTGTCCCCGAGCGAATGAACAGGGACAGACGGGGATGAACGGATGGGGCGGGCCTCGGAGGCCAGGCGGGCAGCGCGTCAGCTCACACCGCCGCTTCCTCTCTCCCCCAGGTGACCCGGCTCTGCGACCTCTCCGTGGAAGGGGACTCGGTGACGTCTGTGGGCTGGTCTGAACGGGTCAGTACATGATCCCGGACCCCAGCTAGGCAGGGCTGGCACGGGGGAGATGTGACCCGTCTCGCGGGCGGGGGCCCTGCACAGTGCTACGGGGGCTTCAGAGACCCACAGGGGCCAGGCCCCAGCTTGGCGGTCACTTGTCTAAGCTCGGGGAACGGCCTCGGCACTCCTGCCTGTCCCCAGCCTGGTCGAGATGGTTACTCCTCCCGAGAGATACGAGGCCAGATGTGGTCCCCCGTGGACTGCCCTCCTCACGGCCACAGCTGGCGCGGCAGCCACACGTGGAAGCACACAGATGCTTAGTGCGTCAGCTAGGGTGCTCATGTGGCCGTTTTCCCAGTGGGTTCTGAGGACGGCCGTCCTCCTGGCCCAGAGGGACTCGCAGAGAAGTGGCACCTCCCCCAGAGGGAGAGGAGAGTCAGGGCTGCCCATCGGGGAGAGGGCCTGACGCCCGCTCCCTTCCCTGTGTGATCGGTCCTAGGGGAACCTGGTGGCCGTCGGCACGCACAAGGGCTTTGTGCAGATCTGGGACGCGGCTGCGGGGAAGAAGCTGTCCATGCTGGAGGGCCACACGGCCCGCGTCGGTGAGGAGCCACCCAGTCCCTGGGGGACAAGTGTGATTCCTGGGGGGCCAGGCCTCAGCCTCCCTTGCCCTCTGCCCGGCCCACAGGGGCGCTGGCCTGGAACGCCGACCAGCTGTCGTCTGGGAGCCGGGACCGCATGATCCTGCAGAGGGACATCCGGACGCCGCCCCTGCAGGCCGAGCGGCGGCTGCAGGGCCACCGGCAGGAGGTGTGTGGACTCAAGTGGTCCACGGACCACCAGCTCCTCGCCTCAGGAGGCAACGACAACAAGGTAGGTGCCCTGGGGCCCCTGCCCTCCCGGCTTCAGGCTGTGTCTTCCACTGCAGGGCACAGCAATGCAGGTGCTGCCCCGGCGGGGCGGGGGTGCTGGGAGGAGCTCGGGGGCCTCATAGCCGCTGCCCCCACAGCTGCTGGTCTGGAACCACTCGAGCCTGAGCCCCGTGCAGCAGTACACGGAGCACCTGGCGGCCGTGAAGGCCATTGCCTGGTCCCCGCACCAGCACGGGCTGCTGGCGTCTGGCGGCGGCACGGCCGACCGCTGCATCCGCTTCTGGAACACGCTCACAGGGCAGCCGCTGCAGTGCATCGACACGGGCTCGCAGGTGTGCAACCTGGCCTGGTCCAAGCACGCCAACGAGCTGGTGAGTACTGGGCCCGCGCGCACGCCTCCTGCCTCGGCCCCAGGAGGCCTTCAGAGCCCAGGGCCCCGGGAGCTTGGTCGGCTCAGCTCAGTCCGGCCGTCTCCCAGGGGGCAAGCGCCGTCACCCGCGGCCTCTGTGCCTTGCCTGGCAAGCCCGAGATGCCTCCTGGGTGGGGGTGCGGCACCGCTCGCGTCTGAGCCCAGGGTTGCAGAAGGGGGAGCCTGAGTCCCAGCAGTACCCTCTGCGCCCCCAGGTGAGCACGCACGGCTACTCGCAGAACCAGATCCTGGTCTGGAAGTACCCGTCCCTGACGCAGGTGGCGAAGCTGACCGGGCACTCCTACAGGGTCCTGTACCTGGTGAGTGTGCCCTGCCCGGGGTCTGGAAGAACGCCACCGCCCCGTGCCCCCGAGGCGGTGTGCAGCCCGTGCACCCGTGTCCCCCTGCCTGGGCGGCCGCCTGCCTACACAGTCAGGTTGTCCCACCACCCGGCACCCGCTTTCCTGCAGCCCTGCCCTTCCTCCGCTCAGCTGTGCGTCCGCGCATGCGCAGAGAGCGCCTCCGCCGGTAACCGGTCCCGGCACTCGCTGGTCCCTGAACGTTTCACTGGACTGCCGTGTGCACTGGCTCGGAGAAAGGATCCCTCTCCGGATGTGCTCGGCTTTTTGTCTTTTCGGAAGAAAACGTTTTGTGCTTAAACCCACATATCATTTATCCGATTGTATGGAGCGGTGTGTCTGTCCTTGAGGCAGCCCACCTCGGGCCTTCCCCACCGTGCCCCCCGGCCCCCCCGGCCCCCCGGCCACATCCCGGCAGCTCTGTCCTAGTAGGGCTGCCTGGAGGGCATAAGGCCAAGGGGAGGGTCTGTCTGCTTCCACAGGCCATGTCCCCTGATGGAGAGGCCATAGTCACTGGTGCTGGGGACGAAACCCTGCGGTTCTGGAACGTCTTTAGCAAAACCCGTTCGACAAAGGTAAAGTGGGTCGGTATCAGTGCCAGATGTTCCCCCACGCGCGTCCCCTCAGCCTGTCCTGGGCACCCCCCCCGAGTCACCCGGCCAGCCCCGTTTACCCTGTCGGCTCTGGTCTCCTCTGGGACCCCCCAAGTCCCCTTTCTGCTCCCGCATTGCCACACAGCCCAGGCCACATGGCACAAGGTGCTCAGAGCCTCGCTCCCCTACACGCCTCAGGATGCTGGGCATGGTGCCCACAGGCTCCCCTGGCCCGAAGCCTCGCATGCCCTCCAGGCAGAAGTCCCTTCTGATGCCGGTGCTGCCGCGGGCCCAGCCCCAGTGGCCTGGCCCAGCGGCCCCCGATCACCGGGGAGGCCGCCCGGGGGCTGCAGCTCAGCGCTCCCTCCTGTGTGCCCCGCAGGAGTCCGTGTCAGTCCTCAACCTCTTCACCAGGATCCGGTAGAGTCTCGGGCCTCGCCGTCCGGGTCGGCAGAGTCCCACCTCTCATCAGCGTGCATGGACCCTCCCCTCCCCAGCACACAGTCCCCAGAGGACGCAGCCGGGGCGGGCGGGGAGTCGGGCCTGGAGGACCCCGAAGATTCTCATTAAAGCCTGATTGCGAACCCTGGCAGCCGGTGTTTGGGGCGGGGACGTGGCCGGGCCCCAGCAAGAGAGGGGGCCCCGGCGGGGACCATCTGTTGGGCTGCTCTGCTGGGAGCACGATGGACGCCTCCTGGGACCCAGCCTGCTTCCGTCTCCGTCCGCCGTGGCATCACCGGGGCCGCGTGCTCCTCCCAGAAGTATGTGCTCGCCGCTGCCATCACCACTCACGCCTGCGGGACAGACGGCGGGACGCCAGGCCGGTCAGCTGGGGCTGGGCGGATGGCTGGGGTCGGCCCACGGAGCAGAGGGACAGACGTCTGACGGGTTTCTCCGCGGCCAGCACGGCTGCCCTTGCCCCGGCGTCTGTGCCGCTGACTTTCTCGGGGACACGGCGCCACGTCTGGAGCGGGCCCTGGGCAGTGTCCGGGCCGAAGGCGGTCATCGGGAGCTGGACTTGTTGTCTGAGGAGAACGAGTCAGGTCCGCTCGCTGCGTTGTACGTACCCTGATCCCGCACCGTCCTTGTTGCTGACGGGCGTCACGGCCCTGTTTCATCCCCAAGCCGGACTCGGGTGCTTGCGGCCTGCTGGGCAGCCAGTCAGGGTGACCCAAGGGCAGACTCGACCCCAGAGGCCGTGTCTTCTGGGCATCTGGCTCCTGCTCCCCAGCCCATTCCCCTTACCCCAGGCCACCCCATCGGGTCCTGTCCATCTATGCCGTTGGCTGTGGGGCAGCCAGGGAGGAGGCACCCATAGGTCCTTCCAGAAACTTCCTGAGCTTCTCCCAGCCCACCCTATGGTTCTCTGCTGTGTCCAGCTGCATATGGGCCCATCCCTTCCTGCCTCCTCTCCAGACCAGGAGACTGGGAAGGAGGAAGGGAGGGCCTGGGTGTGGTCAGGGCGTGAGCAGCAGCCCCCCTTCCCCCCCACCCTCGTCCTCGGCTCCTGGGCGCTGCGGAGTGGATGGGTGGGGCAGAGCCCCTCCAGGTCCCCATGGCCTTGTGCCCCTGCTCTGTTGGCCGTGTGTGTGCACGTGTATGTACGTACTTGTGACTCTTTTTCAGATTTGCTTCTGTGTCTTTGTAGCTTGGTCCCAGGAAAGCTTAAGGCTGGAGGGGGCAGCAGTGGCTCACCCACTACCCACCGTGGGGGGCGGCGCTCACCGCTCCCGATCAGCGGAGCCTGCCTGAACCGGTGGGGAGCGGTGGGAGCCCGCCTCCCGCGCCCTGGGCCACATCTGCCTGCCGCGGGGATGGACGAGGGACCGTGTACATAGATGGGTGTATTTTGATCGGTGGAGTTCTTATTTTTGTGGGAGTGTTTAAGAAACCAGGCCTGACTCAGCCACCGGCTCACCTTGGGCAGTTGCAGGAGCCCGGGAGCTGCTGTGCCCGTGGGACCGCCCCCTGCTCGGACCCACACTGGAGTTGGGATGGCGGGGCACGGGTCTGCGTGGGACTGACTGCAGGGCAGGGGACGGAGGGGCGCCTAGTGCAGGGCGAGCCTTGTTTCTTGTGACACAGCATCGTTGTCATTAAACCAGTCGTGGGTTCATGCACTGCCAGGGCTGGCTATCTGTCTGGTCCCCAGCTGGGGTGTCTAGATGTCGCATGCAAGGGGCAAGCGGCTCGTTCTGGGGAGCTGGTTATGGAGAAGACTGATGGGCTGTCCACAGGAGGTGCCAGTAACCCCAAATTCAGGGTTCCCTGGGGCCGAGGATAGGGGTATGGCCAGTCCTTGTGGCCCCGCGAGGGTGTGTTCTGTTCCTTCCCCTGAAGGAACTGCCTGGTTGCCCTCTGGATGGGGGAGAGCAGGGCAGGAGTGCGGTCTGTGCACGCAGAAGGCGGGCTGCGGTGGGGCAGGGGGTGGGATGGGGGCAGAGGAGCAAGCAGATGAGACCGGGGGTGCTGGGGCAAGGGGCCGCGCAGCAGCTCTCTGGCGGGGTAGGCATTGCTGCCTCCTCGCCTGACCGCCAGGGAGACTGAGGCAAGTGGGTGCCGTCGCCAGCCCAGTGTCCCGCACAGGAGGTAAGATTTGTTTCCGTGGATCCTTGAGTGTAGCTTTCGGAAGGGAAGGGAAAGGGATTTAGTGGTAGTGGGGGGGTGAGACACAGGCCATGGGTGGGGGGCAGCAGGAACGGGGCTGACAATGCCGTGAGGGCTGTAGGAGAGGGGGCCTTGGAGGCGGGTAGGGGAGCAGAGAGTCTTGGGACTGGAGAGGAAAGCCAGGCCAGAGGAATGGTGACTCCAGCAGGATGTGGCAGGTCAGGGGCTCCTGAGAAGACGGGCGAGCCCCCTACAGTGAGCACCTCGCCCGCCCCGAGGTCCTTCCCTGTAGGTAAGGAGCCCTGTCCGGGGCAGTGGGGACCAGAGACCAGACTGCAGCATAGCCGGTTGCGGCGGACAGCGAGGAGTACGTGTGGCTGGGACCCGGGACAGGTGGCAGGAGGCCCTGCGGAAGGGCACCTTTGAACCCAAAGCCCAAGACGGGCCTTGTGATCAGGGGCCTGGAGAGCAGGGAGCCCCTGGTGCGGGTGGCGCTGGTGGCAGAGGCTCCGGAGTGGCATGGGGGAGGCATGGGCAGGGGCTGCCGGCTGGGGGCTGCGGGGATGACTCAGGCTTCCACCCCGGACGCGGCGGGAGCCCTGGGTGTACATGGCTGAGAGGGAAGGGAGCAGGTGGCGGAGAGACCCAGCACAGGGCCTGGAGGCGGCGTGGCCCAGGCCACCAGGAGCAGGTGCAAGCGAGGGGTGGGCAGGTCTGGGCGTTCCTGTTCCTCGTTACTGTGATGAAATACACATAACACAATTTACCATCTTAAAATGTGTAATTCAGTGATTTTTAGTACGTTCATGAGGTTGTGCTGCCACTGTCTAGCTCTAGAACGTTCCATGACCCCAAAAGCAACCCCGTCCGCTGTCACTCCCCGCTCACCCTCCCCAGCCCTCGGCCCCCGCGGGCCCCCTCCCGTCCATGGAGGAGCTTGGTCTGGACATGTCACATAAATGGACTCACACCCTGTGTGGCTTCTGTCTGGTTCCCTCTCTGAGCGTCATGGGCTCAGGGTCCGTCCCCGGGGCTGCGCGTGGGGGTGGCTTGGTCCTGCTTGTGGCCACGGGACGCTCCCGCGCCTGGGGGACCATGGTCTGTGTGTCCCTCGTGCAGCTGAGGGCTGCGAACCGAGCTGCTGCGCATGCCCGCAGGTCTCGCTCCGAACGTGTCCCAGAAGCAGAGGAGGGACGGCTGGGAGCGTGGGGTCCCAGCTGGGGCTCCTGGCAGGGTGTGCGCCTGAGGGAACGGCCCGGAGCGCCCCTGGGGGGTGTCCTGAGGGGGCCCGAAGAGGAAGAGGTGGGAGCCCCCTGTCGGGCACCTGGAGGGGGCTCACACCGCCCCTTGGCTCATGCCTCCCCGCACCTGCCCGCCGGCCTCTGCTGGGGGAGGGAGGGAGCGGTCTGGACGGGGACCAGCGCTGGCCAGTACTGTTGCCGGGACACCGAGGGTAGTCTTTGTCGCTGTCAACAATGGCCCCACAGGCCTGCTAGGCATGAGCCCCTGGGGACCCAGAGGCAGACATGCAGACCCTGCGGCAGGAGGCTGACCGGCCCTATGTCCCCCGGGGGACCCTCGAAACAGATTTCCCAGCACCTCTGTTCAGGTGAGTGCCCCCCACAGCCCCGCGCGCCGCTGCGCCCCAGGTGTCGTGGCATTCGGTCTGGCTCCTCGTGTTTACTCTTCAGTCCAGGCACCTCGGTGCTCTACCCTCGCCCTGCCTCACCCCGTCCTGACCTGGCTGCTCCCCGCACCGCCTGCCCCCGCCTGCTCCTGGTACTGCCCTCCCCGCCTGCGGCCAGAGCAGGGTGTGCGTGAGCACCGCTGGCCAGGGGACGGCTGTGGGCACGGGCACAGCCTGGAGCTGGCTGGGTCTCTCCAGGAGCCTCCCGCAGCAGCCCTCACAGAACCAGGCCGGGCTTCTGTGACCCTAAACCACTGAGATTGACTCTCTCCCGGGTCTGGAAGCCGGAAGCCAGAGATCAAGGGGGTCTGCAGGGCTGGTTCCTTCCGGGGCCTGAGGGAGCAGCTCTGCTGGGCCTCCCAATTCTAGCGCCTTTCTGGTTGTCCTCGGCACCCCCTGAGGACAGGTCACCTCGATCTCTGCCCCAGCGTCACATGGCCTCCGTGTCCAGGCTCCCCTTCCAAGGACACCAGGCCCCACACGAGGGCCAGCCCAGCCCAAGGCCCACAGCTTAGCAACCGTGTCTGCTGAGCTCCCCAGGGGGCTGCTTGAGACCAGGAGGGCGTGGATTTGGGGAGCCCTCTCATCCCGGCAGACTGGCTAAGGCACCGTAACGGGGGACTGTGCAGCTGTAGGAAGACTGGGGTGTGCCCCTGGGCCTCCCCGCCGCACGTCCGTCCTGCGCAGTGCCCGCCCCGGGGTGAGGTGCGGGGGCCGGGGGCACACGTGCGCTCTCTTAAAGGGCAGGCAGGCTCTGGGTCGTGGACCGAGCAGGCATCGACTGGGGTTTCTTCCAGGTCTAACCTCCCAGAGGCCCACCTCCCACTATCACGTTAGACTGGCGGCCTTGCGTTTCACAAATTCTGTGCACGTCGGGGCTCAGAAGTATTCCCTTTGCTAGGACAGGGGACCCAGGATCGTGGGTGCGTGGCAAAGCCAGTGTGTGTCAGGTTCCCAAGACCGATGTTCCAGAACCTTCCACGCTCACCCCACCCTCAGTGAGACGCGTGGGTTTCCAGTTTTCCGTGATCTCTGGGCCACGCAGGGCACAGGTCCAAAGAGCCTGTGGTCAGCAGCGCCCCCAACCGCTGGGGCGAAGGGCCTGCTGGACCCTCTGCAGGGCACTGGTGCTCCTGGCAGGCCTTCCGGGAGGAACGGCCAGTGAGGTTTCTGCCCGACAAGGTCCCTGCGGCTTGAGCAGCTCTGGGGTGTCTTTCACTTCTCAGCTTTCCTTTCCGCTTCTGGGGTTTTCCCTGTCATTTTTAACAGTACCACACAGCGACTTGATTTTCAGATTTTATTTCCGAGTTCTCTCCACACCCAGCATGGGGCTCAAAATCACGACCCCGGGATCGAGTCGCACGCTCCCCCGACTGCACCACCAGGCACTCCCATCTCTGCACCGCAGTCCCGTTCCCTACACTGGTCCTGGCTGCCCCAGGGCCTCTGGACACCCACTGGCCCTGGACAGCTGCTGCCTCCCTAGGGAAGCCGTCCTAGTGCCCTGCCTAGGACAGGTCTGGTAGCAGAGGCCTCCTGCTGTAGGTGCACCCTCCCCCACCACCCCATGTCCCTGGGGGGATGGACCAGAAGTGCTGAACAAGGACAAGGTTTAATGCAGGGCGGGGGGAGGTGTTGGGAGGGAAGCAGGCCACAGGAGTCAGCGCCCACACTCCTCTGCCTGCCAGGGCCAGGGTGTGCATGCCAGCAGTGCAGGGCAGGGGAGGCCCCCAGGCTCAGCCTCTGCTGCCCTCACCCCCCCAGCGATGACTATCTGTCCCTGGAGGGTCCCCGCTGGACACCGGCCATCAGGCAGGCAGTGCGCTGGAAGTACGCCCCCATGGGACGCGACGCAGCGGGCCAGCCGTGGTACACCGGCCTGACCAACTCTGAGTCTCGGGAAGCCTGGTACACGCTCCCGCGGGCCCTGGACAGCCCGTACCGGGAGGCCTATGCCCGCTGGCACGGCTGTCACAGCCACTGGGAGCGAAGCATGCCCTCGGGTGAGTGCCACCCGCCCGGCCCCTCCCAGCCCCAGGGGGAAGGCCAGGGCCACAGATGACCTACCCCACCCCTTCCCCCAACAGCCTACACCCAGCGCCTCCGGGAGACCGCCTGGTACGACCCTGTCCTCCCTGCCCAGTACAGGGTCCCCAGCACGCGGTGGGGGAGTGTGCTGTGGACAGACAGACCCTTCCGGGGCAAGGAATACGGTGAGGAGCGGAGGCGGTCGGGGGGACCAAGGCCACCTCGGCTGGGGTTCAGAGTGGCCGGGGACAGGAGATGACCTGGGTCCTGGCCCCACAGTGGTCACCAGGCACCAGTACCAGGCGGAGCCGCCATGGCAGGGGTCTGACTACGTGCCGCTCCTGTCGGCACCCCAGCGCCCGCGCTACACCGCACAGAACCTCAGGTGGTGGGACCTGGAACCCTACTGCCCCTCCACAAACCAGCGGCCCCCACCCGTCCACACACCCATCCACGGATAAAGTTCATGCTGCCCAACGCCACCCTCTGCAGCCCCCCTCCGTGCAGCCCTCCACCTTTGGGGACCCTGGGGACCTTGGGTGGTCCAGCCACCAGCCAACACCCCGGTGACCCAAACTTGGGCCAGAGGCAGGCAGACTCAGGATGTCTCAGCTGCCCTCTCCCCACTCTGGACTGCGGGCACACAGCTGAGGCCACAGCCCTCACCCACGGGTGGCTCTTTATTAGTGGCCAGCAGTAGCCTGGGCGCAGGGCATGGGACTTGCTCCTCCCCACCCCCGCCTGAGGCTCCTGTCAGGCCCAGTGACCACACCATGGCCGAGGGGACCTGGCGGCACGGCACGTAGGAAACCACAGCCGAGCCCGGGGTGAGGGGTGAGCCAGGCGCTCGCCTGGATCCCAGAGGGCTCACCTCCATGTCTGGGATCCTGACTGTCCCCCCCCCCCGCCGTAGCCAGGCAAGGGTGGGGGCAGGGATGGGAGGGAGGGACAGCTCGGAGGGAGGGCTGCTCCTGGCCTCCGCGGGGCCTGGAACCGAGTTCATGTTCACAGGACGGCGACTGAGGCGCATGCGGCATCAGGGCTGGGCTCCAGGGTCCCCTGCAGAACAAGGGGGTGGGGGTGCAGTCAGTGCGGGGGGGCTGCTGTGGGCCCACCCCTCCAGCCCCTGGTCCATGGGGGTGGGGCGCAGCTCGGACTCACAGCTCCGCAGGCGGATGGGCCAGAGGAAGAGACTGCACAGACAGAAGGTGGCGGCTACGCCTACGCCGCCGGTGGCGGCCACCATCACCCAGCGGTAGAAGCCCATGCAGGCCCTGCAGCAGATCTCCAAGCTGTGGGGCGGGGGAGGGGAGAAGCAGGGGCTTTGCCCTCTGTCAGGACCCTCCAGCATGGACCTCCTGCTCAGCTACTGGGCCACCAGAACCAGGGGTGTCACCCTCCACCCCCTGCCCCCTACCCCCATCCGTCCCAACCTCTCCCATTCTCTGTCTCATGCGGGTCCGGCCCCATCACCACCACCTGCCTGGACCACCAGTGTCCCGAGGCCCCCGAGGCCCTGCACACCTGCCCCATCCCCTCCCTGCTCCAACTGCGCGGGCCTTCCCCCACACGCTTTCCTCCGACACCGAGCCCAGTCCTGCCACAGGACCTTTGTAGGGGTGGTTCCTCCCCATTTGCTTGGAACTGCCTGACAGGTCTCAGGTCCAATGTCACCTCCTCAAGGAAGCTCTCCCTGACCTCTTGCCCCAGACAGGTCTCCGTAAGTGGTGTTTCCTACACCCCCTCGCCACTGGCTTGGGTCACGGTTCTGTGCTTACGAAAGTAGCTGGTGTTGCCCCCAGGCCCCTGAGGACAGAGGAGCAGATGGGCTTTTGTTCGCAGATCCCAGGCTTCTACAGGTCTCCACTCAGTGGTCTAGAACCATCTGGGTCTAGAACTAGGTTCTGAGGGTCTGAGCAGATTCCGGCTTTGCCCGGCCCTGCCCACACCCACTGCCCCGGTACATCCGGCGCCGCGTCCCCGGCGTACAACAGCTGGCGGGGTGCCCCAGGTCAGGAACAAGTGGGGCCCCAGTGTGCGAGTCCCGCCCGCGTGCTGTCCTTTGTCCAGGCGGAACCCCCAGAGCCAGGGCGGGGCCTGGCCGGCGCGTACCCGCCGCACGCTCCCCCGTGAATAAACGAGTGGCACTCACGAGCAGGGGTACAGGCTCTGGATGGCCATGACTGCCAGCCCGTTGGCCACTTTATCCGAGAAGCTCATGGCCCCGTACACGAAGGCTCCACTGTGCTAGGGTACAAGAGCGGGGGGCTCAGCACCCGCGGCCCGGACCCCAGCCCCCGCCCCACCCCGCCGCTCCACCTCACCGTGTGGGGGCCGATGAGGTCGGCTGTCATGGCCAGCGAGGTGACGAGGATGGTGGCGCAGCCCACGCCCAGCAGCACGGCCGCTGCGTACACGGCCACGCCCAGCCTGTCTGCCAGCGCCACCCAGGCGGCAAAGGCCAGGATCGCCAGGAGCCCCGCAAAGTAGGTCAGCTGCGGGGGGAGCGGGGCCGGCGTCAGAGCCGCCGGTCCGTGTGCTCCTCGGCCGGCCGCCGCGGGGAGGGCGTCCGGCCGGACCGTCCCGCGGTGCCCTCGCTCAGGCCCCGGGGGACCCGGGGGCCGGAGCGCTAATGCCAGGCGCCACTGAGCCATTAAAATCAAACACGGTGACGGACGGCGCTCCACTGCCCCGGGCAGCACCGAGTCCGAGAGCACCGCAGCCCCGAGCCACGCGGGAGCCAGATGTGGGGCAGCCCCGGTCCGGAGCCCGCGCTTCTGGGGCCCCCACCTCCGCCCGACCCGGCCACTCACGTTCCTCCCGATGCTCCTGTTGACCGGCTTCATGAGGAAGGAGGAGCAGAAACCGCTGACGTACATCAGCAGCGGGATGGTGGCGATGAACTTCTGCGGGGGCAGAGCAGCGTGGGCTCGGCGGGCTTGGGGGACTCGGCGGGGCGCGGCGGACCCGGGCCCACCCCCCAGCTCACCTTGGGCAGGTCGAGGGAGTAGGTGAGGTACATGGCTACGTAGGTCTGGGACAGGTTCACGATGAGCCTCGTGCTCATGTACAGCAGGCCCACCTGCGGCAGGCAAGCCGAGGGCGTGGGTCAGCGGGGGTCGGGGGCCCTCGGGAGCCCTGCAGCGGCACCTGAGCCCCTCGCGGTGACCGCCTGGCCAGCGGGCGGGGCAGACCGTGGCGACCGGAGGGCGGCAAGGGGACTGTCTGCCCCCATGTCCGCCATCCCCCTCCCCAGCCAGCTGCACACCTGGTAGAAGGCCGGCTCCCGGAGCCAGTGTTTCCAGAGCAGCAGGGGCCGGGCGGTCGCGGGGGCCAGCAGCGGGCTGTGCTCGTCCGGCTGCTCCGCCGGGGGCCGGCGCCCCTCCCGGGTGCCCAGGTGGAACAGAAGCGAGAAGACGGCTCCGACTCCTATCACCAACAGGGAGAGGTTCTGGAGGCCAGGCGGGAGAGGGGTCAGCGGCAGTGCTCTCAGCCCAAGCCCCCGGGGTCAGGGCCACGGGGGTGTCCGGCCTGGGCCCCGCTCACCTGGAACACCTGCACGTCTTGGACCCCCAGCTGGTCAGTGACATCGTGGGCCATCTCTGTGCTCGGGGAGCCCTGCAGGTGCAGCAGGAGCCAGGCGGCCCCGTACACGGCGATGTTGGCCACCACGGTGAAGGCATACCTGGTGGGGGCAGGGGAGGCTTCGGCACGGGACCCGGGGCATCTCTGGCTGGCGGAGCATTCAGCCCCCAAACACGGGGTGGCCCCAGCACGTTATCTGATGACTGACACCGGCCCCACAACTCCACCCAGACAGCCCAGCCGCCCAGGCCAGGGGCACAGAGACTCCAGGAAGACCGAAGACACTCGGAAGCCAGGATTTGGGATTCCTGGTTCCCGGACCCTCGGCCTCGACAGGGCTGGGGCTCTGTAGAGGTCTAGAAGCGTCTGAGGCTACTGCTGCTTGCGGCCCCAGAGCAGTGTCCCTCCAGGGGCTGGGGGGTGGGGGCAGAGCCTCTGGATCACATGCCAGGACTCAGTTTCCCTTTCTGAAAGTGAGCACAAGACCCCAGAGATAAAAGTGAAGAGGCTACAAGACTGGTGGGAAAGTGCACCCCGGAGCCTGGTCTCGGCACCACCCACCCCGCCAGCTGGGGCCCGAGGGGTGTCACTGGCCCCACCGGGCTGCGCCTGTGCCGTAATGCAGAACCCAGAGGCAGGGCTGGGAGGACACCAGGCTGGGCAGCACTGGGGCCCAGCGGGCCACAGGGGGGGTGGCAAGGCCCCCATGAAGATGCCACCATGACCAGAGCCGCAGAGGAGTGCACATGTAGCAGGCACCCCCGCCCCCCAGGGCCCAGCCCCTCCTGGAGCTCCAGCCCTCGTCTGTGCCGGCCCTTCCTCCTGGAACTCGACCCTCTCTTCCCTTTCCCTACCGCACACCGTCCCGCGGGGGACACTCTGCTCAAGCCCACGAGGGGCCTGTGACGATTGCCAGGAGGATTAAAGACGGTAATCCACGTGAAGGGCCCAGAAATGCGCCTGTACACAGCAAGCACTCCATAAATGCTCCTAGGTTCTCTCCAGGAGAACTTCCTGTCTGTGCCTCAAGCAAGTCAACGGGCCAAACGTCTCCACGCCAGGCATGCCGAATTCTATGATGACCCTGGTCCCACCCAGTCCAACCCCTCCCCCACGGGAGGGGACCTGTGAATAAAGGTAAAGGGATTCTACAGCTCACATTAAAGGAGTTTGTCCTGGGTGAGCCAGACCTCATCAGGAGATCCTTAGGAAAACCTAAGCCTCTGCTGAGACCCCAGCCCTCACGGGTGCCCTGATGGGAGCCTCCAGACAGACCAGGGAGCATCAGACTCTAGGTTTCTGCTCTGGTCATGACCTCAGGGTCACAAGATCGAGCCCCGTGTCGGGCTCCGCGCTTAGTGGGGAGTCCAAGATTCTCTGCCCCTCCCCCCACCCTCTAATAAATCTTGGAAAAAAGAAAATACAGCTGATCCGAGCCAGACCCCTAACCCACAGAAACCACGAGCCGCACGGGCACGCCATCTAATGCCGCCAGCTTGGGGCCGTGCATTACCACGGCAACAGCTGATTAACACACCACCAGGGAGGCCCAGGAGCTGGGGCGGAGCTGGGGTGCACCGTCCTGGGGCCGCGCGGCTGAGCCCAAGGGCAGAAGGGCTCCCGCTTCGGGCCGTACCTGAGGGCCGTGAGCTCCACCTTCTCGTGGTCACTGGTGGCGAGCTCCGGGATGAGGCTGAGGTGGGCGATCTGCGTGGCCGCCCAGCCGAACTGGAAGACCACCACGAAGGGCCCGTAGTAGAGGAGGGCGGCCCACTCCGGCGTGGCGGCCCCGCAGCCCAGGCACGGGCTGAAGATGAAGGGGAAGGACAGCAGGACGCAGACGGTGCCTGTGGGTGAGCGGAGGGGGGAGGTCACACTCCAGGGCCTCACCGGGGGGGACCCTCCCACGGTCACACAATGGGGGTGAGAGGCCATGGTTCCCGTGACAAATGAGGAAACCGAGGCAGAGAGGCCTGCGGTGGCCCCGAGGTCATGCAGCCCAAGAGGACAGCGGGGCCCCCAGTGTCTGACGTGGAAACTGAGGCACACCGTGAGTCGTCGTGTTCCCGAGGTCATGTGCTGCAAGTAGAAGGCAGGGCCAGGACCTACGAAAGGACAAGAACGGGGCTTCCCCCTGCCAGCATCAGCGTCCCCAGGGTGCTGCCTTGGTGACAGGTGGGGAAATGGGAGCACAGAGCACCTGTGGGGTCCCCTGGAGCGCTGCCCTCCAGAAATACCAGGGACGCCACAAACACGCCGTTTATAAGCGCACCTTCCCTTCCCACCTCCCGCCCGGACCTCCGCCTGCCCCCCAGCTCCTGCCAAGCGTCCCACCGCGCTCCAGGCAGTCAGGAGGCCCGGTGACGCTGGGTCAGGCTACAGTGGACCCTGCCCTCCCTGAGCCCCAGTGTCTACCAGCTCATAAGGGGGGGGTGTCTCTTCCTGGAAAAACCCGATACCTCAGAAGAAGCCCAAGTCTGTGGGGGCAGCCAATAGGCCCTGCATGACCTGCCCCTCCACCCCCACTCCCGCTCCAGCCACACAGGTTCAGTCCTGCCCCAGGGCCTTTGCACCAGCTGTGTGTCCTCTGCTCTCCTCACATCCTTTCATGCCTCAGGACCTGACCTAAATGCCACCCCCTCAGAAAAGCTCTCCCTGGCCACCGCAGTCCCCAGCAGTCCCCTCCCTGTGCTGACACAGTCTGGACATGGCTTTCTTCTCACATGCCTTAGCATACACAGGGACTCTTTTGTCTCCACTTGTTTCCTGCCTGCCTCCCCCACCAGGCGGGCGCTGGGAGGGTGGGCAGTAAGTCTCCTGAGGTCACTTCTGGGGCCCCGGCCACCAGCACAGAGCCTGGCGCGTATCTTTTGGACAAGTGAATGATTACACTAGTGTCCACTTACAGGCCCAAGAGGTGGGTGTTACTATTCTCCCCACTTTCCAGATGAGGACACAGGTTCAGTGTGTGAGCCCCTGGGCCCTGAGCCATGCTGCTTCCCTCCGCCAGGCCAGGCCCAGCTCAGCACCCTCTCCCCCCATTCCCTGCTGGGCCTGGCAGCTGACCTTCCCTCCTCCCTCCAGGCTCTGGACCTCATGCCCCAGACCTCAGGGCTGCCTCCATAGCCCTGGGATGGAGAAATGAAAGCAAAAGCACCCTTCCTTGCTCTTTCCCTGGAACTGGAGCCTGGGAGGGGCGTCCTGAGCTCATGTCTGGACGCCCCAAGGGCTGCCTCGGGGCCAGGCACAAACTATGTAGACTCTGATCAGAAGAATGTGCTGCTCTGGCCAGAATCCACCCCGAAGCTGGCCAGGCCAGGTTAACCATTGCCTGGCCAGGGGGCCTCAGGCAAGCGACTGTGCCTCCCTGGGCCGCAGTTCCCAGAAAGTATGGACGTTGAAAATACCCGGCTCCCAAAGTAAGCATGAGAACCAAGGGTTAACGTAGAAAAGCGGGAACTCCTATGGCTCTCGGCCACTTCCTGCCTCCGCAGCTTCGAAGCTGGGTTAGGTCACACTTACACAGCTGTTTCAACAGGCTGGCATGCCCCCCCACACACACACTCCTACACTCCTACTCATCCTTCAAAACCCCAAAGCTAATGTCCTCTTCCTCAGACCTCCACTTCTCCTTTGTGAAACCCACTCCAGCCACACGCCCCAGCCCAGATCCCACAGGAAAATCCATGTGTGGCTCTAAGGGTCCTCTCTGGGCTAGAGCAGGGGAGCACAGAGGGTCTGCTAAGGGGAAAAGTGAACCCATAGACTTGGGAGCAAAAGAAAGATGTGGGCCCCATTTCCAAGGTGACTTTCACTCAAGCCACCTCATCAAGCCAAGAGGGGCTGCCCCAGCTTCCTCTCTCCACAGATCCTCCCGGAGCTCCCCACATGCTCCCCCCGAGGTGGAGACAGGGTGCAGTGGAGGACTTGGAGGCTGGTAGGGGCCCCTTTCCCCCAGGCCTATTTTACATAAACACGAAGCCTTCAGTTCTTTATTTACAAGGGTGCCTAAACCCTGCCTCTGCTGGCGGACTCGGATTCTCCCTGTGGGGTCAGGCGGACCCTCCCACGGATGAGAGAGGCACACCATCAGGCCTGGGGGCACGTGCAGTGTCCCCTGCCCAGCTCCCTTCCCACAGCTGGCTCCATCCCCTCAGGGGCGGTCAGTCTCCCCTGCCCAGCCCAGAGAAAAGACTGCCCGGCTCTCTGACCTATCAGGTTGCGGAGCTATCTTGTGTGTCTGTCCGTGAGTTTTATCTATTAGGAGCAAAAGTGCCCTGAGGACTGGGCCCAGCTCTGCAAGTGATCCCCGTGTCAGCCCAAAGGGGGGCAGCTTTCGCGTCTGTTTTTCTAGAGGAGGTGATCGCCAGGCTGTCTCTCCCTGCTTCCCTCCCTGGCGGCTACAGTCTCAAGGGACCCAGTGCCCGAGAAACCTGAAATCCGGCCACTTGGAAGTCCACCGCACCTTTGCAAAAACGCGCCCCCCCCCCAGAGCCCAGGGCGGATCACTGCCCCCCCAGTCTCTGCCCCCATCAGTCAGCTCCTCCGACCTTCTAGAAAGCTGCTACCCAAAATTCACAGGACTGGGCAGGATTCCTAGGCCTGCCTCCCGAAATGCCCAGCTGGCCCCGGACGCCAGGATGCGGCAGGCACTCCTGCCAGCAAGAGAATGGCAGAGAAAGTGGCTGGGGCTCATCTCATGGCCCAGGATCCGTGGCGGCAGAGAAGGGGCGCTGGGAGGCAGGCCTTATCAAGGGTGCACACTGGGCAGGACACCCTGGCTCCTGGGGCACCTGCCTCCTCCCCTCAGCAGCGGAGGTGTTCTGTCAGCTCCCCCAGAACACGGGTTGACCCTGTTAGCTTCGCAGATCCCACCCCTCAGCCAGACACACGGAGACCCCTGCCTCTTGGGTCTTACCTGGCCCCCAAGCCTGGGCTCCCGAGCCGCAGCACCCCTAAACCACCCAAACACCAGGTTGCCTGGGATGGAGCCAAGGGTGGGCAGGAGTGCACTGGAGACATGGACAGACTGACGGAGGGGGCTCCAAGCAGCCTGCCCCTCACTCAGAGCTGTCCTGGGTGGTCACCCAGACAGACATATGGAAAAGCCCAGCCGGACCAACTGACAGCGGGGGCACCAGCAGTCACACCCAGTCCAGAGAGGGCTCGGGATGTCCATGGGAGTCAGACAGAAAAACATAGGGAAGTGCCACTGGAAGGTCACATGAGTGGTCAGGTGGCAGACAGAAGGAGTACAGAGCCGTTAAGCAGACAGATGGAGGAGGTCAAGGATGGGGCAACAGAAAGGTACAGAGCAGCCGGACAGAGAGGTTCAGGCAGTAGGGCTGGCAGGCAGTCAGAGGGGGTAGGCTCAAGCCAGGGGTAGGAGGTCAGAGGGGGGAGGCTCAGGCCCCAGGGCAGGCAGGCAGAGCAGGGAGGCTCAGGCCAGGGGCAGGCAGTCAGAGGGGGGAGGTTCAGGCCCCAGGGCAGGCAGGCAAAAGGGGAACGGGAAGGCCCCCGGGGGGCAGGCAGTCGGAGAGGGGAGGCTCAAGCCAGGGGTCAGGCAGTTGGAGGGAGGAGGCTCGGCTACGACTTACCGACCAGGTGCCAGGCCTTTCGGGGGCCGCAGCGGACGCAGCGGCCGGCGGCGCGGTCGGCCTCGTAGCCCACGAGGGGCGTGCACAGCCCGTCGGCCACCTGGCCGAGCAGCAGCAGCAGGCCGGCGCCGCGCGAGCTGTAGGCGCGCACCGAGTGCAGGTAGAGCAGCAGGTAGGTGAACCACATGGACGCGCACAGGTCGTTGAGGAAGTGGCCCACGGCGTAGCTCAGCCGCGCGGCCAGCGACAGGGACTGCGGCGACGCCCCTGCTCCTGCCGCCGGGGGCCCCGGGCCCATGGCCGCGCTCCGCACCCGGGCCGGGCGGTCTGGCGCGCGACAGACGGACCCCGGCGCGCGAGCCGACCGCGCCCGCCTGTCCCCGCGCCACCGCCCAAGCCCGCCCTGCCGAGCGCGCCTGCGGCCGCGGGGCCCCGAACCCAGACTAAGGCCCGGGCGGGGCGGGGCGGGGAATGCTGGCGGCCGCCTCCACCAACCGGGGCCGCGCGCCGGGGCCCGAGAGCCAATAACCAGGCTTGGGGGCGTGGCCTAGGGGGCGAGCCGGCCCCCATGCCCCGCGCCAGAGGGATGAGACGGTCCTAGCGCCGGACGGCTCCCCTTGGCGTTAGCGGGACTCTCACTAGCTGGGGGGCGACGCAAGGGCGCCCACACCCAGACTTCTGCCTTCGGGCCTGCGTCACCCGCGCCGGCCTGCAGCTTTATGGGGCCTACTGTGTCGACGGGGGAGGACAAGGTGCGCTGGGGGCTTGCGTGGTGGGCTGGGGGCGTGGGGGATGGGGGAGAATTCCGAGCCCAAGCTGCCACTCCTCGGGGTCCGGTACCTTCCCGGCCCGGAGAGACCCAATCAGACACGGAGAGGACGCATTAGTTCTAATTAATTAGTTATTAAGGATAATAATGGGGGTAATCATAATAACACCAGCTGGGATTTAATGATCGCTGACTGTGCCAAACGCCCCACGTGGGTTTGCTCACCCAAGCCGGGAGGGACGCTGAGCGAGTGTCTCCCATTTCACAGGCAACCAACAGGCCGGGAGAGCGGGCAGGGCGCGCTCGGGGGCGCAGTGAGTCAGGTGCATGCGACACCACCCGAGGCCTGCGCTCAGAACCCCTCCCCACTCTCATCCAACGGTCCTCCCACCACCGGGTCACCACACCAGCGGTTTCAAGTTCCTCCTAGCCCTGCGTGCAGTCGTCCCCCCACCCCTGAGCGCCTCCTCCACCAGCGGTTAAACACCTGCACTCCAGAGCCGGAAGCTTGGGGTCTAGATCCAGCCCCACACCCTCCTAGCTGGTCCAGCTCCGACAAGTCCTTTAACTGTGTGGGGTCTCAATCTTCCCAGATCTAGAATGGGTATAATGTGCACTACTACAAGTCATACCGGGCGCCTGGGAGCTGGGCCCATAGAGGGTGCGACTCTTGATCTCAGGGTCCTGAGTTCCAGCCCAACATTGGGTGAGAGATTCCTTTAAAAATAAAATCTTTTTTTTTTTTTTTTTTTTAAGTGATACAGGGGCGCCTGGGTGGCTCAGTGGGTTAGAGCCTCTGCCTTCGGCTCAGGTCATGATCTCAGGGTCCTGGGATAGAGCCCACCATTGGGCTCTCTGGCTCCCCGGGGAGCCTGCTTCCCCCTCTCTCTCTGCCTGCCTCTATGCCTGCCTGTGATCTCTCTCTCTGTCCAATAAGTATTTTTATTTATTTTTTTTAATTTTTTAATTTTTAATTTTTTTAATTTTTAAAAAAATAAAATAAAAACCTGATATAATTGTTAGCTTTTTTTTTTTTTTTTTGTAATTGTTATCTCTTAATAGTCTCAGCCAGAAAGTTTTCTCACTACCCCCTCCTCCTGTGTCAGTCATACAGTACTCTGGGCTGCCCCCCAACAAAACCTTGATATCTGCTCTTCCCCCCAACCCTAGCTGTGACCCTGCTCCCCCCCCCGAACTATGATCCCCATGAAGGCAGGGGCTGATCAGTTACACACACAGGAGCTCAAGAAATACCTATCCAAGGATTGTGTGGAGGGTACGGAGAGAGGTTGAAAAGAGCAAGCAGGAACTGGGAAACAGGAACCCACTAAAAGAAGCAGAGGTTCAAACAGCCCAGCAGGGCCCCAGCCCAGACGCCCACATGGATGCAGACCACACACCCCAAAGCCCACTTTTTTAATGAAAAGGAGCCTGAAAAATAGGTGTGGGTGGGGTCATGATAACCTTGCTGGGGAGTGGGGAGATAAGGGGTCACTGCGTGGGAGGAGATAAGGAGACAAGAATCTCAATTCTTTCCTCCCTGCTGGGCGTGCTCCCTCTCCCTTTCTCTGGGGCAGAGAAAGTGATGTAAAGAAATTCTTGCCTCGGCTCTACACGCCGTTTAAAAATACTTGCCTACGTTTCTTTAACATTTTTTTAAAGTTCTTATTGATTTCAGTCCTCTCTACCCCCGAGGTGGGGCTCGAACTCGTGACCCTGAGATCAAGAGTCACACAGTCGTCACACGCTGCGCATCCGAGCCAGCCGGGCACCCCTCACCTAAGCTTTGAGTTCGCATTTCTCTTCTCCTTTCAGGCCTCATCTCTGGGGGATCTTACACCGCTTCTTGCCCATTTTGCAGAGAAAACAGGCTCTTACAGAAGTCCCTTGCCGGAGGGCAAACGGCGAACAAGAGGCAGATTCAGGATCGAAACTGGGCTCCCCGCGTGATCCGCAGCATCTCCGAGTTCCTTATTCTCGGGCAGGGGAGGGCCCACCTGAGGAGGAAAGGTGCCCTGTGTTTACTCTTCCCAGCCCCCCACGGAGGTCTGGAACCTACGGGGAGCATCCCTCGGGCAGACCCAGCACGGGGTGGGGGGGGGTTGGCAGAAACACTAGCATATCTCGGGGTCTTCCCGCCGCGGGGAGAAGGCTGCCTCTGACCTGCGTCCTTCCCTCCTTCCTTCCTTCCTTCCTCCCTGGACTCCCTCACCCAGCAAATCTGGCCCTCACCCTGAGCAGTGCAGGAGCCCCAGAGATTCTGAAGCCCCAGTCGGAAGCGGGGACAGAGCCGGCCCCTCCGCGGTGGGTGCTGGCGCCGGCGGGGTCAGATACCAGACACGGGAGGGCTAGCTGAATGGCAGGCAGAGTCCGGACGTTACCTCCAGGTGACTGGGGAGCCATGGAAGGCTTGGGAGAGAGAGCTGGGAAAGTCCGATAAGAAGTCAGGTGGGGGTGGGGATGGGGGCTGTCCATTCCTCCATTCCGAAGCAGGCCTGGGCCCCAGGGGTTGGGACAGCAGTGTGGAGCACACACGCCCCAGGAGAGCAGGGGTGAGATTTGCGGGGAGGATCAGAGAAGGTCCTGCCCTGAGAGAGGATGTGAGAAAGGAGAGGAACAGGAGAGAGACAGGCTTGGGGTCCTGAGAGATCCGGGACAGACTTTGATGTCCCCAGAGCGTCCCAACTGCCCCCACCCCCTGCTGGGGATCGGCTGTCCTGGTGGCCCCAGTCCAGCTGCAGGTGGGAAGGCGGGGGTGGGGGGGTGTTTCACTTTGATCTTCTCTCAGACCAGGCTGGGAGGAGGGGGGCGCTGGGTGGAGGGAAGGGGAGGGAGAGTTCCTAGAAACCTGGGAAACCTGGGAAAAACAGCCAGGAACTTGGCTTAGATCCCAGGGTGGCTGTGAGTCAAACCCAGGTGTCCCCAGCAAGCCCCCAAGCGTCAGTTTCCCTTTCTGTGAAGTGGGCACAGAGCAGCCGTGCTGAAGGAGGGTCACAGGGCGGCCTACGGGAGATGAGGCAGGTGCGGCTTCGGCCTTCGGATCGGGGTTTGCCAGCCTGGGCGGGACTGACACAGGCTTCAGCTCGTTCTCTGGGGTGGGGGGCTGTCCTGGGCATCACAGCCCCCCAGCCTCCAACTTCAGAAGCCAGGGGCACGCCCTGCCCTCACCATGAGTCGTCACAAGCAAACATGTTTCTGGGCCTTGTCCAGTGTCCCCTGAACTACCCTGGGCGGCAGCCACTGTACTAGAAAATTCTCTGAACAGGGTCTGCAGCTGCCCTGACCAAGCCAGCTACCACTCCCAGCGGCACTGACCCTGGTTCTAAGGGAGAACATCAGTTAAGCTCCTTAAACTCTCCCCACAACCTCCTGAGGGCAGATGCAGTTATGGTCCCACTTTGTGGAGGGGCTGGCTGGGGCACAGTTTTGGTCGATGGCTCAAGTCACACATCTAGGGCTCGGGGCACCTCCCTGACCTTGTGAGGGTCCTGCAGCAGCCGGGGGTGCCCCGTCCTCCAGGGCCTGAGGCCCCTGCCCACCCCCCCTTTTTGGGGGCAGCTGCGATCCCCACTTCCCTGCTGTGTCCTCAGCCCTCCATCGCCCCTCCCAGTGGACCCCTGTGTTATATCTGTCCCTAAAAAAGCCAGAGGAGGGTTGGGGTGTCCCAGGAGCGCCAACTGCACCCTGATTCTTCCTGGGGGTTAAACTACCTCCTGTTGAGAATAAGAATCATATACTTCAGTGGGAGGCACAGCTACAACCCAGCCATTCCGTGTCCTCCGACCTCTCCTGGAAAAGCAGGTGATGGTGAAAGTCCTAACCCCCCCGGGACCTTGGAATTCAACATTTGGAAATAGGGTCATTGCAGAGGTGGTGAGTTAAGGCGACAGCACGCTGGGACAGTCGCCCATGGACTCAACACAAGGGGAAAGCTGAGCTCACACACTCGGGGAGAAGCCAAGGGACAATGAAGGCAGAGAGATTGGGGTGACCCTGGGACCAGCCAAGCAACACCCGGCAGGGCCAGCAACCCCCCAGAAGCTGGGAGCACCTGGGGCCGATTCTCCCCTAGGCCCGCAGAAGCAACCAGCTCTGAGAACCTGCGTGTAGGAAAAGTTTTAGTAAGAAGTAGAATATTTGCATAATAACAATTTCAAAAGCGAACGTTTAGGTCATCCTTAATGGATCTTGTACTTCTGGGACTGCCAGTTGGGATTCTGTACCAGGCTTCCTGCTGGACAAAATTTCTCAGGGAGGCACAGAAATGATGCAAAGAAACGAACATGAAATTGACGACTTTAGACATCTGGGGTCATTACGGAGGGCTGGCTTTTATTTATTTTTTAAGATTTTATTGATTTGAGAGAGAGAGAGAGAGATCATGCAGTTGGGGAGAGGGGCAGAGGGAGAGGCAAAGGGAGAGAATCCCAAGCAGATTCCATGGTGGGTGCGGAGCCCTTCGCCAGGCTCAATCTCATGATCCCGAGATCATGACTCTGAGATCATGACCCCGAGATCATGACCTAAGCTGGAGCCAGGGGCTGGTTACACAACCAACTGAACCACCCAGGCGCCCCCACTGAGATCTAGGTATCGAGAGAACTTAATGCTGCTGAGAAAAAACAAAGGGCGCCTGGCTGGTTCCGTGCGTGGAGCTAGTGACGCTTGCTCTTGGAGCCATGAGTTCAAGCCGCACATTGGGTGTGGAGCCTACTTGAAAAAAAAGAAAAAAAAAAAAGACTTTAAAACTTCAGGGCAGAAAGGATCTGCTGTTAAATGCACGAAGGATATAAAGTCAAATGGTATAAATGCTGCTCCTTATAGTGGCTTGCGCGGGGTGCGGGCATGTACGGGCTGTGTGGACCGAAGACGCTTTTATTCTTTCTAGAGACTATCCGCGCAGCAAGATACTTTTCTTGATGTCAAGGAGCTGCAAATTGCTCTCAAAATCAACCTCAGGAGCGCCTGAATGGCTCGATCGGTCAAGTGTGGGACTCTGGGTTTTGGCTCAGGTCATAATCTTGGGGTCCCGGGATCGAGCCCCACTATGGGCTCCCCACTCTGTGCGGAGTCCGCTAGAGATTGTCTCCCTCTCCTTCTCCTCCTCCCCTGCTCTGTCTCTCGCTCTCTTTAACACAAATATATATGTATATGTATACGTATACGTATATGTATATGTAATCAACCTCAAAACACTTCCTTTCTTTTTAATGTGTGGGGAGACCCCTGAGTTTCTCGTGCGGGAACTTGGGAGCGGGAAGGACAGTTTCTAGCGCAACCCTTGTCAATCAAGCCAAAGAGGCGGGGCTTGGGGGGCAGGGCTTGCCCGACCTTCCAGGGGGACTTCTCACCTACAGTGTTTTAAGATTGCAGTCATAGGCGAGGGTGGTGCGTCCCGCGAAGCAGCGGAGCGGGGTCTGGAATCTGGGTCTGTCAAGATTCCTAGCCCTGGGCTGCCTCTTACAGAAACAGGTGTATTCAGACTGAATTCACATACCATACAATGTACCTATTTAAAGGGTGCAGTTCTGGGGCACCTGGGTGACTCAATGGGTTAAAGCCTCTGCCTTCGGCTCAGGTCATGGTCTCAGGGTCCTGGGATTGAGCCCCTCATCTGGCTCTCTGCTCGGCAGGAAGCCTGCCTCCTCCTCTCTCTCTGCCTGCCTCTCTGCCTACTTGTGATCTCTCTCTCTCTCTCTCTGTCAAATAAATAAATAGATATATTAGATATATTTTTTAAGATTTTATGTATTTATTTGACAGAGATCACAAGCAGGCAGAGGCAGGCAGAGAGAGAGGAGGAAGCAGGCTCCCCACTGAGCAGAGAGCCTGATACGGGGCTCAATCCCAGGACCCTGGGATCATGACCTGAGCTGAAGGCAGAGGCTTTGACCGACTGAGCCACCCAGGCGCCCCAATAAATAGATGTCTTAAAAAAATAAAAAAAGTAAAGAGTGCAATTCTGAGGTTTTTTTTTTTTTTTTTTTTAAGATTTTATCTGTTTATCTGAGAAAGAGAGAGATAACAAGCTGGGGTAGGGGGAGAGAAAGAGGAAGAAGGAGAAAGAGACTCACTCTTGAGCAGGGAGCTCGACATCAGGCCGATCCCAGGACCCCAGGATCTTGACCTGAGCCAAAGGCAGACACTTAACCCGCTGAGCCACCCAGGCACCCCCTGAGGCCTTGCATATATTTACAGTTATGTAACCATCACTGCAGTCTGACTTTAGAACATTTTGATCACTCGGAAGAAATTCCGTGCCCATCCGCCGTCTCTCCCCATCCTCGGTCCGCACGAATTCCCCAGCCCCAGGCAACCGCTCATTTGCTGTCTCAATGGATTTGCCCGTTCAGGACCTCTCATGTGAACAGAGCCACACGCTTGTGGTTTTTTTGTGACTCGCATATTTCACGGAGCCTCGTGTCTTCTAGATTCACCCCTGTTGCGGCATGAATCAGCAATTTAGTCCTTTTCCCTTTTTTAAAGTTTATTTATCTTCGTGATCTCTACACTTAACAGGGGGCTCAAACTCATGACCGGGATATCAAGAGTCCAGGGCTACTCCGACCCAGCCAGGCGCCTTTAATGTATTGCTTTTTTTTTTTTTTTAAGATTTTATGTAATCATTTGACACACAGAGAGATCCCAAGTAGGCAGAGAGGCAGGCAGAGAGACAGAGAGGCAGAGGCGGGCTCCCTGCCGAGCAGAGAGCCGACCCTGGACTCGATCCCAGGACCCTGAGATCACGACCCGGGCTGAAGGCAGAGGCTTAACCCACTGAGCCACCCAGGCGCCCCAATGTATTGCTTTTTATGGCCACTAACATTCCAGTAGATGTACGGACCACATTCTCTCTATCTGCTCATCCACAGATGGGCATTTGGGTTGCTTCTACTTTTTGGCCATTGTGAATCGTGCCAGCTGTGAACATCCATGCGCAAGTTCCTGCGTGGACACATGTTCTCGGGTCTCTTGGGTATATCCCTAAGCACGGGATTTCTGGATCGCATGGTAACTTCATGTTCAAGGTTCTGAGGAACTGCTTGGCTGTTTTCCAAAGCCCTTGCCTCTGAGAAATTTACTGTATTTCCTCATTTGTTTATTCAGCAAATCTGGTTGAGTAGCTCCTAGATGTGCTGTTCTAGGAGCTTCAGAGTTAAAACCCACGGGCCCATAAAATAGCCGCTTAGGTCACATCACCAAAGCCGGGCTTAATACCGAGTAACTGCAGCTTCGACCTTCCCCAGAGACGTGAAGTCTTGATGGGTCAGCCGGGAGCTTTCCCTCTCCACCCCAAAGGAAAAGGAGAGAATCTGTGTTGACCAGACCTCCTGCTCTCCCCCCTGCTAAGGGAAGGTGACCTTTCAAGAAGGAACAATCCTTTCTTCTCTCTTGCTGAGAACGTCCTTGCCCCTTCTTCCATCCCATATAACCTTCCATTTTGTAGCGCTCTTTGCAGCTCCCGTCTACTTGCTGCGTGGAATGCTGTCCCATCCGTGAGTCCCTCGACAGAGCCAAGGACATCTTCAAATCTATTCCGCCAAATGTTCTTTAGTGGTGCCTGGCTGGCTCGGTCATACAGAGCATGTGAGTCTTGATCTCAGGGTAGGGAGTTCAAGTCCCCACATTGGAGGTAGAGATTACTTAAATAAATGAAATTTAAAAAATTTTTAACAGAGGAGACAAATATATGGAGAAAAATTAAGACAGGGTGTACAGGGTAAACCTCATTGAGAAGGTGACATTCGAGCAAATATCTGAAGGAGATTAAGCAGTGGGCCAGGCAGGTAATCAGGAGGAAAGGGCACAAGAAGTGCAAAGGCCCAGGGGTGGTGTGTGTGTGTGTGTGTGTGTGTGTGTGTGTGTGTGAGAGAGAGAGAGAGAGAGAGAGAGAGAAATGAAATGGACGTATCTGTATTTGAGGAACATCAAAGAGGCAGAGAAGGGAAATGAGGGCAGAGTGCTGATGTGGGCAAGTCGTTTGGGGTCTAATAGGACATAGTGAGCATTCAGTGACCCCAACTGTCACCCTGAAAGTAGGGGAAGTCCCAGTTCAGGCCATAAGACCACACTGCTGCGGCGGGGCTGGGGGGACGAGTGGCCCCTCAAATCCCAGAGCAGAGCCTCCCGCCCCTACATCTTCACGAGCTCCTTGCAGCCTTCTTGTCTCACTTCCTCTTTCCAAATGCTTTCAGCCCAGTTCTGGAGCTCAGCTCCGCAGCATCCCAGCCTCCCCGTCCTAAACATGGTGCAAGGTCTCCATAGCACAGGGGAAAGCAGAGCCCCCAGGGCGAGAGCAGCCTGCGCGGGCTCACAGCAGGGCTACGCACAGCGCGGGGCCGGGGGCCCTAAATTCAGTGAATAGATGGCCAACTTCCCCGCCAGGTTTGCAAGACAGAGACAGGTCTACCCTGTCCTGGGGCGGGGAGACCTTAACCCCCTTTCCTAGCAACTGGCCGCCGTCTCCATGACAACTAGGGAGGGGCCCGATCTGGCCTTGCCGGTCCCGGGATCCCTCAGGGGCGGGGAGTATCGCCTTTACTCGGAGAGGAGGAGTCCGAGCCGCGCCTACTGGCCCTTTAAGGGGCTCCGCCCGGCGAGGCCTTAGAGCGCCCTGATTGGGTCCCGAGAGCGGCCGAGCACAGCCGAACTTGACGCACCCGCCCGCACCCTTCCCTATCCACCTCCCACGCGGCCCAGCTGTTGCCCCAGCCAATCGCCTGCCGGCGCGCCAACCTTCATCTGCATGGTCACGCCCAAGGGAAAGACTACACCCAATCCGAACGCTCGCGGAGGCCGTATTAGCATGCCAGGGGCGGGGCGAGCGGCAGGGGCGGGCTCGGGGCGGTTGGTTGGAGCGGCGCAGCAGCAGAGAGGTCCGGGAAAGTTTCTTTGGAGGTGAAAACAGCCGCGGAACTCGGGGCCCTGCGAGGGGGTGGGGGCAAGGGGGGGCCTGGGGCCGGGGAGGGGCCCCTCCCGGACCGGGGGAGGGTGGGCCGGCCCTTCCGGGGGGCGATCGCCCAACAAAGGATCCCCGGGGCGGCCGCCCTCGAGGGCCTCCCCGCCCCTGGATCCGGCCCCCCCAAACACCCCGGGCCCGGCATTCCGGAGCTTCCCCGCCGGGCCACCCCGTCGGCGGCTCGGGCGCCCCTCACTCGGCCACGCGTCTGCCTTCCAGGTGGGGCCGGGAGCGGCCATGTCCCACGGCTCCAAGCAGCCCGGCGCGGCCGCCGCGTGAGTGCGACATCCCCTCCCCCAGCCCACTTGGGGCTGCAGCCCAGCCCCCGCCCGCCCTGTCGGAGCTCCTCGCCCCGCGCCCCCCAGGGTCTTGACTCCCCCCACACTGCCGGGGCAGGACCTCCCCCTTGCGTCCCCACCAGCCTCTTTCCCCGCCACTCCCCGGCTCAGTTCCTCCCAGAGGTCCCTATGGCCCCCCTAGTGCTCCGGCCCCGTCCCGCTGGTTAGTGACCCCCGCAGACTCCTCCTCCCAGGACTCAGGCCCCTTCCGTGCCAGCTCCGCGGTCGGGGATGGGGGTGAGGATGGGGGTGACCCTGGCGTCCTGTGGCTCCAGGCCGGCGGGCGGCAAGGCTCCGGGGCAGCATGGGGGCTTCGTGGTGGCTGTCAAGCAAGAGCGCGGCGAGGGCCCCCGGGCCGGCGAGAAGGGGTCCCACGAGGAAGAGGTGAGTCCCTAGTCCCTGCGAGTGGTGGGGGAGTATCAGGGACTCGCCCGTAGCCTGGAAGCCCCACCCCGGGCTAGATTTGAATTCGCTGTGGCCCCGCCCACAGTCCAGATTTTCCTCGGGATGGTGAGGCCCAGCTACAGGCCATATGCCACGCCCCCAAGAGAGCCTCAGCCACTAAGTCCAGGCTCCGCCCATCGCCCAGTACCAGCTCCGCCTACTACCCTGTGGGAGGCACCTTCCCGTGGTCCGGTGGGTCCTTCCTCCAACAGAGAGGCGACGCCCACGCCAGAGACCACGCCCACAAGCGGGGCTTAACCCAGTCCCAGATGACTCGGAACCCCGCCCTCTCCCAATCCTGGGCCTTGACCAAGCCATACCTACAGGCCTTCCCTGCGCTGTCTCCTGGATAGGCCCCGCCCACCCCCTCTAGCCCTCTCCCAGCCCTCCAGGCCCCTCCCAATGGCGTGGTCCGGTTCTGCAGCCGGTGAAGAAGCGCGGCTGGCCCAAGGGCAAGAAGCGGAAGAAGATCCTGCCTAATGGGCCCAAGGCACCGGTCACCGGCTATGTGCGCTTCCTGAACGAGCGGCGTGAGCAGATTCGCACACGCCACCCAGATCTGCCCTTTCCCGAGATCACCAAGATGCTGGGTGCCGAGTGGAGCAAGCTGCAGCCGGCCGAGAAGCAGGTGTGCAAGGCGGGGGCTGCCCCAGGACCACTGACCTTGGCCCGATCCACTCGGACACTGCCCTGCAGCTACATCCCCCAAAGGACAGAATGTGGAGGGTCCTTGCTCCCGCCTGGAGAACTGACCACTCATGGGCTCTCCCCAGCAGGCTGAAGCCAGGGGAGGCCAGCAATAGGCAAGAATCGACGTAAAACTTAATAATCAACGTGGATAGGTGTAAGGAAGTAGGGCTGGGAGCCGGATTTTTATGGGCTATCTTCCGGTTTTCAAGTCCTGGTCATTAACTTAAAATTGCAAAGATCTCAAGGAAACAAAACAGACCAGTAGTCTGTGCCCTCTAAGTGGGATTTCAGCAAGCGAAATGGGGGCGGGGGCCGGGGGGGGGGGGCAGTCCAGCCTGGAAATGGGCTCCTGCCTTCAGACAACAGGGAGAGGTTGAGAACAGCAGGAGTTTGGGGGGAGGGCCCTGAGCTGTGGGCGAGGAGGCAGGTTTTGTCTCCAAGGCCAGTAAGGAGCTACGGGAAGGTGGGGCACAGTGAGCCAGATGGGGTGTTGGTGGCTGAGGCCCTCCGCCCCTGCCCCTGGGCCGGGCCGAGCCTCCCGCTGCCCCACCAGCGGTACCTGGACGAGGCAGAGCGGGAGAAGCAGCAGTACATGAAGGAGCTGCGCGCCTACCAGCAGTCAGAAGCCTACAAGATGTGCACGGAGAAGATCCAGGAAAAGAAGATCAAGAAAGGTGGGAAGGGGCCCAGCCCCCAGGCAGCTGGGCGCGGGCTCAGAGACAGGTGGCCCGAGGCGGATCCAGGCGGACCCAGCCGCTCTCCTCCGTGGGACTCCCCTAACCAGACTGAGTGCTGACCTGGGGGCACACAGACACTGGGGGGCCGAGGCAGGAGAGTTAGTAGGGCTAACTGGGGAGGTAGGGTATCCCAGGCAGAGGGGAGAGCACTCGCAAAGCACTGTGCACTCCGAGGAGACCCGCCAGTTCGGCTGATCGTGCCCTCCTCCCTCCCCCACCAGAAGACTCGGGCTCTGGGCTCATGAATACCTTCTTGAATGGACACAAGGTAAGTCCTCCTCTTGCAAGAACCACAGCTGGGTGAGAAAGGTCTGGAGTTCATGAGCCCCCCTCTGGGTGAGCCACCAACTCATGGGCGCAGGCGAGTGCCCCTCCTCCAGGCGTGCCAGCAGAGGTGGGGCCGCTTTCACGTCGTGGGATGTTGTTAAAAGGACTTCAACCCAGCTGACCAGAGGAATCCCTCCCAAGCTTGAGGGACGTCCCAGAGGGGTTTTGGCGGCCCCCCCCCCAAATTTGTCACCTTGTCCTGTTGTCCCAGGGTGGGGACTGTGATGGCTTCTCCACCTTTGACGTCCCCATCTTCACTGAAGAGTTCTTGGACCAAAACAAAGGTGAGCACTGACCAGGGGTTCCTGGGGAAGTGGGTACCAAGGCCGGAGATGGTGGGTGGGGGGATTGACCACTGGAAAAAGCAGAGGCGCCCACCTCTCCGCTCCCCCGCCCCGCCCCCCGGAGCTGGAGGCAGAGCGGTGACAGCCGGCCTGGCGCGGGGTGGGGCGGGGGTGGGGGACACAGCTAAGGCAAGGTCGGCGGGGGATGGGGGGGACGCGCCAGGCTCTGACCCGGCTCCCCCACGCCGCAGCGCGGGAGGCAGAGCTGCGGCGCCTGCGCAAGATGAACGTGGCCTTCGAGGAGCAGAACGCGGTGCTGCAGAGGCACACGCAGAGCATGAGCAGCGCGCGGGAGCGCCTGGAGCAGGAGCTGGCGCTGGAGGAGCGGCGGACGCTGGCGCTGCAGCAGCAGCTCCAGGCCGTGCGCCAAGCGCTCACCGCCAGCTTCGCCTCGCTGCCGGTGCCCGGTGCGGAGGCCCCGCCCATCCGCCCCGCACCCTCTGTCGGGCGAGCTCCGCCCCGCCGGCTCCACTTCCCGGCCCCGCCCCCAGTCGCTCGGAGGCCGGAGCGCACACGTCCCGGCCAGCCCCGCCCCCGGCCGTGCGACTTCAGCCCGAATGGCCCCTCCCCGGCGTGAGCTGAGCACGCGCCCGCCCTCGCAGACCCCTGCCCTCGCCGGCACTGCCCGTGACCCTCCTCCTCCTTGGCCTTCCGCGCTCTGGCCTCAGCTAACCTTGGCTACTTCCTCCTCCCCAATTTGTAAGCCGGATCCCCCCCCCGCCCCCCGGCCCGGGCCTCGCCCTCACCACTTTCCATCTTCTGCCTCATCCAATGCCGCCGACGCGCCTCGCCTCTGGCCCCCTCCCCGGGACCCTGCCCTTGGAGACCCGCCCTCCGCCTCTGACCTCTGCTTCTGTGGGTCCCCGGCCGCGTCGCCTCCGCCGCTTGGTTTGGGTGACCGCTCCCTGCCCTCTTCCAGGCACGGGCGAGACGCCCACTCTCGGCACCCTGGACTTCTACATGGCCCGGCTGCACGGCGCCATCGAGCGCGACCCCGCGCAGCACGAGAAGCTCATCGTCCGCATCAAGGAGATCCTGGCCCAGGTTGCCAGGTGTGTGCCGCGGCGGGTCACCCCCGGGGCTGTGCGCGGCCCGGGTGGGGCCGCCCTGTGCGGGGGTTGGGGGGCCACTTGGGGTTAGACCTGCCTTGGGCCCCGCGGAAATGGCTGGATTTCGCCCTCCAACGGGGTTCCCGGACTCGGGGCGCTGCCGGGTGGGATCGGGCTGCGGGATCTTATTCCGAGGGCACCGCCCACACGCGATCTACCAGGTAGGACTAATTTGCTGCCGGCGGCCAGTGGCCGGACCGCTGGGGGGCGCCGGTACCATTGGGAACTTTATGAATGCTGCTGGGCGGGATGTGCCAGTCCCCCTCGGCCAGTGGGATCCACTGGGGGGACCAGAACTTCCCCACAGCTGCTTGGGGCTTTTCTGGGCGGCTTCTAGCTGCCCGGATTGGGGGGATTGACTCCAGGCCCCCACTATGGCATTTGGAAGAACAGAGGGTTGGTGGCCTCTGATGACCCCCATCCTGGGGTTCAGAGCTGATAAATGATGGGGATTCCCCATCACGAGCCCCCCCCCTTCTTTCCTGTCATAGTGAGCACCTATGAGGGTGTCCGCCGCCGGAGGGATCCAGAGAAGACTGCCTTTGGTCACAGCCCCTTCCCCACCCCATGGAGGAGGATTGGGGGTCCACCTTTTGGGGCCATGCCCAATCCTGCACCTTGGGGGCTCCAGCCCCCCAAAATTAAATTTCTACAGCATCCCTCTAGCTCTCGATTCCCTCAGCAGCCTGACCCCGGAAAAATCACTTGCTGTACATGAAACGCCTAGAACCCAGAGCCCCGGGGCCCAGCAAGGTCCGCTCCCTTTGCACAACACTACAGGGACATGGGAGCACCACAGGGGCTGCAGAACCCAAGACACAAGGAGACCTGCAGCTGCTGGCACGCTCAGGGTGGGGAGGGTTATACCTGCTACACTGGCTCTCCTGGACCGGCCCAGGGACAAGGTAGAAAACCCCACACCTGTCATGCTGGGACCCCCAGAGGTGCTCACCGCAGGCTCCCCCCCACTCTGAGGCAGGCACACTTCAGGGACCTGCTCTTATACTCAAGGTGGGGCCCTCTGCTTGTGGCCTGAACCCCAGAATTGGGGGCGGCTGGTACTGACCGCCTCTCCCTCATCCAGCTGAGGGACCCTTGCCGAGGCAGCCTCTGCCTTTGCTCAATCTGGACTTTATAAATAAAGAAAGTGGAATTTGAATTTCCAAGCTTGTGAATGTTTTGGGGGGGGTGGGAGGTGGGCTAGAAGGTGTGCCCAAGGCCCCAAGACGCCCCTGCTGGGTGTCCCAGGCCCGCCCTCCACCAGTGCCCGGCAACCACTGACCCCCCCCCCCCACCTTCTGTCTGGAGGAGCCTGGTCTGGGCGTGTCACACGCGTGGATTCACATCTGTGCGGCTGTGTCTGGTTCCCTCCGAGTGTCGTGGGCTCGGGGTCCATCCCCGGGGCAGTGCGTGGGCCCCTCGCTCCTTTTTGTGACTGAATAATACTCCGACGTGTGGATGGGCCACAGTCTATTACCCTTTCTCTGCGGATGGACGTTCTGGTGGTTTGGGCTCCTGGGAGGCTAGTGTGATGCACATGCGGCCATTGGAACACCGGCTCTCAGTTCTGCAAGCTGCCTTCCCAGCGTGGAACCGCCGGTCCGGGGACGTACCGTGCTGGACTTCGCAGGAATGCTCTCTGCGACTTTCTGTGTAATGCAATATTCAAGCCATCTTAAAATTTTTGGAGAATAATTTGACAAACGGGATGTTGAATCATGTCCCCTCAAAAGATATGCTGAGGCCCTAAACCCCAGTCCTCAGAATGTGACCTTATTTGGAAATAGGGTCGCTGCGGATATAATTAGTAGGGATGAGGTCATCGGGAGTAGGGTGGGCCCCTGATCCAATGTGGCTGGTGTCCTTATAAGAAGACAAAGATGCGAAACCAGATACAGGGGACAGCCATGTGACCACAGAGGCAGAAACAATGGGCCAGCCGTCACCAGAAGCGAGGACAGGCAGGGAAGGGCTCTGCCGAGGTCTTGGAGGGAGCGTGGTCTTGCTGACAGGCTGACATCACACTTCGGGCCCCTGGAAACAAGAGAATAAATCCCTGTTTTAAGCCCTACGGCCACCCCAGGAGACTAGTATAACCAGATACTGTCACCTCCCCACCCCAGCTCCCTTGTCCCCCCACCCCCTTGCCAGCACAGGTACCCCTGTCCCAAATTTAGAGTTTTTCAGGCAAGGCTTTCTATAACTTTTAGCACATAAGCCTGTCTTCCCAAAAGAGTACCATCTTGGTGGGGTTTGGTTTTCTCCTTCAGTTTGTAAAGGTTCTAAAGTGTACAATTCTGTGGTTTCTAGTATATCTACAGAGTTGTGCAACCATCAGCGCAATCTCATTCCAGAACATCTCCATCCCCCCAAAGAGCAGCCCTGTACCCCTTAGCAGTGACCAACCCTCCCACCTCCCTCAGCCCCGGGCAGAAACGAATCCACTTCCCGTCCACTGAGGAGCCTGTTCCGGGCCTGTCACACACGTGGGCTCACACCCCGGGCGGCCTTCTGGGTCTGATTCCCTCCCCGAGCGTCGTGTGTTCAAGGCTCATCGATGTCATAACATCCGGACTTTTAAACTTGACATGATATTTTCTTTCAGTGTCCAAAGCCTGCAACTTGGCCCTTTCCATTAGCGCTTGGTTTCTGAGATTCTCCCAAGGCGGGACACCCCTGCTTGCCACCACTATATGGCATTCCATTGCTCTTTATTATAGGAGCCAAGTTTTTTGTTGTTGTTGTTGTTTTTTAAGATTTATCTGAGAGAGAGAGAGAGAGAGCGAGTGAGAGAGAGAACACAACCAGGGGGAGCAGCAGGCAGAGGAACAAGCAGGCTCCCCACTGAGCAGGGAGCCCCACACCAAGCTCCATCCCAGGACCCAGGGATCATGACCTGAGCCAAAGGCAGACGTGGAACCCATGGAGCCACCCAGATGCCCCCCAAAGCCAAAATTCTTGTTGTTGGCTGCCTCTGTGCTGTGGTCCCAGGGAATTGTTACGGATGCTTCCGGGTGCCCACAGCCTCCTTCCCTCTTTCTTCATCTGTAACCTGGGGGTTCATTCATTTCCTCACCAAAGATCGCCTGAGCACCTGCTGTCTGCCAGGCACAGGCCCCGGGATACGCCAGCAGGGGAAAGAGACCAGAGCCCCCGCCCTCTTACAGCTGACATTCTAGTCCCGGGGACAGCCAGGATATAAGATGAACAGCTGATCTCTCCAGTAGTGCTCTATACCAGGGAGAAAAATCTGGGAAGAGATTGAGAGGTGGAAGGAGGAAGTAACATTTGAGCAAGTAGCAGAGGGAGGTGTGGGAGGGAATCGCATGGATGACTGGGAAATGACTTTCAGGCAGAAAGAACACATGTGCAAAGGCCCTGGGGCAGGACCCAGCCTGGTATTAGAAAAAAGGCAAAGGGGCCAGTATATATGGATCAGGGGGAGTGATGGGGAGATGGGGAGGAAGGGAGGAGAGGGAGGGTATGGGGCAGGTTGTGCAGGGCCTGGTGGGCCTCAGGGAGGACTCCCCCCCACCACACGCCCCAGGAGGGAGCAGTGGAAGGATGTGGCTGAGGTTATCCCAGGGTACCTGTCCTGCCCCCTTGGAGGGTTGGTGCAAGGATTAAATAAGCACCGAGAGGACAGTGAACACTAGGTACGCTCAGCTGTTTTCGTCCTCATCGGTGATCCCTGTTTTTCCCTAGTCTGCAGCCCAGGGCCGGGAGGACTGCCTGGGGTCCCCTGGGAGCGCGCAGCTGGCACTGGCAGGGCCTGGACACCTGGGGCCGGACCCCCCTCTGCAGCCCGCGGTGTCGCCTTCCCGGGCGGCTCGGGTTCCCGGATCCCCTTACCCCAGCAGCTCGACTGTCGCGCCCTGAACCGGGGGAGGGGAGGCTGCAGGAAGCGGCGGATCCGGCGGCGACGGCGGTGGCGGTGGCCGGGGTGGCCCAGCTCCTCCGGCCATGGAGAGCGCCGCGGCCCAGGAGACCCGGGGCGCAGAGGCCCCGCGCCCGGCCGCGCCCCCGCCCTCGCCCGCGGAGCCCCCAGCCGCGCCCCGCGCCCGTCCCCGCCTGGTCTTCCGCACGCAGCTGGCGCACGGCAGCCCCACTGGCAAGATCGAGGGCTTCACCAACGTCCGCGAGCTCTACGCCAAGATCGCCGAGGCCTTCGGGATCGCGCCCACAGAGGTGAGGACCCCCGAACCCCCGCCACCCCACCCCCCGCCAGCGCGGGAGGCGCACCCGTCCGACAGGGGATAGGGGTGGAGCCTGGAGCCGGGGACCGGGGGCTCCGGATTCCCCCTCCTCGGATGGAAGGGATCGGATCACCAGATCTCGAAGACACACCCCTCAGGTCCTGGGGTGCCCATAACCTAGAGACCCTCTTCGCGCGTCCTGCGCAAAAGAGGAGCCCGGTATAGGGTTAGTGGGTCCCCAGGCCGTCGAGGAGCCCACTGCGCTGAAACAGCTGAGAGTGGATCCCAGCCCTCGGGGAAGGGGAAGCGCGTCCAAGGCTCCTGGGCGCCGCTGGGGCAAGGGTTCCAGGCAGCCGCCTTCCAGGTGCGAAGTCAGAGGCCCCAGGGGTCAGGGGCTGGGCGGCAGAGCTGTATGACTCGCAGCCCCCAGGGGGCGCCAGTAGATTCAGAATCGACTGAAAAAGTTGGGCTGGAGTGTCAGGACACCAACTGGTTAAAACTGAAAGACTGGGGATGGAGGAAGGGTCTCTTCCTGCCCACATCCCCCTTATCACCTTGCTCCTGGTTAGGAGGGTCTCAGACTCCCTCTTGCACGCCCCCCCCCGCCCCATTCTGGGGGTCTCATGTCCAGCCTTTAAACCCGAGGACTGGGATCCTGGTGGGTGGGTGACCAGACGCGTTTCATGCCTCTTTGTGCCTCAGTTTCCCTCTCGGGCTCCCGAACCCATCACCCTGGTTGTCTGCACAGAGGGCAATGAACGTTGTCATTAATTCTGGACTCCCCTCCCCTTGGGACAGATCTTATTCTGTACCCTAAACAGCCACAAAGTGGACATGCAGAAACTCCTGGGCGGCCAGATAGGACTGGAGGACTTTATCTTTGCCCATGTGCGCGGCGAGACCAAGGAGGTAGAGGTCACTAAGACCGAAGACGCCCTGGGATTGACCATCACGGACAACGGGGCCGGCTACGCCTTCATTAAGGTGCTCAAGGGAGGGCGGGTGACTTCCTGGGTGCTTGGGGACCTGGAATGAGGCGCTGCCCCTCTCTGGTCTAACCCGGGCTCTGGGAAGCCGAGGGGAGGTGGCTGGGCTGGCCCTGTGAGTGACTCTAGGTCCCCACAGAGGATCAAGGAGGGTAGCATCATCAACCGGGTCCAGGCTGTGTGCGTGGGCGACAGCATTGAGGCCATCAATGACCACTCCATCGTCGGCTGCCGCCACTACGAGGTAGCCAAGATGCTCCGGGAGCTGCCCAAGTCCCAGCCTTTCACCCTGCGCCTGGTGCAGCCCAAGAGAGCCTTCGGTGAGGGCCACCTGGGGTCCAGGGGGCAGGTGGGGTGGTGGTGAGGAGCTCTTCCAGAAGCGGGTTCTCTGGACGCCAGTACAGTGGAGCATGGGTGTATGTGAGGGGGGGGAATGGGACAGGATGGAAGGTTCTAGATGCCTCTGGCGCCATGACAGGGGGCTTCTGGCACTGTGTTAGGAATAGGTAGGTAGTTTCTAGATTGTCAGAGTCCGTCCGAGGGTGGGGGCAGGCGGGTTTGGAAAGATCAGGATCAGAGAAGGAGGCGTCTGGACCTATTTTGGCTGTGGTTCTAGAGAAGGTTTTTCCAGGTGTGTTCTAGAACCGTATTTTTAAAAATTTATTTCTTTATTTATTTGAGAGAGATTCAGCATGAGCAGGGGGAGGGGCAAAGGGAGAAGCAGACTCCCCACTGAGCAGGGAGCCCGATGGGGGGTCGATCCCATGACCCCGGGATCACAACCTGAGCAGAAGGCAGATGCTTAACGGACGGAGCCACCCAGTTGCCCCCAGAACAGTGCTTTCCCAAGAGAGGTCTGCGAGCTGTCCGTGCATGGGATAAGGGACTTGCTCTCCAAGAGGGTTTCCCCAGTTCAGCAGTGGGACATCTGGCCCAGCTCATTTCCTGAAGTGGGGGCCACCCTGGGCACAGTAAGGTGTCGGGCATCACCCCTGGCTTTGACCCAGCAGATGCCAATGGCAACCCTTACGTTGTAACAACCAAAATGCCTGCAGATATGGTCAAGGTCACCTGGGGGTGAAATCACCCGCCCCTGCCCCGGGGTCGAGAACCCCTGCGTTAGAATGCAGGCTGCGTGTCTAGCGGCAGGTGTGTTTTTTTAATAGCCAAGAGTTTCTCAAGGAAGAAATCAACGCGCTGCTTTCCATTCCGGCACCACCTTCCTATTTCATTATGGATTGGCCCTTTGAGCTGCATTGTTCTCAGGCGAGAGGTTCTAGAAGCATCCAGGCACATCTGGAGGGAGGTCCCAGGGAGAAGGGGACAGGGTGGGGTTCCAGATCTGCCCTTTAGCACAGCAGTGGACGCTGAGAGCCGTGCCCAAATGTTAGAAGGATGAGTTCTAGACAGTCTTTTCCAGACGGACCCTCTGGCTACAGGAGGGTCTCAAGCAGTCCCTTCTAGAAAGTCATTTTAAAAAGAGGAGGGGGGCGCCTGGGTGGCCCAGTGGGTTAAAGCCTCTGCCTTCGGCTCGGGTCATGCTCTCAGGGTCCTGGGATGGAGCCCCTCATCAGGCTCTCTGCTCGGCGGGGAGCCTGCTTCCCCCTCTCTCTCTGCCTGCCTCTCTGCCAGCTTGTGATCTCTCTATCAAATAAATATAGAAATAATCTTAAAAAAATAAATAAAAATAAAAAGAGGAGGGACAGGGGGCGCTTAGGGGGCTCAGTCAGTGGACTCTTGATCTCAGGGTTGTGAATTCGAGCGGCATGCTGGGAGTAGAGATTATTTTAAAACGTTAAAAAATAAAAAGAGGAGCGCCTGGGGGGTTTGGTCGTTAACCATCTGCCTTGGGCTCAGGTCGTGATCCCGGGGTCCTGGGATCGAGCCCTGCATCGGGTTCCCTGCTTGGTGGGAAGCCTGCTTCTCCCTCTCCCACTCCCCGTGCTTCTGCTCCCTCTCTCGCTGTGTCTCTCTCTGTCAAATGAATAAAAAAAGAAAAAATCTAAAATAAATAAATAAAATTTTAAAAAAGGAGGGAGATTTGGAGGAAGCAAGAATTCTCAAGCAGGGTCTCTGAGGATTCACCCCTGGACGTAAGGAGGGCTTTGAACAACAAGAAGGTTCTAGAAAGGCTCCGCTGGCAGCTTCTGAGCGCTTACACAGATGCGGACCCGCCCAGAACACATGTCCCTCCCCCGGCTCTGTCCCTTCCAGATATGATCGGCCAGAGGAGCCGTGGCAGCAAATGTCCCACGGAAGCAAAAATGGCCAGTGGGAGGGAGACCCTGCGTCTTCGTTCTGGGGGGGCTGCCACAGTGGAGGAAATGGTGAGTGAGGGGGAAGGGAGCCTTCGGGGGCTCTGCTCTGACTCAGTGGGACCGCAGGTAAGAACCTCTCCTTCGTCAAGCCACTCCCCTCCCTGAGAGATGGGGCCTCGTGGGGAGGCAGGACAGGAGCGGTGGCACAGGGGCGGGGCCTGCGGAGGGGCTGGGCTGGAGGGATCCCAGGCTTTGACCTTCTCTGCCGGGCCCTGCCCCCATCCCCCAGCCCAGCGAGTTTGAGGAGGAGGCATCGCGGAGAGTGGATGACCTGCTGGAGAGCTACATGGGCATTCGGGACCCAGAGCTGGGTAAGGGGCCAGGGTAAGCCGGGTGGACCCTGGGGGGGAGGGTAGCCCACCGGGAGGAGTCAGAGGCCCGAGGAGCCCCCTCACCCGCCTTCCCTCCTGCTCGGCCGCAGCAGCCACCATGGTGGACACGTCCAAGAAGACGCGGAGCGTCCAGGAGTTCGCGCACCGTTTAGATTCCGTCTTGGGCGAGTTCGCCTTCCCGGACGAGTTTGTGGTGGAGGTGTGGGCCGCCATCGGCGAGGCCAGGGAGGCCTGTGGCTAGTCTGCCCCGGGGCCGAGCGCAGCCCCAGCCCAGAACCCAGTCCCCCGCCCGAGCCCGCCGGGCCGGTTCCTGAAGCCCACCTTGGCCCCAGGGCCCAGCGCGGATCTGAGACCCAGCCCCGCTCTGGGACCGAGCTTCCCGCTAGACCCCCTACCAGTTCTGAGAGGTCAAGTTTCAGCTCTGAGGTCAAGTCTTGCTCTAAGACCAAGCCCTGTTCTAGACCTTGGGCCAACCCTGAGACAAAGTTCATCGCTAGAAGGCGATTCAGTTCTGAGACCCAACGCAGCCCCGAAACCCAGCCCTTCCCTAGAACCCAAGACAGCTCTGAAGGTAGACCAAGCTCAGAAGCCAAGTTAAGGTCTGGGTCCCAGGTAAGTTTTAAGACACAGCCCAGTTCGGAGATCCATCCCCGTTCCGGAAGCCAGCCCAGATCTGTGTCCAAGCCCTGCCATCAAACTCAACCTGATGGGGGAACTCAAGACAGCCACATGACGCAGCCGTACCTAGATGCCCCGGCTAGCTCAGGAACTCCCGTTAGTTCTGGAGCCCAGATCAGATTCAAGAAACAATCCAGCACCAGTAGTCACCCAGACTCAGGACTGGAAGACGGCTCCCAAACCCAGCCCTGCTCACGAGCCCAGATGCTCGCTGCAGTTCAGTCCAGACCCAGATCCCAGCCGTGCTCTGCAACCCAACTGCCCTCAAGTCCTCACCAACATCCTGGAGCCTGGTCCGGTTCCAGCGATGAGTCCAGCTCAGAGACCGAGCCCAGTTCCAGACCCCAGCCTCGGGCTACTACCAGGTCCATCTCCCGAATTCAGACAAGCTCTGACACCCCTTCCACTTCTGAGGCAAGGCCCGCCTCCAGAGCTTGGCTGGATGCCAAGCCCCGCTCTCCCTGCAGAGTGCAGACCAGCTCTAGAATACCATCTAACTCTGGGGCCCAGACCAGTTTCAAGACCTGGGCCATTTCCAGAGCTCAGTCCAGCTCAGGCAGTCCACCCAGCTCCAGAACTCCGCTCCATTCTGAGGCGCGGACTGGGTCTGAAACCCCATCCAGCTGCCAACCACAGTCAGTTCCTGAGAGCCCACTGAGTTCCAGAATCCAGCTAAACTCTGGAATCCGGCCTAGCCTTGGGACCCAGACAGAGACAGCAACAGACTTAAGTCCCACAATTCTGTCTAGCTCTGAAAGCGGACCCAGCTCCAGGACCCAGGCTTGTCTGGGAGCTCAGTCAACCTCTGGGACTCAGCGTACCTCAGAAACGCTATCAAGCTCTAGATGCCAGCTGCAGGCCACAGCCCAAGGCAGCTCTGGCGTTGAGCTGGACTTTGGGAAGCAGACCAGCTCTGGAACTCAGCCAAGCTCCAGGATTCACTCCAGCCCAGAAACCCAGCCCAACTTGGAAACCCAGAGTGATTCCAGAACACAGCCTGTTTCTGAAACCCAACCCAGCTCTAGAACCCTGATCAGTTCTGGAACCCAGCTCAGGCCTGAGATCCAGCCCACTTCAGAGACCCAGCCCAGTGCAGGATTTCAGCCCAGCTCCAGGATTCAGCTCAGCCCTGAGACCCAGCCCCACTCTGGAACCCAGAGCAGTTCCAGAACTCAGCCCAGCTCGGGAATTTACTTTAATTCCAGAACCCAGCCTGTTTCTGGAACCCAGTTCAGCTCTAGAACCCAGACCAGTTTTGGAAGCCAGCTAAGCTCCAAGATGCAGCCCAGCTTTGGGACCCAGAGCAGCTCAAGAATTCAACCCAGCTCTGAAGCCCAGCTCAGCTCCAGAACTCTGTCTAGCCCTGAGACCCTGCTCAAATCTGAGACCCAGCTCGGTCGCGGGATTGAGTTCAGCTCAGAGACACAGCCCATCTCTGGAAGCCAGCTCAGGTCAAGAATGTTGCCCAGCTCTGGAATTCACCTCAGTTCTGGAATCCAGCCTCTTTCTGGAACTCAACCCAGCTCCAGAACCCAGAGTAGTTCTGGAACCCAGGCCAGCTCTGGGACCCAGAGCAGCACAAGAAATCAACCCAGCTGTGGAGCCCCGCTCAGCTTGAGAACGAAGTTTTCCTCTGAGACTTGGCTCAGCTCTGAGATTCAGCTCAACTCTGAAACCCAACCCAGCTCCAGAACCCTGATCAGTTCTGGAACCCAGCTCAGTCCTGAGACCCGGTCCACCTCAGAGACCCAGCCTAGGGCAAGAATTCAGCTCGGCCCTGAGACCCAGCCCCACTCTGGAACCCAGAGCAGTACAAGAACTCAGCCCAGCTCTGGAACTTACCTTAGTTCCAGAATCCAGCCTGTTTCTGGAGCCCAGTCCAGCTCCAGAATCCAGACCAGCTCAAAGATCCAGCTCAGCTCTAGAAATGGACTCCACCTACAGACCTCTAGCCTTGACCCTAGAGCCCAGGCTGATCTCACTCCCCCAGCCCAACATCAGCCCCCAGGCTCACCGCCCAGAGTCCTGACTCTGGCCCCTAGCATAGTTGCTCAGCCCCAGCCCCAGCCCCATGATCTGGTACATGGAACGCAGGCCAACAGCGGCCTGGGCCGAAGCCTACCAACTTTCCACCTGGCCCCACAGCCACAGATCCCCTCAGCCCCCCAGAAACCAGCCCTCTTCCCCAAGCCCCAGCTAGGACCCCAGAAGTCCACCCCACCCACCATATCTATCGTCTCTAGTTTGGCTCCCAGGGCGGCCCTTCTGCACTCCCAGCCCCCTGAGTCCCTAGCCCAGAAGCCTGTCCCCTCCCTGACACTCAAGGAGTCAAGGCCTGCTCCTTGGGGGTCAGAGCCCCTCCCCCACCATGGGGAGCTGTAGCTTGAGGGCAACACAGTTTTGGCTCCCATAATCCCCCCACAATCCTGTCTCCTGTCCCTCCCAGCTGGGTCCCCTGGAGGCAGCAGGTGACCTCATTCCCCCAGCATGTAGGTGTTGGGGGAGGAGGGAGAGTGGAAATGGGGACTTTAGTTTCACTTGGGCCTGGCTCTGGGCGGTGTAAGCAGATCCCAAGTCTGTGGAGTGGAAAGCTGGGTGTGCGTGCGTGGGGGGGGCATGTGGTCAGGAGGCAGAGAAATGGGGAGCAGGGGGCAATTTTGTCCTCATGTACCTTGAGGGCTCATAGGGAATAAAGGCACCTCTCCCACCCCTACAGCTGGGTGTGTCATTTTTGGGGGAGTTCACAAGGAGGACAGACGAAGGGGCAGGCATAAGGGTTTGCGGGGGGCGCACCTGACCTCACCGGATGTTTTCTAAGCCGCTGCTCTGTGCCAAGCCCTTTACTAAGTGCGAAGCCGGCCTGCACGGACCAGGCGCTCTGCAAAGCCTCAATCATCTGTCCCTGCAACCGATGTTTATTGAGCACCTACTATGGGCCAGGTGCGTTTGCTCGAGGCCCTGGGCACCTTCAGTGTTGAGCAAACAAAACAGGCACCCTCTCCGCCCCCGCCCCCAGCTCTGCTCCGGCTGCCGTGGGCACATGGTCCAACGCGATCCAACGCACAAACTTTAAAGACTGATGACTTCAGACCCGAGGGAAAGTACGGCCGGGGAGGGCGTGATATATTTTGGCAAGGGAGGGGTCTCGCCCGTGCACACTCAGTATTTCCTAAGCAGAGCCTTCGTGGGTTGGGGTGTCCAAGGGGATCAACTGTACCCCAGAAAGCAGGTCATAGGTAGGGGTCGGAGTCCCCCATTCCCAGAGGATTTCTGGAAGGGGAGGCTTGTAAGTCTCCTTTCCTCAGACACCCCCTGTCATGCCTGCTCACCCTTCCTGGGGCCGGGAGGGGGACGGGAAAGGGGGATCCGGGGAGCGTTAGGGGGTCCCCAAGGCTGCTAGAGAACAGCCCACAATCCTGCCACTCCAAGGCTTGGTCCTTCTGAGACTCTGGGCTGCCGCAACCCCAGAACAGGCAGCTGTGTCCTCGGAGGGACGCGCCAGCCGGGGGAGCCCCCCGCAGCCGTCGGGCTCTAAGGCACGGGGCGTCTCTGGGTGTGCTGCGGCTGCAGGGACAGCGATCTGGGCCGGGCGCTGAGGCGAGGGTGGAGGCGGCGGATCACGGCCCGGCGGAAGAGGATGTACACCCAGGGGTCGAGGATCTGGTTCCAGGTGGCCACGCGCAGGTAAATGAGCAGCTGCTGCTCAGTGGCTCGCGACAGCTGCCCGCTGGGGCTCATGGCCGGCGGGCTGCGCAGCACCGTCTGGGCGATGAAGACCTGCCGGGGGTCAGAGCAGTTAGCCGGGTCCGCGCGCCGCCAGCCCCTGCCCCGCGGCCCACGCCCACCCCCGGAGACCCTCCACCGTTCCTGTCCCTGCCTTGCTGTGTGACCTGGGGAAGGCTGCCCGGCCTCTCTGAGCTTCAGCTGACACAGTTGGGAAATCGCGCGCTTTTCCTGCGCGTCTCGGGGCGCGGGGTGGGAGGCGGGACTGGCAGGTGGGAGCGGGAGTCCCGGCGCCGGCCCGCCTCGCTGGGCTCTGAAACCCCCTCCCATTCTAAACACGTCAGGATGTGAAACTTTTCCACTGCACCCCACATTCTTAGTTTTTATATTCTATGTTTTATTTAGCTTATTACTTTTTAAAGATTTTATTTATTTATTCACAAGAGAGAGAGAAAGAGGCAGGCTCCCCCGCGGAGCAGGAAGCCTGATGCGGGCCTCGATCCTAGGACTCCTGGGCATGAGCTGAGCGGAAGGCAGAGGCTTCAGCCACTGAGCCACCCAGGCGCCCCTGTATGTTTTATTTTAAATAACTTTATTTTATATTAAAATTTATATAATTTATGACATGGTTTTACACTAAATGATTCTATATTAAATTTGTATATTGAATTATTTAAATATGTTTTATCACTATTGAAATTTATGTTTAGTATGATATATAGTGAGTTATTTATAAATATGGAAAAAGGAATTATTTAATAATTCACATTGTAAATTATTATAGTAATATACTAGAGGTATATATTATATAGTATTTAAAATTACAGAATATTACAATTATATAACTGTATAATTTATATAATTAAACATACATATAATACAACAATGTGATAGTCATAATGTATATTTTATAACTATAATTAAAATTTAGATTAAGCATAATTATAATTCATATTGTGTTAAGTTATTACATTAAAGTAAGTTATTATGGTGAAATTATATTCATATTGGGGCACTTGGCTGGCTCAGTCTGTGGACCGTGTTATTCTTGATCTTGGGATTGTGAGTTCAAACCCCACGCTGTGCAGAGATGATTTAGGATCTTTTTGGGACACTCAGGTGCCTCAGTTGGTTAATCATCTGCTTTCATCTGCCTTCGGCTCAGGTCATGATCCCTGGGTCCTGGGATGGAGCCCCGCATAGGGCTCCCTGTCCTACAGACCCAGCCACGCCCATTTGTTTCCGGTGGCTGCTTTCCCATCCGGTTGGGACGGCAGAGCTGAGTATCTGTGACAGAGGCCATGTTTAAATATTTACCATATGGCCCTTTATGGAAAAGTTTCCCCACAAAGGGGACTCAGGAGTTTTGTTTTGTTTTTTTTAGGAGTTGTTTAATGATTCAGTGATTCTACCTAAGGGAAGGGACGCCTTTCCCCTTGTGCCCAGTGAGTGAACTCCTATTCATGCTTCAAAGCCCCAGCTCCAATGGTTCAAAGCGGGACAAAGCCCATTCTGGGAATCCCAAGAGACTGGAGACTGGGTGGCAGGGAAGAGAGCAAGGCGCAGCAGCATGGACGAGTCTGCTGGCGGTCAGGGTCCTTGGGAGGTGACATGTGTGTGCATCTCACCCAGGGGAGGGAAGCAGAGAGCCAGCAAGGAGTCAGTTCCTGGGGTGGGTCCCAGCTGCTGGCACCGATGGGTTCCCATGGGAGCAGCAGCCACAGAATGTTGCTTTTGGCTGGAAAATATGCTCTTGTCCTGCCCTGAGGTGCCCGTCCCAGGCCTCTTCTCATGGATATTACGCTTCGTATTTATCGGGCAGCACCCGAGTCATGTCCTCCTCTGTCCACAGGCCTCCAGGGCTCCCATCTCCCTGGGGGAGAAGCCCAAGTCCTCCCTGCAGTCCCCCCTAGTCCCCTCTCCACCCTCCCCTCCTCCGATTCTCCCCTGCACCCACTCTGTTCCTCCTCACTGATCTTCTAACATGCCAGGCAAGGTCCTGCCCCAGGGCCTTTGCATGTGCTATGCCCTCTTCCTGGAATGCTTCCCCCCAGGCCAGATCTCCACAGAGTTCACTTCTTCACCTCCACCATGTCTTTGCTCAAATGTCACCTTCACTGAGAGGTCCCTGACCACCACCAGGCCCAGTCTCTTGGGACATCCAGAATGGGCCCTGCTCTGCTCTGAACCATTCCAGCGGGGGCTCTGAAGCATGGGTAGGAGTTTCACTGCTAGATAAAACCCAGGAAGGCATTCTAGATAGACACTCCCTGAATTGTTAAATGACTCCTGGGGCCCCTTGGTGGCACACTTCTTCTTCAAGGGCCGTGTAATAACTTTCCTAAACACAGTGTCGGCCACAGCTAGGCTCTGCAGCTTCCGAGCAACAAGGAAGCACGCGGGTGTGGCTGTGTTCTAACAGGGCTTTATTTCTGGATGCGGAAATTTGAATTCCGTGTCATTGTCACGTGTCACAAAATGTCAAAATATGATGCTCCTTTCTTTGCGGTTTTCCTCCGACCACTTACATTTGTAAAAAATTCTCAGCAAAACAAAAAACACAAAGCAAAAGCAAAAAAACAAATTTGTGATCTTTCCATTTGCAGGTTTGTTTGTTTTTTTTCCCTAAGATTTTATTTTTAAGTCGTCTCTACACCCAACGGGGGCTCGAACTCACAACCCTGAACTAAAGAGTCACACGCTCCAACAGTTGAGTCCACCAGGCACCCCTGCAGGTTTGGTTTTTGTTCTAGTTCTTTTCACTTCCTACTATCGACCCCTTCCTGCATCCATACATGAGGTTTATGGCCCGCCTTCCCCACTGGCAAGAGTTCCAAGGAGGATCTCTGTCACTTCTGTTCTCTGCTGTGTCTTCAGTGTCTGGACTAGAGCCTGGAACATAAGAGTCACTTATGAAATGTTTGCGGAAAGGGCAAGTGATTAATGGGTTCATTTCCGTCTCACCGTAACTCGGAAGGTCAGACACTTTTTAATCCCCCTGATCACCAAGGCTGGAGGAGGGGAGCCCAGAACCAGAGTCACATAGCAAGTCCTTGCTGGGCGTGATTTGGACACCGAGTGTCTGACTTCAGACTCCAGACATGTCCTGATCAAACCAGAAATGGAAAAAAAATACCACCCCAAATGGAAAACCACACTGATCAGTGGAAGGAAGGACTTCAGCCAAACTTTCCCCAGGGTCAGAAAATCTGGCCAGAGCCCAGTTTCAGAACTAGTAGGCTCGGGAAATGTTTGATGATTCAGTGATACTACCTAGAATGCCTTCCTTTTTCTTGTTTAGTAGGTAAACTCCTATGTATCCTTCAAAACCCTAGCTCCAATACCCCTTCTCTGGAAAACTTCCTCTGATACCCCAGATAGAACATGGGAGTCCCTCCCTGGGCAACCCAGTCCTGACCCCAGCTGGGGGTCATCTGTGTCTCGTTCGTGAGCTCCTCAAGCAAGGACATTCGAACACTGGGGTCTGTGCCCACATTTTCTCGGGTGGATGAGAACCTGAGGATTTAAGTCCCTTGTGGAGGGGCGCCTGGGAGGCTCTGTCGGTGAAGCATCTGCCTTCGGCTCAGGTCGTGATCCCGGGGTCCTGGGATCGAGCCCTGCGTTGGGCTCCCTGCTCAGCAGGGAGTCTGCTTCTCCCCTGCCCTCTGGCCCTCCCCGGGCTCTTGCTTGCGCTCTCTCCCTCCCAAATAAACACGATCTCTAAAGGTAAGTCAGCAAACCCACTGAGGGTGGCGGGAGCCCCGGGCAGGGCCCCCGGCCGCACTCACCAGCAGCGGCATCCAGCAGATACTGGCCACCACCATGATGCCCGTGAGCTGAGCCATCATCTCCACCTCGCAGTCCCGCGGGCGCTGCTGGGCGGCCTCCCGCCCGTGGTAGACGTGGCACAGGGTGGCCACGCTGATTGTGTTGAGCAGGAAGGACAGCCCCACCGAGAAGCTGCCAAGGAGGGTGAAGAGCAGCCCGAAGGCCACGTCCCCGGGCTGGGCGCCGAGCGTGAGGAAGCACCAGGAGCCCGGGTACTGCACCGTGTAGCGGCCGACGCCCAGCAGGGGCAGCAGGCCCAGCGCCAGCGCCGACGCCCACACCAGCCCCACCGTGGCCCAGGCCCGGCGCTGCGAGGCCCCCGCGGGCCGCGAGAAGGGCCGGGTGATGCCCAGGTAGCGCTCCGAGGCCATGGCGGCCCCAAGCAGCAGCGGGCAGAGGCCGAAAAAGACCATGATGACGCCCATGAACTGGCAGAGGCGGCAGCCGGGGTCCGCGGCGCGCCAGTCGAACAGGATGGCGTGCTGGGACACCACGATCGCACCGGTGACCAGCAGCCCCATGAAGTCGGTGAGCACCAGGCCGCAGAGGAAGGTGAGGAAGGAGGAGCGCGCCTGCGGGCTGGCCTGCCGCGCCCCCGCCAGCACGCTCAGGGCCAGCAGGTTGGACGCCAGGCCCACCACGCAGAAGGAGGCCGCGAACCAGGGAGAGGCGATCAGGCGCCGCTCCTCCAGGGTGATGTTGGTGGGCCGGAAACAGGGCCCCAGAGAGGTGCCATTGGGCCACATGGCGCTGGGGCGGGGAGCGGAGGGTCACCACCCCATCGGGCCGACGCTGCGGGTGGGGAGAGCTGGCGCTGGCTCACGCACACCTGAGGGAGCAGAGAGAAGATCTGCTGGTGAGTCATTGTGCATTTTCACTGGAGGGGCCTGGTGAACTCCTACACCATCTTCAATACCCCAGGTCAAATATCCCCTCTTTCTTTCTTTCTTTCTTTCTTTTCTTTATTTTTTTAAGATTTTATTTATTTATTTAACAGAGAGAGAGAGAGAGAGAGAGAGAGGTCAGAAGTAGGCAGAGAGGCAGGCAGAGAGAGGGGGTGGGAAGCAGGCTCCCCGCTGAGCAGAGAGCCTGATGTGGGGCTCGATCCCAGGACCCTGAGATCATGACCTGAGCCGAAGGCAGAGACTTAACCCACTGAGCCACCCAGGCGCCCTAAATATCCCCTCTTTCAAGAAGCCTGTCCTGGCTCCTCTCACTCCCCACGCAGTATTACTATTCTAATAGCGCTGTTACCATGGCTCCCACCGCTACCACCACCAGCTCTGGCCCTCCCCAGACTCAGTGACCCACCAGGGTGAGGACCCATGTGGTCTGCTCTGCGGGCCCTGGAGAACAACACCAGGAGTCCTTTCTGAGTCACAGAGAAGAACCAAGGAGCTGTGGGTGGGAACCACCATCCTGGCGGCCCCTGCGTGAGCCCAGGCAAATGGTCTCTTCTCCCTGGGCTCCGTGGCCCCGCTCGCTCGTCACCCGGCTGAGCCCTCAGCCGACTGCAGAACCCGGGGCAGATTTCAGCTGCTGGGAGACGGGATGTGTGCCAGACGAGGAGGGCGGCAGGTGGGTGGCCTGAGGCCACCGGCTCTGAGGTCACCACTTCACCTGCACGTACGTGGGAGGCCTGACACCTTCGGCGTTTTTGGAAAACGCTGCCTTGCCCATGTTGGGATCGTGTGTGTTTTTTTTCCCCCGTTTTCATGGCATTTAAAAAAAAAGATTTTATTTATTTATTTGACAGAGAGAGACACAGCGAGAGAGGGAACACAAGCAGGGGGAATGGGAGAAAGAGAAGCAGGCTTCCCGCAGGGCAGAGAACCTGATGCGGGGCTTGATCCCAGGACGCCAGGATCATGACCCGAATCAAAGTCAGAAGCTCAACAACTGAGCCCCCCAGGCGCCCTGTGGCATTGTTTTTATAATGAAGAAATAAACCCAGAAATCTAGTTCCATTCTGGGAACAAAACCAGAAAAACCCAGCTCATCTGGAGCGACAGACTCCCTGGGGACGAGCTAAAAATGGCAGTGAGAGGGACCTGTTACCCTCTGGGCTGCGGGAGGACGCTGGAGACGCTGGGCCTAGCTGCCACGAGTGTGGACTGACAGACCAGACGTGGGGATGTCGCGCAGAAGCAAAGCAAGAGACCATCCAGAGAACAGCTCCCAGTGTCAAGAAGGACACACCAGAGAGGCCACTGGGGGCGCTGGGGCCTAACTGGCGGGTCCCTGGGCTCCTGCCCTGGGTCTACACCGCAGGTCCCCCTGTGTGGCCAGCGAGGCTGCCCCGGGGTGGGGGGAGGGCAGAGGGGACGCAGGTGGGTGGGCATGGGCAGGACGTAGGGCCGGCGGGCAGTTAGAACTCAGAAAGCTCCTTCCGTGACCCCCATTTCGCAGAAGGGGAAGACGGAGGCGCCAGAGAGGCCAAGTCTCTCGTCTGAGGCCCCACAGCCTGGCCTGAGTTGATCAGATGTAAATCCAGGCCTTGCTGTGGGCAAACCCGTGTAAATGATTTGCAGGCCTGCCGGCCAGAGGGAGCCCTAGTGTGGGGGGTCCCCATCACCACAATTTGCTCTAAGGGCTGGAATTTTCTAAAAAGCGGGTCTGGTCAGATTTGAATCCGGGTATTGTCAGGAACCCCGTCACAGACCCCCTGCTGGGAGCTCCCAGTTCCCTTCCTGTAGCATGGTGGACAGGAATGAGCTAAGCTGGGTACAGGGCTAAGTGCCCTGTGGGCGCTCCCTTCGCGCCAGCCCTGGCTCCCCGTCCTGCTAACCCGTGTGCTGGCCTGGCCCCTCTGCTCAGCAACTCCCTGTCGCTACTCATGAATTATCCAGCCCCTGGCAACCGCAGTGAGCTCTGCTCCCAGGCCGAGAGCCAAGGCCACGGCCACTTTGGTTGGGGGTGGGCTGTGGTGGGAAAACGGGGTCCAGAGAGAGGTGGGCGGCCGTGCAGGGGCTGTTCACAGTGATCACACCCTTACCCTCCACTGCAGAGCAAGCGGCGTGCTCTCTGCCATCACAGACTTGGCCTACATTTGGATTCCTCTTAGGACGGGGCACTCGCTCCCTTGAGAGCTGCTACACACTGTTTCTGAACCTTTCTGGGGACTTGGGCTGTGCCTGCGGCCCCTAACCCGACCTCAGCCTGGAGGGACCACCAGCTCCTCCTGGGGTTTCATGGCCCCACCCTGTGTGGGAGCTCAGGCACTTCTCATTCGCCCTGGGGCCACATACCCTGCGACTGCCTCACGTCTCCCCTATCTGGGAACAAACCTATGACCCAGAGCCCTTGGCCCTGGGGGAGGCTGGAAACTGGCATGACTCTCTCTGGGCACAGACCGTGGTTTCCACTCCACCCCTCCTCGCCATCAAGTTCAGGTGATAGCTGCCGTCTCAAGTTCCCTAGGCATGCGGGCCAGGCCCACAGGGACCCCTGGCAAGGCCTCCTTTCCCCTCCTAAGTTGGCTGGGAGGCATGGCAGGCCCTCCCCTGCAGGAGACTGTCAACACAGCGCGAGGTCCAGAATCAGTCCTGTGTGGCCTGTGCCCTGTGGGAGGCACGGACCCCCAGATTTGCTGCACAAACCCAGGCTTCCATGGCCCAAGAGCAGGGAGGTTTGGGCTTTGAAGGACCAGGGCTCTGGAATTCTAACAAGTTCCTGGTTCTGGAACCCAGGAGGCTTCAAGTCCAGAATTCCAAGGGGCGGAGGTTCTAGAACCTTGACGGGAACGTGGCTGGGTCCTGGGATCCAGAACTTCCATCTCAGCTCCTGGAACCTTCTTGGAGGACATCAGTCCACCTGGGTAAGGCTGGGCCACGGCAGGGTGGGGGTGGACGGCTCCATCCTGCCCCAGAGGCACAGACACCAGGCTGGGCCCTCCCAAGCCCAGCCGCCAGTGGAATGTGATCCCTGGTTCCCAAGCACCAGGCCCCTCCCCTGCCTGCTGGCGGCTGCTGGCCCTGCTCTCCTCTGGCTCTGGAGCTAGCCGCCTCTCAACACGTCCGTCTCACGCTCAACACTTCATCCCCTGGCTTGCCAGGCCGCCTGTCTCCAGGCCCACCCAGACACCCTGCAGGGACGAAGATGACCTCCCACCAGCTCGGACTGAAGTCCCTGATCTGCCATCGCCAAGCTACAGGCCAACACCGCCAAGCCTGTGTCTCCCCCTCTGTGAAATGCAGAAAACCGGGACACAAAGTCGCCTGCTGGTATTCTGGCCGATCTACCCAGGCCTGACCTGTCCTCATGGGTCCTCTGCACCCCCCACCCCATGCCTGGAGAGCCTTGCCGGCTCCTGGGGTGCTCCGGGCTGGCCGTGTGCGCGGGAGACAGCCCCGAGGTGGCCCCCTTCATGTCTGCTGAGTCCTCCAAGCTCTGGCCAAGTGAACGTCGCCGCCCTTTGGCGTAAAGCTGCGGGGGCCAGGCCAGCCCATGCCTGGGCGGCCTCGCAGGCCCATGGACCAGGACCCCTCCACAGACACCCTGGGAGACGCACCCTTACGGGTAGGGCCCCTGTCAGTCCCCAGGCCTGCCCTTGTCTCCCCTCCCCACACCACAAGGCTTAATTTCCGGGAACTTTTCCTGTTTGTGACACGGACCAGCTCCCACCTCAGAGGGTGTGGGGTTGGGGGGGGCCTCCACAGTCATTACAGCTCGGCCCTGGGAGCCTCATTCCCTCATTTGTACAATGGGTGCCCTCGAGGGCTCACCACTCAGCAGCCGGTGTGGGGGCCGCCCAGGAGGGCAGGTGTGGTTTGGGGTAAGGGGACCAGCCCCCGGGCCTTTGGCCGTGGGGAAGGATGGACACCGAGTTAGAGAGACGCTGCAGACCTGCGCGGAGACCCTCTGCTGCGGCCTGCCCAGACACACGGATGCTCGGCCACGCTTGCTCATGGCCGCACCCAGCCCTTGCACCCTTCCTGCCACATCGGAGGACCCTGAGCAGCTCAGCGCCCACCCAGGAAAACGCACCCACAGCACACCCTCAGCCACGCTGGGACGGGCCCAGGGCGGACAGTGGGGACGCGACCGCCCCCTCGGGGCACAGACCGGGTCTCAACAACGCCGCCGCCCCGACACCCAGCACCTGGCTGCCCGGCCGGCACGGGGACACACCCACAGTGGGGCGGGCCTCCGCGGGACACACCCGCCCGCTCTCACGCCCCGCCCCTAACCTGGCGGCCCGGCCTCACCTGGAGACGGTGACCGGTGGGACGCGCGGGGGTCGCGCCTGTCGCGGAGCCCCGCGGGCAGGCCGGCGCCGGGCCCAGGCCGGGGAGGGCGGAGCGGGGAGCTGGGCGGTCCGGACTCCCGGAGCCCCCGGGGAAACCGAGGCACGGCCAGGGGCGGGCCGCCCAGAGGACCCCCGGCCTTTCACGTCCCCGCAGGGCACAGATGGAGGGCGCGGCAGCTCTGGACGCTGGGATGCGCGAGGTCCTCCGGGGCTGGAGGAGGGGCGATGAGCCCTCGGGGCCCGAAAGGGGTGTCCGCAGGGGCTAAAAATAGCCCCGGCCCGGGGCTCCGATCCGCAGCCTGCGCCCTGTCTGTCCTTGTCTCTCTGTCTCTCCCTCCGTCTCTACGGGCCCCTCCCCCTGCACTGGCCACGCCCCTGTGGCCCGGCCTGGCTGATGGGGGTCAGTGGGCAACCCCCAGCCCGCCCGGAAACCCGCGCAGCGGTCTGGGGGAGTGGGCGCGTCCTCCTGGGCTCAGGGACAGGGATGCGGGTGGCGGGGGTGGTCGGCGCCCACACGGGAGCCTTTGGCCGGGGGCCGCCAGAGCCGGCCCCGTCTTTGCGCTCCCACCGCCAGGCCCCGCATTATTCACCATCTGGGCAGCACCCAAGGGCAGCCGGGGAGGGGCGGGGCCGCGGGCGGAACCCGCCGGGGAGGCTCCCAGACCCCCGCCCAGGGACCCAGGGCTCCAAGCTGGGGAACTGGTGGACTGGGGCCTGGCACACAGTAGGTACCTAATAGATGCAGGGTGTGCTTAGAGGGGAGGGGCGCCAACACTCAGGGAGCAGCTCTGTGGGCGCCCTGCGGAGACAGCCTTCCCCGCCCACCCCCCTCCGCCCCCAGCAGGTACGCAGGCCCTGGTGGAGGCTCTGGCATTCCAGGAAGGGGATCCCCTGAGGTCAAAGGTTGGAGATGGCAGTGGGCCTAGAGGAGGAAGGGAAGCCCCCAGACAGCTCCCTGCGGGAGGGTGAGGAGGTCAGTCCCCATCCCCCTCCATCCCCAACCCCAGCCCGGTGCTGGGTGCAGAAGGAAGCCCCAGCCAGTCACCCAGGGAGGGAGTGAGAGTGAGCCCAGGGAACCGGGAGCGGGGCTTGGCACAGGCAGGGTGGGCTTCCTTGAAGACACCCAGAGCCAGGGCTCTGGGCCAGGGTCTCATCAGCCACAGAAGCAGTGGGTTACCAGGCTGGGTGTGGCTGGAGGAAAGCCAGGTTAGGCCTTGAGTGGGTAAAGAGGGTCCAGTAGCTGAGGTCAGCCTTTGAAGCCACGTGGACAGCAGGATTTGGGTGTGAAGGGGTGACCCTGGGCCTCACTGGCCGCAAGTTAGGGCCTGCAGTGAGTCAGGGCTAGCTGGTTTGGCCTTGGCCCTGCCCCAGCCAGTCCTCGGGGGCCTGGGAAGGACACGCAAGGTCTGGCTCCGAGTGAGGACGTGCTTTTCTGCTCTCCCCTGCTCTGCCTTGCGTGTCCCGACACCCCTCTTCTGGCTCCCCACCCCACCATCCTTCCGGCCTCCGGGCCCCAGCGCACAGCCAGCATCCCCAGCGTCCTTCCGGACGGACTCTCCCGTCCTGGCCCAGTGTCTGAGGTGCGGAGGATTCAGTGGTTAACTCTGACTTCTCCTCCTTGGTGTGGGGTCTCCCCAGCTCCTCTGCATCTGCCAGAGCCCTGGCTCCAAGGCCCCGCTGTGTAAAGCCGTGTTCTCCCAAGCGGTCTCACCACCCCCTCCCGCCAAAACCTCTTCAAGAGCAACTCCGTGTCTTAGTCCACGTGGTGGGACAATTCTGCATCAGATCTGCCCTCGAGGATGCCCTCCTGCTGGAGAGACAGAGCTGGACAGAGTCCAGCCCCCTGTGGCCAGGCCGGGACCAGAGGAAGTGAGAGGGCTTAGGGTGGCCCAGAGATGAGCCAGGAAGGCATCCTGGGGGAAGAAGGTGAGAACTGGGCTTTGTAGAATGAATAGGAGTGCCAGGGATCAGAGACATGTGGCAGAAATTACGTTTTAAAACTTTGGGGAGGAAAGGGAGCATGAGGCTTCGGGAAATTGCGAGGAAGGCAGATGCGGTGGAAAGAGGATGTGGAGCTGGGCTCCAGATGTGGGGGAACTTGAGGGACATGGCTCCCTTCCCACTTCCTCTGCCCGAGATAACAGGGACAGCGTCCTTTCTGGGAACCGGCCATGGCAGGCGTCAGAGAGGGGCACTTGCCCCGCACTGAGTCTGGGCAGCACCGCAACTCTGCAAGGCAGTGTGGGAAACTGATGGGCGCCCGGCCGGCTCCGTTGGTAGAGCACGAGACTCCTGATCTCTGGGCTGGGAGTTCCAGCCCCATGTTAGGTGTGTGGAGAGCACTTAAAAACACAGACTCTTGGGGCGCCTGGGTAGCTCAGTGGGTTAAAGCCTCTGCCTTCGGCTTGGGTCATGATCTCAGGGTCCTGGGATCGAGCCCCATATGAGGCTCTCTGCTCAGCCGGGAGCCTGCTTCCGCCTCTCTCTCTGCCTGTCTCTGTCTACTTGTGATCTGGTCTGTCAAATAAATAAAATCTTAAAAAAAAAGGATTAAAAAAACCCACATAGAATCTTAAAAAATAAAAAAAGAAGGGGAAACTGAGGTCCAGAGGGAGGAAATGAGGCATCTAAGGGCACGTGTGGGGTGAGATTTGCACACAGCTCTGGCTTCCGGCACCTCCCCGCCTCCCTCCCAGCCCCGCCCCTCACAGTCCACTAGGGAGGCTCGGGAGGACCAGATGTTAAGAACAGAGGCCAGGCTCAGGATGCGCCCCCCGGGGCTGGTTTCCGGTGGGGGCCAAGCAGGGAGGATCTATTCTTAGCCTCCGAAGCCCAGAGCAGGAAAAGGATGGGGTGGGGGTTGGGGGCAGCTTAAGGCACTAGGTGGACCCTGGGTCAGGAGGGTCGGGCCAAGGGGTGCCTCCAGCCCGCCTCAAGGGTGGCCCCTGACACCCATCTCACAGCCCTGTCCAGATCACCCACCCTCTCTGGCTCCCCAAGGCCTTGGGAAGAGTCCAGCCCCTGGGCTTGCTATCACCCCGCTCGCCCCCTTTCCGTGGGCCTGTTCTCTGCCCAGCAGCCACGCGCTGCCTCGCCCAGTCCGGCTCCTGCGCCCCATCTCTGGGAAGCCTTCCGCGTGACTTCTGGGGCCCCCGAGACCCAATGCCTCCCCCTGCTGCAGCCTGACCCCTTGGTCTGGGGTGTCTGGGCCCAGCCTCCGCCCTTCAGACTGGGTATCCCAGCTTAAACATGGACCTGGCGAGCCACACTGTTTCCCCTCCTGGTGCAGCTGCCTCCCTTGGGGTCCACACCCTGCCAGGACTGCAGAAACGGAGGAGTTGGGACTCTCCTGGGAGCAGGTGGAGAAACTGAGGCTGGAACACGGGCGGCGAGCTGGGAGGTGGGATTCCCCTAGCTCTAGGCTCTAACCGGACCACCGCCAAAGTTTGAAGATGTGGGTCTCTGCGAGCCTCAGAAGCACCAAACGGACACAGACAACGTTGCGTGGAGCTGGACGGTGCCCGGACACAGCCGCCACCGTACCCACCCTGTGACCAAGCGCCAGGCTACGCTGAAGGGCCTCCTGGGTGTGCCCCAGACTCAGCCCCGCACCCGGGGGCCTGCTCTGCGTGCAGTGACAGTGAAGCAGCCCAGATGTCACCTGGTACCAACCGCGTTGACACACGCAAGATTCGAAGATTTGTCCCGGCAGTCAGAGCTCAAAGAGTGACGTGCGTCAGGGTGGGGCAGGGGCAGGACGAGCTCCGTGTGCCTCCGTGTGCCGCCCTGCCCTGCCCCGCACCAGGCTGCTGGGGGTGGACCAGCTGCCGGGCCGGCTCGCAGCTCGGAGGCTCCTCGACCAGACCCACGTCCCCGCTGCTGCTGTGGGCGCGTGAGGCGGGGCAGGACAAAGGAGAGGCCGGGCTGCGCCAGGTGCTCCTGGGATAGGACTAACACAGGGCTGGGGGCACCCAGTGGCCCGGGGATGGTCAGTCTGGGCCATGGACACCGGGTCAGACGGTTCCCTGTCAGGAGGGTGGCCTAGGCACTGTGGGGTGCCGAGCAGCGTCCCTGCCCTGCTTCCTGGCCCAGAGCTCCCCGTCCACGTGACCGCAGACCGCCATCCCCTGGCCTGGGACAGCAGCTCCTCAGCCCCCAGCATCTGCGCTCGAGCCGGCCGGGCACCCCCAGGGGTACGGGAGGCCGCGGGCAGACAAAGACCAGGACACCTGCGGACAGCAGGATGCTTCCCTAGGGACGGCCACGGACGAGTTTTAAGCGCTGCGGTTAAAGGTCTTCTCGCCCTGGCTGTGCTGTGTGTCCTGTGCCCACAGAGGACGGGACAATGTGACTGCCTGTGGCGGCAGGGCCTGGGACTCCAGACTGTCTGCGCAGCATTTTCGGAACTCTGGAAATATTCTAAAATAAAGTGTTTATTAAAAAAACATGCAACTTCATGAATAGACCAATTCGATGAAAATAAGACATTTCCCCCCACCTAAAAAAAGTCATTTTAGAGAAACAACCTAAAATGTTTCCAGACGGAACAGGGCATGTGGGTGTGGCCCCCAGGGGAGCCGGCACCGAGGTCACCCCGCTTCGGGCGGAAACCGTCTCTGGAACCAGGTGTCAGAAGCCACGGTCCTGGGGCCGCGTGTGGGTGTGGGGCGGCCGCACCTGTCAGCCCCGCAGCCGAACTCGGCCACTTGCAGGACACCAGGGCAGTCTCGGGCTGGCCGGGTGGCGGCCTCCAGGAACGCAGCTGTCCCGACACGGGGGAGCTCCCAGGCCAGGTGGGGGTGCAAGCGCCTCACACAGAGGTGTGCGGGTGCTGGGCGTGATGGCAGAGGCGTCATGCACACCCACCTGGGGTGAGTGGGGGACACAGACCCGTGGCAGCACCAGGCCAGCCCGGGCAAGGGCCGGGGGCGGGGGTCAGCCCTGGACACGGGTCCCTGCCCCCTCAGCGCTCTGGGGCAGGTTCTCTGGGACGCCCCCCACCCCACACCTCTGGGCAAGGGGAAGGCCCCGTCCGGGCCCCGCGGTCACCGGCGGTAGCGGTAGCGCTTGAAGTGGAACCAGAGCTGGAAGATGCCGTTGGCGAACTGGCAGCGGAAGCCGTGGCGGTGCGAGTACTCCCACTCGCGGTTGACGATCTTGAAGGCGATGTCCTCGTAGGGCGGCCCGGCGTGGAAGCGCAGCGTGGCGAAGTCCTTGTTGTCGGCGCACGCCTCCAGGAAGTACTCGGGCGTGGAGCGCTTGTCGATGAGGTCGGGGTAGAAGATGTTGAACTTGTAGCCCTGCACGATCTTGGGCGGCGGGTTGTCGAAGTCGTAGTGCGTCTGGTTGTACTTGTTCCACTCGAAGCCCGTGTGCACGCGGTTGAAGAAGCGCGGCTTGCGCGGCCGGTACTTGTCGGCCCACAGGTAGGCCTTGCCCGTCAGCGGCATCTCCACGCTGAACTGCGCCTCGTCCTGGCCCATGCCCTCCTTGGCCCGCCGGAAGAAGATGTCCTCGGCGCTCTCGCTGGCGTCACCTGCCGGCGGGGCGCTGTGAGCCGGGCTGGGGTGGGGGGAGGGCCCTGTCCCTGCGCGACCCCCTCCCCTGCCCCCGGGGGCAGACAGCGTGGGTCCCCTCGGCCGCACCTGTGACCTGGAGCTGCTGGCGGGACAGCTGCAGCCGCTGTGCGTCCTCGTCGGGCTCCAGCACGTGCGCGTCCAGTGGCAGCTCATGCGCCGTGAGCAGCCGGGGGCTGTACTTGCCGGCGTCGTAGTCATCCAGGCTCTGCTGGATCAGGTCCTCCTCCATGAGCACCGCCTCCCCGTCCGCCTCGCCCTCCGCGGGCGCCGCCCCCTCGGCCTCAGGATCCGCGGAGCCGCCCTCTGACGAGGGCCCGGGCGGGGTGGGCGCTGGGTCCTCGGGCTCCAGGCTGCGGAAGGGAGAGGGCTGGGCTGGGCCAGACGGCAGCGGGTTGGGGACCGGGCGGCCTGGGGCCCCGACGAGGTCCTTGGCTGAGAAGGGGGCGTGGGGGACAGGAGGCCACATACCTGTGGCCGGGTGACGGGGGCTCCTGCTTGAGGATGGGGAACAGGGGCTCGCTCTCCACGCCCTGCTCCTGCTTCAGCTTGTACAGCTTCTGTCGCAGCACGTCCTGGTGCCGCTCCCGGAGCCTGCAACACCGCCAGGCAGTCACCCCGCCGCCCCAGCCCTCGTCCAGACCCCCTTTCACGGCAAGGGTCCTGGGAGCCGGGGAGAGCGAAAAGCGGCGCCTGCCCAGGCCGTGTCCTCAGGTTCCAGGCTGCGGAGGACAGAGGGTGCTGGGGGCCGCAGAGGTCTATGGCCGGCGGAGGGGGGGCCGCTGGGGGCTGCGCTTCAGCAACGAGAAAACGGGACTCTGGTCACAGACCCTGCCGGGAGTGGCCCTCCAGGGCTGGGAAGGGCGGGGCCCCACAGCGGGGACTTGTGTGCCCTGGGAGCCACCAAGCCGGGCTGAACAGGACCGGGAGGCCGGCAGAGGGGAATGAACGCAGAGCCGGCTCTGCCTGGTTTGCAGCAGACAGGCGCTGTGTTTACACAGTGCGGCCAAACACGCAGAGAATTTGTACACAGAGGGTGTGGGGTGGGCAGGAGGCGGGTGGCCTCAGGGCCTGCCGTGGCGTCTGCAGACCCCGGGAGACAGGGGCAGATGCTGCTGGAGGCCGGGACCCCTGAGCCCCACCCGGGACCCCGATCCCTGCAGGGCCGGGCGGTGCTGACCTGGCCCGTGCCATGTGGGCGCGGAGCTGCTGCAGGAGGCTCTCCCAGTAGCCCATGTCCAGGTTGGGGCCCCCGGCCCGGATTTTGCCCTCGATGCCCTGGAAGATGACCCGCAGCTGGCCGTACGTCTTGCCCTTGAAGACCGACTGCACGTCGGAGCTGACCGAGGCGTTGACCCCCTCTCGCCGCTCCCCTGTGGGGGATGGGCTGCTCAGCACGGGGCAGGGGCTGGACCCTTCCCTTTGCCCACACTGCTCTTCCTTTGGTCCCGGGGTCCTGCCTCCTCCCGGCCTCCCAGCCACCCCCGCCTCTGGCTGGATCTTTCTAACACATGTCAGGGACTCCTGGCCATGGACCTTACCCGGGATGGTTCTGACTCCACGGATCGGGAGAGCCAGGCAGGTGTTTCCAGCCTCTCCCTGGTCCGGCCCTCGGGCCAAGTCAGAGCGCCTCCTGCCACCCCCACCCACACTGCAACAGCAAAGAGGAAGAACCTGACAGCCGGACCCCGGGAACTCAGACCCTGCTCTGTCAGCCTCGGCTGGTGACCTTTGGGAAGTGGGTCACCGTTTCTGGGCTTGGCTCTTTCCTCAGTAAGGAGAGCTGGTCATTTCCTGGGCTCTGCAAAGTCCTAACACTGCCCCAAGGCAAGCGTGTCCCCCTGTCCTGCATCGATCACGAGCTGGGAGCCCAGGGACAGGTCCTGTGCCCTTGGATGGAGAGGTCCCTGAGGGTGGGGATGGGCATAGCCTGACTCTACCTGCTCTGACACACCAGCTTCCTTACTGGTCAGCAGACACCAAGCCCTGCCACAGGGCCTTTGCACATGTGTCGCTTCCCACCAGCAACACAATCCTCCTGGTCCATTTTGCCTCCCAGACTGCTCCCCTTGCCCTGGAAGCCTGATTTGTGGCTTCCCCTGGGTGGGGACCTCGGAACGCTGCCTCCCTGGCACCAAGCTGGGCCTGCAGCTGATGTGCAGCTGCTGACGGATGCAGGCGTGCACGAGCAGCACACGACCCCTGCTCAACAACCGGCTTCGGCAGCCCTCCCACTGGACCAGGGTCGCAGCTGGTCAGACACAGTCACAGAGGACCCAAGTCCCTCTAGCCAACCAGCGTGGGGTCCTGGAATCAGCATCTAGAGACCCAACCCATCTGCCAGACAGCTGCAGGTCCCCAGAAGGTCCCAGACTCTGGCTGAGTCTGTGACAGGCACAGAAACATTACGGGACTAGGACTGAATCCAGCAACAACTCCCACCTGCCCGCGGGGCCGCATCCCGCGTTCGCACACATGGAACTCACGACCCACCCAGCCAGCAGCCGGCGGCGCGGCCCCCGCAGGAGCCCCACTCTGCCACATGGCTTGAAGAAAGTCAGGTCCCAGGTCCCAAATGCACAAGGCCCGGCTGGTTCCTGACGGTGGCTCCAGCGCGCTGACTGGAGACTCTCTGGGACAGTGCTCAAGACAGAGGGCAGCACCATGGGAAGCACCCACAGCGAAAGGTAGTGGGGGGCCCGCCACAGATGCCCACTCTTATCACACAGTTGGAACTTCCCAATTACTGACAAGAGAAAGAAAAAAAAGTCCAACTTGATTTGTAAAGATGACGCACGGTGTTTGGCGGGTCTCCAGAACAGAGGAGCAGAGGCCTCTTGGAAATCATGCTGAAGGGAGACGCGGAAAAGCAAGCTCGTCTCTGAGGACAGCCAGAGCCCACTGGGACCCCTGCTGTAGCAGGCAAGGAGGGAAAGCAGACAGCGGGGCCTCGGCCATCCCTGGGAGAAGAGAAGAGGCCGCGCAAGGGGGCGACCAGCAAGGGAGCCCAGCGCAGCAGCGGCCGGCCAGAGACTCTGGGACTCTGGAAAGGGGAGCTGTGCAAAGGGGGACACACAAGAGGCGGCCCTCACTCTTCCCCAGCTGGGGATGGGGTGGGGTCAGGTGTTCTGAAGGAGAAGGCCCTACTGCCCGCAGCCACGGGGGAGGCGAAACACATCTCCTGATGCGCATGACGTCTGAGAACTTTCCGCCAGAAACTCCTGGAGGATGCGTCCCACCAAGATGAGGGCACAGAGCACAAGAAAGGAAGATGTGGGGTCGTAGAAGGAGCAGCTCCAGCACAACAGAGTGAAGGGAAGCCGCGGGAGGCGGGGGTGAGGGACACAGAGGGCACAGGGACAAGGAGAAAGGGGCCCGAGGAGAGGCTCCAATGAGTGGGGCCACCTAGTCAGGGGAGCTGGAGGGCTGGGAAGGCCTGGGGTCCGCGGTGGCAACGAGCGGCCACAAGTGCAACACCCTCAGGCACACGGGCCGGCATGGCCTGGGCACGACAACCACTTCCTTGCTGCTTCCCACCTGACACTCCTGAAGGTGTCTTGTCATCCCCAGGGGACAAAAGGGACAAATGGGCTCCCAGGAGGTCGCCGAGCTGCCTGGTGGGCTGGATTCGCACTCAGGGCCACACCTGCCCTGGTCGGTGCCCGTGGGAGCAGAGTTCTAGACTCAGGACACTGCCACCAAAGGAAATACCTCCTCATACATCTCTGAGAGCAAAGAATTTCCTTTTCTTTTTTCTGAAGTCACTACAGGACGTGTCCTGCCGAGACGACAAGGACGCAGGAAACAAATCACCACTTATAGAGATGATGGAAGACATTCCTCCCTTTCCTAAGAGGAAACCAGCCCCCCACCCCCTCTGAGCAAAACAGGCCTGGGGGAGGGGACAGCACGTGTCCTCGGCCACCACCACGCCTGAGAGACGGCGGAGCCTAGGACAGCCCATGAGGCCCCGGGAACCGGGCGCTGTTGAAGCGGTAGCCTCAAGGGGCAGGAATGCAGTCGTTGTAAGCCTCGGGAACAGTGGTTCTCACCCAGGGCGAGTCTGTCCCCAGGGGACACCAGGGGATGTCTGGGGACACCTGTGGCTGTCACGACTGAGGGTGCTCATGACGCAGAACAGGTGAGGGCCCAGTGTCTGCCTGAGAAAGTACGAGAAACCCAGATCCAGGGCTCACTCCCTAGAGCTCATGTGTAAGGCCACCTCCGGGGAAAGAAAGTGAATGACGGAGAGCATCAGATGGAACCTCTGGAGCTCCAGGGACTTCCCAGATGGGCAGAGCTGAGCCCCACTGTCGCTCAAATACACCCAGCCTCCAGCAGAAACTTGAAACACAAACAAACAAGCCCCCGCGGGCGCCACTCCCAGGAAAGCAGGCGGCTGAGGAGCAGTTAAAGGAAGCCGGTGGGTCCACGCTGGGCTCTGAGCCCCCACCCGTTCAGGGTCCGGAGCACCTGCTGCTGCCCCCTGGTGGCTCCCGGAGAGGCCTCCAGAGAGCGAGGGACACCCCACATGGGGAAACCAAGACAGGCAGGCAGCACTGGACCAAGGCAGCTCCGGACCAAGGCAGCTCCCCACAGACCCAGCCCCATGCGCCCAAGGGCACGCCGGGCACTTTCTGGCTCCCCTGCCCCAGCCCTGGGTTACCGGGGCCCTTGCCCGAGGCCTCCAGCTTGCGGAGCTTGGCGATCTCGTCTTCAGTGATGGTGGTCATGTCCCGCCAGAAGTCCGCGTTCTTGCCCTGCTCCAGCTCCATGTACACCTGGGGAGGGACGTGCAGGGGGCTGAGCGCGGCCAAGGGCTGCTCCAGGAGCCCGGGCGCAAGCGGCGGGGCCGGCCTGTACCTGGATGTCCTCCAGCAGGTCCTCCATGTCTGCTACGGTGAGGCCGTTGAGGAAGGTGTACGGCTCGTGCATCTCCACAGCCAGGTCATCGTCCTCGGCGCTGATGTACTTGGCCAGCAGGTCTATGGGCTTAGCCCGCCCGTCCCGGATGCGGATCTTGGAGCTGCCAGGGAGCAGGGAAGTGGCATCAGAGCCCAGGGTGCATGTTGGTCCCTCCTGAAGACCCTTCCCTGGAGGAGGGGCCTGCGTGGGAGCCAGGGGAGGGGCCAGGCCTGCGGCCGTGGTGGTCAAAGAAGTCTTCCTGGAAGAGGGGGTACCAGGCACAGGAGCAAGACAGGTGACAGATCCAGGCCTGGACCAAGCAAGCGCAGCTTATGAAGAGCAGCCGGTGGGAGTGGAGCAGGGCTGGGGGACACAGAGGGGCGGGGAGGACACCCCCTCCCAGTGGACGGGCAGCCGGGGCAGGCGATGGAAGCCTCAGTGCTACACCATGGAGATGCGTGTCGGAGGCTGAGGCTGGTCCAACCCGAGGGTGCCTGGAACCAGGCAGGTCCGAGCCCTGGGGGCCGGTGCGGCCAGAAGGCGGCAGGACAGAGAGGGGGCAGAACGGGTTCCCCAGGCACACGTGCCAGGCCTGGGGCTCAGACACCCGCTGTGTGGCCTCAGGTGCTCCCGAGTGCCTGTGTGTGACCGGGCCTGATGAGCAGACTCTTGGGGGGGCTGGGGGCGGAGAGGGAGGACGACGCCAGCTCGGGGTCCAGCACCTGCTCGCTACTGCAGCAGCACTACGCACAGCAGAGACTGCTCAGATGTCTCCTTGGCACGTGACTCGACAGGGGAGACGGGCTCGAGGGAGGGACTCTCTAAGGAGGTGTTCGGGGGAGACCTGAAGGGAAAGGAGGACCAGCCAGAGCAGAAGACTCCAGGCATGGGAAAGAGCATGTACAAAGGCCCTGGGGCACACCGGGCCCCCAGTATTTGGGCCCACGAGGGTGGCGGGTGGCGGAGGCAGCGGCGTGTCTGCAGGCGCATACCGCAGCTTGGCCTGCTGCAGGTGGAAGTTGTCCTCCTGCTCCTCCCACGTCTTGAAGTGCTCCGCCTCCTTCTCCCGCTGCAGCATCTCCAGCTCCTGCTCCCTCATGGCCTTCTCGCGCTCCCGCTCCAGCCGCAGCTGCTTCACCTGGGGGCGCCAGGGAGGGGTGGGGGGGTAGAGACAGGCCAGAACTGCCAGAAGGGGGTCTCGTGGGTCCTGCGGGAGATGACCCAGGCGTGGCCCCAGCCCGCCGGCCCCGGGCTTGGATTGGTCAGGGAAGCCAGAAGCTTCACACAGACCTTGAGGCAGAGGAAGAGTCCTTCTGCGGAGACACAGCTGCCTGCGGCAGCCAGGGTCAGTCTGGTGCCCGTGAAGGGAGTGTCTGAGAGGAGAGCCCAGGGGTCAGCAGGACGGAGAGGTGCAGGGAGACAGCTTGCTGGAGGCACTGCCCAAAGCCCTGGATCCAGCTGTGCCTGAAGCCAGCCAGTTCCCTGGGTTTTCTGTGAAAGCCAGTCGGGCCCCCCAGCTCAGGCCCCCCGGGGAAGGGCTCCGGGGCGCGGACGGCCCGGGGCGGCCGCACCTTCTGCAGCTCCAGGCGGTTGTCCGCTCGGACTCTCTTATTCCGCTCCTTCAGCTCCTTCTCCTCCAGGTGGCCGATCCCCTTCTTCTCCAGGGCCTGCAAGCGCCGAGCACAGGCCCGCTGAGCGCAGACGCCTCCCCGCCTCCCGGGCGCCCCTGCAAGAGTCTCATCGAGACCCGGCAGGCCGCGCCGTGTCTCGACGGCAGGAGAGAAGTGAGCCGCCCACGGCCGGCCTCGGGGCCCGCCGCTGAACACCCGCCCCCTTAGCGCCCCCAGGCGGGACACGAGAGATCGCAGCACTCCGGATCGCGCCACCCTGCAGAGGGGAAGCAGCTGCCCGCCCCAGGGGGCTTCCGGGGGCTGCTCGCCCTGGTTCACACAGAAGCCCTGCTGGGCCAGCTTGGGGTGGGGCGGGGGGGTGGAAGCCCCCAGCAGCTCAGACGTGTACCGCGTGTGGGCGGAGGCAGGGCTGCGAAGGAAGGAGACGGACTCAAGGCACACTTGCCCAGGGCAGCTCTGGGGCTCACAGGGCCCCGGGGCACCGCGCACCACCGCAGATGGCTCCTCCCCGTGTGTGTCCTCGTCCAGTGGAGGGTGCTCAGGGCACGGGGCTGGAGACCCCTCAGGCCCTTGGACAGCCCCCACAGTGCTAAGCCCGCACACACAGATGAGTGCTCCCCCGCCCCACCCAGGCCCCACGGGCTGTGCGAGGACGCCCCGGGGCCCAGGAAAACGTGCCTCTGGTGGGACACGATCCTCCCCGGCTCAGGGCCGAGCCGCCCCTGGACGTCTGGGCCGCTCCTTGGTCTCCCCAGCCTCAGCCCAGGCTGCCGCGTTAACGGTGACCATACTTGTCACCTACAGCCGCACAGAGAAACAACTAGGGCACGGGCGAGGAGCAGGCAGCCTTGGTTCTGGTCACGCTCTGCCACCCGTGAGCGGGGAGACCACGGGCCAGCAACTCGGTGGCCTGACACAGATGAGGCCCCGTGAGGGAGAGTCGAGGTGCGCAGAGCACGCGGCATGGCGGCCGGCATGGAGCGCGCATCACTGTTCCTCCTGGGGACTGCCCACACTGCCGGCCGGCGGCCCCAGGAAGAGGGGACACACGTGTGATGCTGCCCAAACCATGGGCCTGTTTAGAGGCCTCAGGGCTGAGCGGGGGCCGAGCCCCCACATGCTTATCACTGGAGGGGCTGATGACACGCTCCCTGGTGAATTCCCAAAGCCAGTGTGGGCTCCAAGAAAGACTTGGTGGGGAAATGCCCAAGCACGTGTGTACAAACCACCCCAAACCCGCTCATTCGACACTCACCGAGGGCCGACCACGCGCCAGCACTGGGGACAGAGACCGCCCCATGGGGCTCAGTCTGGCAGGAATCACACATTAGGAATCAGACTGTTCAGATGTTGGCTCCGCAGCAAGACCTTCCTGGGCCTGCCTAGTTCAAGCCACAGCCTCGGCAGCCCGACCTGTCCGCCTTCCCTCCTCCACACACTTGGCTCGTCTGCTTATTTACAGTCTCTCCCCCCAGGAGGCTGTGGGCTCCACAGGGGGCTCCATCTCTCCAGCTCCCTGACGCAGGGCCAGCCCACACGGCCCCCAGCACCAGCAAGTGCACAGGACAGGCGAGCCAATGAGGTGCGAGGAGGGGACCTGTGGGACCACGGGAAGGTGGCACGGGCTCAGCGTGTTCTAGACAAAGGCCCGAGGGCACGTGGTGAGTGGAAAACGCCACGGCATCCAACCGTGCCCGGCTGCTCTTGCCACCCCAGGCCACCCGCCTCCCCATAGCGAACAGGGGATGTGTTATAGTTACACCGTGTTCTCTGGAAAGGTGAGTTGCTGTCCCAACCTCGGAACCCGGGAAGGGGATTTTAGGTGGAAACGGGGTCTCTGCAGATGGAATGAGTTAAGACAAGGTCACAGGAGGGTGAGGCTGGGCTCTAAACCAATGGCCAGTGACCTTACAAGAAAGAAAGGGGGACACACAGGCAAGATGGCCATGTGACAATGACAACACAGGCTGGGGTGAAGCAGCCAGAAGCCAAGAGTCCCCAGCAGCCACCAGCAGCTCTCAGTCCTGGGAGCAAGGCTGCAGCTAGTGGTGAGTGACCCGGGAGCGAGACGTCAGCATCGAGGTGAACGAGCACCTGTTCACTGGGATGCCACGGTGAGCTGAGCCCGTATTCTGGGCGCAGCACCTGCGATTTCGGCCGACAGGAAGGTTTCCGCAGGAAAAGCCCGCGGCCGGCAGGGCGCGCACTCGTAGATGATTCATACATGAATGAAATCTTTAAACTCTTAGCGGCCAAGCAGCGCCCGAGAAAGCATGCTGCGAGCGCCAACTCCCATGTCCTGAAACAGACGTCACGACAGGCGCACGCGGCAAAACCACAAGAGGCAGGAGATCGTACCACGACAGGCTCACCTTGTTCCAGATGAAGGTGCCCAGGAGGTTGTTGTCGCCGAAGGGGTTGTCGGTGTTGGTGTAGCCCATGTACTCCTCCCCCCAGCCCATCTTCTCTCGCTTCTTCCGCTCCTTGGCCTCCTTCTTGGCCAGCCGCCGGGCCCGCTTCTCCTCGGGGGTCTCGAAGGCCTTCATCAGCTCCTCCTGCTGCTTCCGCTCCTCCCGCAGCCGCAGCCGCTCCTGCAAGCTCTGCTGTTGGCTCAGGGTCGCCGCCACCTCCCGAGGGCTCTGGGAGCGGGCTGGGGAGGCCGAGCTGGATGCTGAGGAGCCGGGGGACCAAGAGCGCGTCCGCCGCCGGCGGGCCCATCGGCCCCGCTGCTGCTCCTGCCGCTCGTCATCTGAATTGGACTGAGAGGACCGGTCCTGTGAGCGCCAGCGCGGAGGCAGTGGGCTCGGGCTCTGCCTCCTTCGCCGCTGCCACCTTTCTTCCTCCGAATCTGACCTGTGGAGGGAATCACAGGTCTGCTTACTGCTTGCCAGTCTTTCGTGTGACAGATGTTTCCATAGCATCTGCTGTACCAGGGGTGGTTGTAGGTTCTGGGGACACGGCAGTCACGAGCAGTGATACTCATGGTACCTGCCTTTGAGAGGCTCACATCAACAAATAAACACACAGCATGACACAACATAGTGCAAAGAAGAGTGACTTAGCATTAGGAGATGGAGATCTGAGGAGGCAACTCAGGAGGAAATGGGGAGGACGCTACAGGGAGAGAGTGCTCCATGAAGAGGGCATAACAAGAGCAAAGGCCCTGGGGCAGGAATTTACGTGGCACGTTCAAGAAGCAGCAGGAGGCCCAGGTGGAAAGTGTGAATGAGGGGGAGTGAGGGAGGGAGTGAAGGCAGGGAGGTAGGCTGGGGCCTGGTGGTGCCGGAGCTATAAATGTAGAAACCAGAGGACCTGATCTGTTCAAGGTGACAAGAGGGAACTTATAGGGCAAGGTCCCACAGGATGGGCAAGAGTGAACTGGAGTAGGACGGGCAGGACTGAAACGCCAGCCAAAACCACTGTGAGCTGGCAATGGAATGCACGAGACACAAGGACGGATTCTGTAACGGTCAGGGCCCTTCGAATGTGTAGAGGAACAAGTCTCTGTATTTCGTTAAGTGTTCCACCTGTTGAGCTCACGTCAAAAAACCTACACCATGGAAACCAATTATTTTGGAGTCTCTATGCAGACTATACATTTGACCCAACTTTCACTAACACTGCCAACTCAAATTACACGTCCAGGATGGCTGATTATATTAACTCAAACATCAGGAAACAGCAGATACAAAAAATGCGTGGATGACCACAAGACTGCTGCTGTACCTGAACCCACGCAGAAAACAGCAACGCCAGGGGCTCACCGCAGAGCCAGCCAACTTGCCCTGTACAGAGCCAGACGGCCGAGGACGTGAGCCTGCCACTCCGCCGCTGCAGAGCAAAAGCAGCTCTGGACAGGTGGGAAAAACCCGGTATGGCCGGACCCCAATAAGCTTTCACTTCCGCACACCAAAACTTGGGACGTATTCAAGAATCTCATAAAATTTTGACATGTCAGGAAATACCATTCCTCTTCCGACTTTTCCCCTCACCAACTAAAAATGTAAAAACCAGGGGCACCTGGGTGGCTCAGCTGGTTAAGCGTTTGCCTTCAGCTTAGTCATGATCTCAGGGTCCTGGGATAGAGCCCCGCATTGGGGGGGGTGTCCCTGCTCATCAGGGAGCCTGCTTCTCCCTTTGCCCTTCCCCCTTGCTCATGCATGCGCACCCGCATGCCCTCATACATGAACGAAATCTTTTAAAAAAAAACACGTTAAAACCATTCTCGGCTCACAGGCTGCAGGCTGCAGGCTGCCAAACCGTGGTTTAAACCACGTCTGTGTTATTTCCGTTTTGCTTCTTGTAACTTCTTGGAAGTCCTGGGTTGCAATGACCCCTTTCTCAAACTCAGAGGGCAATCAACTACAGCCACTGTGGCCACGGTGTGAACAGGCTGACAGGGTGGGAGACAGTGTGCCAGGAGAAGCCCCAGGGAGATCATGAGTACACAGAGGAGCAAACTTGGACCACAGGGGGTCAGGGACTGGCCAGAGGGTCACCGCCAGTTAGGGGCTGAGTCGGCACAAGGACCTAGGTCTGGGAGGCAGTCCCCGGCACCGTCTGCTCCCTCCGTGCTGGAGCATACTCAAGCCAAGCCTGGACAGGTGTCTGAAACGACACAACCGTGGGCCGTGGCGAAGCTGAGACCCAGGTCCTAGGAGTCAACCCAGGCCAGCCACCTGTCACCAAAACCGCCTTCCTCTGACTCCCACTTCGAATAGCAGGTGTTGTCGCCCCTACTTAGAAAGAAAATCCCTCTCAAATCTGCCCTTTCCCCACTGTGCCTCCCACTGCCTCTCTGCTCTGAACGCCACCACCATCTGTTGCCTAGACAACCGTACCATCCTCCTCCTGCCTGTTGTCACTCCTGCCAACCTCCTCAGTCCCTTCCCCAGGCGAAAACCGGAAGAAGTTCCACAGGTACGCCAGACTACATCACTCAATATCCTCCCATGGCTTCCTACTTCCCTCCGGAGAGCGGCCAAATCCTGCCCCACGGTACACAGAACTGCACGATCCGCTCTCTTCTCACCGCCCCGACCTCCTCTCCAACTTCCCCTACGCCCCGCCTTGCTCACTACGCTCCTCTACTGTCCCTCAACCACCAGGTGCCCTGCCTGGAGCGCCTCTCGCTCTCCTCGCTACCTAACGGCGACTCTGAGCCGACGTCCCCCTCTCCAGGAAGCCTCCTCTGACTAATTCGAGGATCTCTGGCTCCCCGAGGGCGGGAGCCGGATCCCCAGCGCGGTTCACGCAGCCACCCTACCTGCGCTCCCGGCTCTGCCTCCTCCGCCTGCGCCGTACTTCGTCGTCCCGGCGCCGGCGGTTTCGCCGCCCATGGCTCCCGCTCCGACTTCGGCTCCGACTCCCGCTCCGTTGCCTGCGGCCCCTACGACCAGCCGACCGCGAGCGCGAGCGTGTATCTCGACCCATCAGCTGAGACCGTGGCGGCAGCGCTGACACAAATATCCGGGGCCCGCGCCGGGGGCCTTCCTCGCCTGCGGCGCGCTCCGGGCTGCCCCATCCGCGCCTGAGCCGGGAGAAGGAAACCCGTCTCGCTGCCCCATCCCGCAGGGGCTCCGACGCCCCGCAACCTCTCCACTGCCCTCAAACGTGGCCCGTGTGACGGACTCCGGCCTGGCTCTCGTCTCCAGAGTTGGGGACTCGGCCTTTAGGCAGTACTAGGGGCAGCCCCATGTCGGTCCTCGCGCCGAGGACCCCTAAGGGCTGTGGGCGGAGCAAGAGAGATCCAGGAACAGCAAGTGGGGCGGAACCTGGGGAGGCGTGACCCAGAAGAACAGGGTTCCAGGGGAAGTGGAGCCGGCGTGGGCGGGGCCCACAAGGCGGGATCAGGAGGAGGCGGGGCCTCGGGGCGGGGCCAAAGAGAGGCGAGCCGCTCGGCCGAGGTCTCTGGGCCGGTGCAGACGGGGTGAACCTTTGAGATCGTGGGTTCAAGTCCAGGCTGCTCAAAAAGGCGGCGGACGGAAGCCCGGTGGGAGACTGAATAGCCTTGAGGCTGGACAGCCTTTCAGAGTCACCACCATGCTGCATCGCCCGCAAAGATGGGGAAACTGAGACCCAGAGATGGAAAGTCACTTTAATAAACAGTCCCCTCCTCCCACAGCTCCACTGAGGCAACATGGAACTGGGATCTGAACTGCGTGATTCAGCTCTGTTCTGTGGGTGCTGGGGAGTCACAGGAGGGTTTTTAAGCAGGGAGGGGGGTGCTGGTGGTTATGTGGAGTCCCTGCTGGGCTGGTGGCCAGGAAGGACCACAGCGGGTAGAGCTGGAAGATCCCAGGGTCGCTGTTCAAAGCTCCCCCAGCCCACCCCAGAGGATGGTACTTCATGTTCCAGTTCAAGCTCTTCAAGTGTTTGAGCACACAACTTCACGACCTCACCCTGAAGGCTAGGTGCGCCCGCTGCTTGGTGCGGTGGCCCCGGTGGCACGGACAGATTTCCGAGGACCTTCTCCGCAGCCCTTCATAACAAGCCAGCTTGTCACGGGATGTGGATAAACCGACAGGTGGGGATTGGCCCTGTGTTTTTCAAGACCCAGACGTATGGATGACAGTACGGGCAGGTGAGTGTGGGATGGTAAGCACATTCCAGATCATCTCTGCACGGCCAGCCCGTAAAGGGGCTGTGCTGTTCCGCATCACGACAAAACCGGGTTTCCAGGGGCCAGCTTCGGGATGGGACCTCACTGTCAAAGCAGCGTTTCTCCAGTGGGAAATCCTGGAGAAGTGTTTTCCCCTTAAGAGGGGTCCACGCTTGACTCACTTTGAGCAACTCTGGCAAAACCAATACAAAGTCTGGGCAGTGTTCTTTCGAGCCGGGCTGCACTGATGTCAGAAATTATTCAACGTTTTCTGAACTCAACTGGAACCTGGAGGTGGCCACAGCTATCAAGGCAATGGGTCCCACTGTTATTTTAAATCTGACCAAGGTTTCTTTCTGCCCTCGTTCAGTCCTTAAATTCCAAAGCAGACCCCCGGAACGCACAGAGGCAAAGAGAAAGAAGGTTGATGCTTATTACCCGATTTTATTAGAGAGAACTCTTCAACGTAAAAAGGAGGAGGGGCGGCGGGGAGGGGGAGGGGGCCCAAGGCTGCATGTTACTGGGGCCAGCGGGGTGCACGGTTACAGAGGTGCCCAAAGCTCTGGGTTTGAGACGGCATTCTGTGCCCGATGAGGCCGCGCTCCAGATTGTCACACACCAGACCACGGAGGCTGAGCACATGGAACCCCCGGAGAGAATTAAGACACACAAGGTTTGCAGTTTCATTGTTTGGAAATCAGTTCGACCATAAAAAGGACATGGGGGGGGCGGGGGGACAGGCAATGCAACTGAGCCACCAGAGAAAAGGTGGTGGAGGGCGCTGGCCCAGGGTGCGGACTGAGGGGCTGCAGCGACAGTACCATGGCAAGGGACCCCACTGGAAGGGGACTATTGCACTGAGCCGAGTGGTGGAGGGAGGGGCGAGGGCAGGTGGACAATGGAGGCTGGTGGGGGCTCCCGGGAAGCTGCAGCTTGTCAGTCTCGGAACGTCTTTCGTTTTCATAGCTCAGCAATCCCAGGCTCTCCGAGATGCCATCTGAGATGCACCAGGAGGGAGACAGGGTGTCACCACGAAGGAATTTAGATTTCTATGCTGGGGGTGGGCAACAGGGGGGGGGGGGCGGCGGGTTCCTGGGGGGGGGGGGGGGGGGGAAGCCTGGGAAAGGCCATGGATTTGCTACACATTATAAATAAAGTCTTGCCTTCTGACCCCTGACCCCCCCAAATAAACCAACAACTCCCATCGGCACAGTCTGCAGACCATGTTGGCATCCATGTGACAGTTCTCTGAAAAGGGACCAAGAATGCCACCAACACAAAACGGGTCCCCCAAGGAGTCTCAGCAACTAGCACAAAAATAGAAATGTCATGATATCCGGGAGGCTTGCAGACTTCTCTGGCAAGTCAGCATCCCAACGATGCCTCTGTTCCATGATTCACTCCGGAGAGCCCGAGGGAGCCAGCAGAGCTCCCCTCCTTGCTCCTCAAGCTCCGAGTGGCTGCAGGTGCGCCGGGCACGGGCTCACTATGCCAGGAATGTGTGCACGGCTCCGGTCATCTCCGACAGAACTCGCAACGTGCCTGACTATCTGGCCTTGGGGGCCTGAGCGGGGACTCCAGTGCCAGCTTTTGGGTGACACAGTTGTCCCTGTCAGTCATCAAGGCCTGAGACGCACCTCTGGACCTCTGCCTGCTCAGCGGCCACCTCCTCGACGGGAAGGGGGTGGGACAGACTGGCGACTCAGGGCATGCAGACAGACAGCCGTCTGAAATAGGGTGAGGACGCTTCCCGCCATCTGGTCCAAGCTCCCTTCGACAAGATGGAGAAGATGTCATTTTGCTTCTGATTTGGGACATCCACAGCCTTGTTCTCATGGCTCCTCTCAGGGCTGCCTTCCCCAGGCTCCACGCTGGTGCGTCCCTGGCCAGCCTGGACAGACAGCAGCCAGCCCTATAGGCTCTGTCCAGGCGCACAAAATGAGCTGTGCGGGGGGCCGGGAGGAGATGAGAGCAGGCGAGGGACCCAGAAGAGGGACTCGGAAAATCAAAGTCCTGATCCGTGGGTTCTCCACCAGGACGGCAAGGGCTGGAAGAAATTCTTCCGGCTGTAGCTTCTGCTCTGAGCCAGCTCCCCCCTCCTCCCACGCAAGCAGGCCAGTGGGAGTGGGGAGGGGGCAGAGCGGGCAGAGGGAACCATCCCCGCTATGCCACCTCTCAAGGGGTGGGAGGGCATTTCTGTGGGGGCAGGACAACCCCCCCCACACCAGGCTGTCAGTTCCCATAGTCCCGTCTGGACTGAGTAGGGTCTCTGAGCCCAGGTGAGGTTGCTTCCTGTTGAAGATGACAAACCAAAAACATTTTTTTCACAAAGAATTTTGTCACCTATCCTGTAACTTGCTTACATGTCACCATCTTAAACCAACCAACAAAACAAAACAGAGAAAGCTCATCCCAGTCCTGAAGGGGAATCTCTTATTGGACATCTGAGCAGCCTGACTACGGGAGCGCCCCTGCTCTCCGGAAGCACCCCTGGCCTGAGGGCCCAGCGCTCCTCCCTTTGCCTGGGCCCTCTCTTCGAGACACCAAGCGGGGGCGTGGGGAGGGCAGAGAGGCCCACAGTCCTGAGCTCCATCGAGAGAGGTGGCCTCCTGGCCTTTCCTGCCTCTCAAGTCCCCTGGCAGGTGAGGTGGTGGGAAGCAGATGCAGAGAGATCACGGGCACCGGCAGGGTGGAGGGCCACCCCCAGACCACTAGCTGGCCACGTCCAAGGACGTGTGTCCAGTGCCTGGCCCAGAACACCTGAGCCCAGAGTGCCTGCGGGCGCGGGGGCCCTTGCCTCCTGGGCAGCAGCCCGCCCAAGAGGAGAGAGGCAACTCGGAGTGTGGATTTCAGCCGGGGTGAGCAGGCCATGGGGCAAGGTCCCCGGAGCCAGCAGGCCCTGTCCCCTCAGGGAGACACAGACGCAAACACAGCAAGAAGCCGGACATGTGGCGGAGCGGACTCGCTTCGTTCTGCCGGACATGTTCTTTTTGTTTTGTTTTTTCAAATCTTTTTGTAAAAAAGCACACCTGTGCTGCCGTCTTTGTGCAAAGAGTAAGGACCCAAAATAAATACGTGATCGGACACTCAGGGAGGTTCACAGTCTCACAGGCATAGGTAGTCGACGGGAGCGGCGGGCCGGCGGTGAAGCCAGGTCCTGCGGGCGGGCAGCGCCTCCGGAAAGCAGCCAGGGCGGCGGCGGCGGCGGCGGCGGCGGCGGCGGCGGGCGCTCGGCTCCGGGTCGGTGACTGCATAGACATTACTGCAGAAGGCAAAAGTGGGCGGGGGGGGCGCGGGTGAGCGCGCGGCGGGGCCGGGAGTCACCCCCACCTGCGCCGCCTCCCGGGAGGGCCCCGGCCCCGCCGCCGCCCCGACCCCGCCCGCGCGCCCCCGGCCTCCGTCTCCCCGGCGGTCCCGGGGCAGGTGCGGCCGAGCGGGCGGCCCGAGGCCCCGGGCCAGGGCGCGGCGAGCCGCGGGCGCACTTACGGTGTCGCTCTCGCCGTCGGAGGCTGGGTGGGCGTGCGCGCTATAGTGAAGCGGGGAGTACACCCAGCTCCTCTCATCGGTGGGCTGGGCGGGCGGGCGCACGTGCGGGAAGCGCGCAGAAGAGCAGGGGTGCGAGGAGGCGCGAGACAGGCGAGAGGGAGGAAGGAAGAAACAGAAATAAAGGAGGCGGACCCCCACGCGGTCGGCGAGGAGGCGGCTCGGCCCCTGCGCGGCCCTCCCCGGAGGGACCCGCCCCCAACCCGGACCGCTCTGGGGCGGGCGGGGCGGAGCGGCGGCAGCGCGTGGGGTGGGCGGCAGGAAGCGGTGCGCGGAGCGCAGGCGGGGCCCGGTGCAGCGGGGCGGGCGGGGGCGGGGCTCGCTTGCTGTCCCCTCCCCTCCCGCTCGGCCCTCGGCACCGCAGCCTCAGATCCTGCCTGCTGCGCGGCCACGGTGGGCACCGAGGCCACGGACTGGAGCAGGGCACGCAGGACCCTCCCCTGGGGGGCCTGGGTGATGAGGGCAGTCGGGGGCGCAGGGTGGGGCCCATCTCCTCGTGCCCAAACGCACAGATCGGCCGGGGGACACTGAGGCCCCCGCCACCCAGACAGCAAGTAAGTAACAGAGGCCCAGCCAGAGGGTGGGCTGCTCTTCCTCCAGCCGCATCAGGGAAATGGGCCCCATTCTGGGTCAGCCTGGGGGGCGGGGAGCGCACGTTCCTCCAGCACCTGTCCCTCCTGGGGTTCTCACGGCAAGAACCCCCACAGCCCCCTTCTCATTCTTCTTTCCCAGGGACCCCCATCACCCCCAGTCTTCACCGCCTGTGCACCTACGCACCTACCCTCCTACCCCCCTTGCCCGGCCTCTGTTTGGAGTACGTGGCCTGAGCAGGCACTCACCCTGGCTAGAGCCAGGGAGGCTACACCCAATGAGCCCCCAGATCTGCCCCTCCTCCGTGGGATGGTGACGCCCAGCCTCGCCTTTCCAGCCTCGCCTCTCCACGGGTGGCTTCATCCGAGCCTCATGAAGGACAAGCAACAGTAGGCCGCCTCCGTGCTCTCCCGGTGAACGCAGGACCCCTGCCCTGGCTGCCCCTTGGGGCCCCCACCGGCTCTCCTCACCTCTGTGCCCGCTCCTCCCTGCCCCTCCTACAGCTCTCACTGCAGAACCCACCCTCCCGGGCCAGACTGCCGGCACCCGCACAAGGCACCTGACCCACTGGGCGTCGTGGGCAGCTCACTCTTGCCTCAGCACCTGGCCCAGGGCCACACACATCCCGAAGGCCGTCCATCCATGGACCGACTGGTACCAGGGCACAGGGGCCCTGCTCACAGCACAGCGGTCACAGCACACAAAAACCGGAGCCTGCCTGGAAGTCCAGGGATGGGGCCTGCCTGGGGCTGCCCACACCCAGTGTCCTGCACAGGGCAGCCACAGCACGTGTGTAGAGCCTGGTAGCTGCCTCTCTGGGGCCAGAAGTAGGACAAGAGAGTCTCCACCTGAACTCTGCAAAGAGCCGGCCCGACAGACGGAGGGATCGCGGGCAGCAGGACCCAGAATCCCGTGCTGACCCACAGAACTGGAGCCACAGACGCATGTCCCCAGTACTGCAGGCCCTCAGGCCACTTGCGCCCACCCAGCCTGCACACTTGCTGCTCCCCTGCTCCTGTGTGCCCCCCACCGGCTTCTGCTGTGCCCTCGACAGAGTCCGCCCTTCCTTCTCCCACCTCCCCACACCCGGGGGGGGGGGCGCAACCCCTCTCTGGGCCGCCTTTCTAAGCCGCTCCCCCCGTGAGGGGCCCTCAGGACCTGCTATGTATCCCCAGCTCTTGGATCATCTTAGGGGAGTGGCATCCCTGTCTCAGTGGGACACAGTATGGTGGGAACATCTGGGGAAGTGGCTTCCACTTCTTGGGTTTGCTTGGCAGAGCCCGACGCCCAGTGACACTCAGAGGCATCTGGGCCTGGGCGTGTGGGCCTCTGAGGGGCTCATCTTGAGAAGAGAAACTCCTGCTCCCGGCCTGTTCTGCCTGCTTGAGCGCTGTGTGGCTCTGGGCAGGTTACCTGGCCTCTCTGGGCCCCTCATTTATTGCTCGTGAGGACAATAACGGGTTCTGATAACACCACTGCTACATGATCTCCACACAGCGTCCCAAACACAATGGGCAGATGGGTGTCTGCGAGACACAGGGGATGCTTGGGAATTCGGACCCAGGTTTTCTCTAAACCGTGCCCTCTTGTGGGCTTCTGGGGAGCTGAGACCGTGGTTTCCCCACTGTGAAGTGGATATGGAAATATACCTCCTCTCTCCTGCAGTTAAGAGCTTGGCTTTGCTGACCCAAGGGCAGAAGCCCCTTGGGGAGCCATTGGCAGCCAGGTCTGAACACAGGACAAGTGTCCACCAACTTGTCCCTGACTCAGGCTGGGGCTGCGGTCAGATGCAGACCCCACCACCACGGCCAGGTCCCCGTAGTCCCGGCTGTAAGCCTGCAGGCCTAGCAATGCCCACCTCAGGGGTACCTAAGTGACATCACTGGGGGACACATGACCAGCCTCGGTCGTGATGATTCTTTCCCCAAGTCCCTTCTCAGAGGACGAGGGACAGCCAGAACCTGCAGCTCCCTGCTGCCCCGGGTGGTGGAACGGGGGCTGGGCTCCCTGGACGCCTGCTGTGGTCACTTACAGTCCCTGAGGAGCTCAGCGTCACGGCCCGCAGTCGGCGATGCCGGGGAGAGTAAATCCAGTACCTCCCATCGGTGAACTGGGCGGGCCGGGCGGGCGGGGGAGGAAGCAAACAGAGGACAGGATGAGGCAACAGGAATCCAGCGGGTGGTTAGGTGGGGAGGGCGCTGGGCAGGGGCAGGTAAGCAGATGGCCAAGCGGGAGGTGAGTTTTGGGGTGGCGGGATCCCACCGCGGCCTGTTAGCTTCTCTGCTGCCCGCAGGGCCTGGCCGCCCACTCCAGTGTCAGGACCCAGACGCACACGTAGGACACGGCCCCCTGGGGCCTCCTTACACAGTGATCCACAGGATGGGACACAAACCAAGCCCCCAGGGATGGGGAGCTGACGGCGGGTGTGGGGCACATAGTGTGTGCACCTGTGACTTCCAGGCCAGACAGAGGCCCCAAGACAGCGGGGTGCTGGTACCTGTAAGGCAGCAGTGGCCTTATAGCCTTATTGGGCCCCCAGCAACCCGGCCACGGGGGCGGAGACAAGACTGAAGGCCTGGGAGGAGGACAGGCAGTCCCCTTCATCGGATAAGGCCATGTGACCCCTGAGCAGGTCCGTCCGAGGAAGGCAGCCCATCACCGGATGGGACCCTGCAGGCTCCCTGGCCCCCCGCACCCATCACACCCAAGCTCCCAGCCCAGCTACCCCGGCTGCCTGCGGAAGATGCAAGGGGGGGGAGGTGACCCCCTGCCCTGGAAGAGAGGTCCCGGATCCCTGGGGGCAGGGCCCCTTCCAGCTCCGACAGACCCCCACCATTCCCAGAGCAGCCATGAGTCCTCGCCCAGTGAGGGCGGCAGCACGAAGCGCACAGTCCCCTTGCCTCCTAGAGAACAGACCCCACCCAGCTGCCCCTCCCCCCGAGTGGAAGAAGAGCCACAGAGTCTGCGGCCCTTGGTGGCTGACCCCAGGTCTGCCCAGGACCGAGGGGGTCCCGGGGGGCTCAGAGCTTGAGGACTCCAGGTGCTTCCTAAGGGGACGTGGTGGCACGGGTAGAGCCAGGACCTTGACCGGTGGCCTGGCGGTGGTCACGAGTCCTGGAGAGGAGGGGCGGGGCAGTATCCTGGCCTCAGAGTGGCCTGGCCGGAATGGCAAGGGGCAGGACGCTCCCACACCATGTACGCGTGTGTGAATGCGAGCAGGGGCACAGTGGGTGTGCAAGAGTGTGTGGATGTAAGTTGACCAGTGAGAGCACTGTGTCCACAAGAGTACCTTGTGAGTGTGCATGTGTGTGTGTGTGTGTGTGTGTGTGCACGAGTGGGTGTCTGGCTGAGGGCCGAGCAATGGAAGGAGCCGTGGGGGACTTACAAAGTAGATGTCTGTGGCGGGTGCGTCCTCCTCGTCCGAGGCCTGGCTGGCGGGCTCCGAGGCCTGGCTGGTGGTTTCTGCTTCGGCAGCGGCAGCGGCAGCGGCTGGGGAAGCCTCCACCCTGGGGACACACGCGGACACAGGAGTCCTGGGGTGGGGCTCTGAACAGCATCCGGGGCCCCAGCCAGTCTCCTCCCCTCTCATCAGGAGGTCATCACAGAGAAGCCAAATAAAACAAACCTTCTCCCCACCAAATACCTCCCCGACAAAGGGGAGGGAGTTTCTGCCCACCGGCTCCTGTGGGAGTCTCTACCCACCCCTGCTTGAGGGCACGTCCTGCTGGCTGGGTGCTGGCCTCACCACTCACCCCCTGGGTGACCTGGAAGGTCCTTGCCCATTGCTCAGCCTCAGTATCCTCATCTGCGAAGCAGGGACCCCTGGCCCCTGCGCTCAGAACCTCTGTAACCTTCACTGAGCACTTACTACGTGCCAGGCCCTTTCAAGAGCTTGGCATGAATTTCCCCCACGACCGTCCCCTGGGCCGGGGGCTGCCGCTGTCCTGAGCTGCAGACGGGGAAACAGGTTCCAGATGGAAGGTGAGGCGAGGCCGAGGCCTCAGCAGGTGGCTGGGTGACTGGGGTGCAGTTTCCATCTCACGAGCAAAATGCCCAGCTCCGGGGTGGGGGGGGAGGGGCACCTAGAACCACAGAGAGCTGGCTCTCCAGCCGTGGGGAAGGGGGCTGGTTTGGGGGTCCCCCCAAACGAGTCACACCGCAAGAATTCCGGTAACAGGGAAAACACTGCGGGTGGCAGAGCCCACTGTGTGCGCAGGGACACCCGCCTATCTGTGACGTCACCCTTGCCAGCAAGGTACGGACTGGGTGTGTGGTGACTGCTAAGGAAGGTGTCTTGAGATCGAAGAGAACTTTTAAAGACCCGTAAAGCAGAAATCCCAGGGGAAGCAAGAGAAACTTGGTAACAATGCAAACACAGAGCCACTTGGCCAAACGGGACCCACAGACAAGGGTGTGACGCAGCAGGGCGCCACCCGTCAGTACATCAGACCCAGCCAGCTCCCCTCCAGTCCCCCGCAGGGAACACATGGTTCCCCCACACGCCCAATGACCTTAAAACATGAATTCTGGGGCGGGGGGGGGGGGGCTCGGTTAAGTGTCTGCTTTGGCTCAGGTCGACTCAGCCCCACGTGGGGAATCCCTGCTCAGCGGGGAGTCTGCCTCTCCCTCTCCCCCTGCTTGTTCTCTCTCTCTCTCAAATAAATAAAATCTTTAAAAAATGAATTTATGTTTGACTGCGAAGGCTTTGATCTCGTTTTCATATATACATCTATTTTGAGCGGCCGCTTTCTTCAACTTAAAACTGAACACAGGCAGTCCTAAGCAGGGAGCCGGGCTCTGAACCGCTGGAAGCTCAGACGTGCGTAGACAAACCCTAGAGCAGGGTCTCTGCCGGCGCCCCAGGCGGTGGCCTCCATGGCACTCCGTGGGGGCCTGGGCCGCTGGAGGGGGCCGCGACTCTGGCCCCTCCCCAGAAGCCCCCAGTGCGATGAGTGCAGGTGGCCCCAGCCACCCACAGGATAAAAGCGCCGCCTCCCACGGACCCCACGGATCGCCGCAGGACGAGCTCCCGGGACCCCCGGGCCCAGGGCTGCTCCTCACTGGACAAGAAAGGAGCGCGAACCGCGGCAGCCGAGAGCGGGGACCAACCAGAAGCCGGAAGAGCGGCAGCGAACGAGCGACACAGTACAAGACACAGTCGGCAAAGCGGGCTGCGTCCAGAGGTGGCCCCGAGGACGCAGAGACCGCCTCCCGCAAGCCCGGGGTCAGGACCAAGTGGGTGGTGCGTGAGAGCCCCGGGACGCACGCGTGGCTCGCAGCTCTGCCGGAGATCCGAGGCCCTGGATGAGGCAGCCGTCCAAGCCCCCCCCCCCCCCCCCCCCGGGGGCCCCCGGGGCCCCGGGGGGGGGCCCCCCCCAACCCCCCCCCCCCCACCCCCGGGGCCCCTGCGGAGACTGCGGGGTTCCCACGCCCTGCATCCCTCCCTTTCCAGGGGTAGGCTCCGCCCCCAGTCTCTCCCCCACCCGCGCCCAGAACGTGGACTACATTCCCCAGCCTGCCTTGCTGCCGAGTGGCCACGTGACCGCACTCAGCCAATGGGACGAGAGCAGACGCCTGTGCGTACGAGTGCGGCAATGGGGCACTCACCCCGCGTCCTCCTCCTTGGGGACCACGATCTCAACGCTGCACGCGGGCTCCACCTGCACCGTGATCTGCTGCAGGTCCTCCTCCACGTGGGTCTCCTCCTGGGGCCTGGAGGCAGTGGGACGCCGCACGTTACTCTCCTCTGTCCCCCAGGGCCGCCAGCCAAGCTCCAGACCAGTGCTGGTCTCCAGCCCTAGTGGGAGCCTCCATGGGTGCACCTGACCCGTGCTCTGAGCTGGCCCAGCTCACCCCTGGTTCCTCGGGCTGTCCTGCCCACCTGGGGCCTGCACAGGGGTAGGGACTGCTTGTCCACCTGGGGCCATCCTATGACTCTGGTACCAGCAGGTGCAGGGGAGTGACGGCTGGCCTGGATCCCACCCACTCTCCTGGGGGTAGCTGGGCACGGGCCTGGGGCCTGGCCTGGGGGTGGGCTGGTTCCAGGGCTTTCAAATGTCCGGGCCCCTGGGGTAGGTGGGTCAGAACATTGCGGCAGTCAGGCGGACTGTCTCCCAGTGACAGCCCCCAGCAGCAGAAAGGTCGCTGGGGCGGGAGCAGGCAGCAAGATGGAAGGAAGTGCATCCCGCCAAATGTACTTTATGCATAACTTTTTTTTTCCCCCAAATGGCAGGAATAATGGCCCCAACACTAAGGGAAGCAACGCCTGTTGGTCATGTTGGCAACAATGGAAATGCGCCCGAGGGCAGTCAGTCACCCGCTCACGGATGACCTCCATCTGCTCTGTGCCCAAAGCAAGGGGCACCGAGCTAGGCTGGTGGCAAGATGAAAGGCAGAAAGAGGCTCATAGATTGGTTTTCTCATATATTCATAAAGTATTTCTAGAAAGAGACAAAAAACCCGTCCAGGGGTTGCTCCTAGGGACGGGAATGGGCATGGGGCAAGGAAAGGTGTTTCGCTATATTCTCTGTGTACCGCTTAGAATAAAAATATTTAATCAAAAAGGATCAGGGGCGCCTGGGTGGCTCAGTGGGTTAAAGCCTCTGCCTTCAGCTCAGGTCATGATGTCAGGGTCCTGGGATCGAGCCCCGCATCGGGCTCTCTGCTCAGCGGGGAGCCTGCTTCCCCCTCTCTCTCTGCCTACTTGTAATCTCTCTGTCAAATAAATAAAAAAAATCTTTAAAAAATTTAAAAAAAAAGAATTTAGTTTAAAAAAATAAAAATTAAAAAAATTAGAAAGGATCAACAAGCAGGTGGATGGGTCTTCTGCCTGCCCCACACCCCACCCACCAGGGGTGTGGACTTTGGAGAAGACTCCAGTGACTCAGGATTCTGTGCAGTTCAAGAGCCTAACTTAAATCCGTGCCCAGGAAAGTGGTCAGAGAGGCGGGGCTCTGGGTGGGCAAGCCCAGGGGCTGCGGGGGGCGGTGGGGCAGGGAAGCTGGGGGTCTCAGCTCACCGGCCATCCTGTCCCGAAGACTGCGTGCGCCGCCTGCAGAGAGAGAGACCAGAGCAGGTGCATCAGGGGGCTTGGCCTCCAGCCCGGTCCCTCCCCCCGCCGCAGGGAGGGGGACCCTCCACACCCTCACCGGTACCGCGGCTGCTCCGATGTCTCCGAGGGAGACCGCTCCGGGATGGAGAGCGACGTGGAGGACAGGGTTGTAGCGATGGAGGCGGTGGTGGCCTCCTCGAAAGATGGCGGTGTGCAGGGCAGGAGGTCGGGCCGGCCTGCGGGGCGGGCACAGGGGCTGTGGGTGCCTGCAGCAGCCCTGCCACACCTCTCTCTGCCTCCACCTGCAGCCTGGCTCGCCTGTAGCCACCCAGGTCCCCGCCCCACCTGCGACCCAACACTCTGCTCTGCTCTACCGCTTTAAGAGGGCAAATACCTTCGAAGTTACCCTTGGCACAGAGGCTTCCCATAACCTGCTGCTCTCAAACTGCAGTCCAAACCCTGCTCAAGCCCACAGGTCCTGTGGGAACAGCCGCTTCCTCTTTCCTCACCCTTCCTGACTTTGCTCCAACCACAGGCCTCCTGCTGTCCCTCCAACACACCAGGTCTCTTGCTGCCCCAGGGCCTTTGCATGTGCAGTCTCTCCCTTCCTTGATACTATTCCCCCCAGCCCCTCCCTGCCAGGAATCTTTGACTCTTTAACTCTGGAAACTGGGAGGGACCTTTCAAACCATCACACCCAACCCCATCAAATGCTTCCTCCCTCTAGGTCTCAGGACATCTGGCAATGGGGTGGGTCACCTCCTCGGGTAGCATCTTCTGTTCAGCTCTCCCTGTGGCCATCCTAGCCACTCCCCATCCCCACTCCCTGGATGCCCAGACCTTAGGCTGGGACTGGGGTAGGGAGGTTACTGGGAACCAGGACCCTGCCATCCAGGCCGCCAGCTTCTAGAACCCTTTCCTCAAACCGGGTTGCTTCCTGCATGCCCTCCCCTCTCAGCCCTGCAGGGACAGTACCTTTCCCCAGCAGACCCCTTCTCTCTCCTGTCCCCAGAGCACCCTCTCCCCAGCCAGCCCAGTCACCTTCGTCCTCTAGCGTGGGGTAGCTGCGGGCCCCACGGAGGTCGTACTGTGCGTCCTCGCGCTCACTGGGGATCTGGCTGGCTGAGAAGGCAGCGGTGGGCCCCAGGGGCTTAACGGCCAGCAAGGCACCACGGCCCTTCTTGGATGGTGAGGACTTCAGGGCTGTGGAAAGAGGTGAACTGGCACTTGGGGCAGCCTGGGAGCCCCATGGCCAGGCTCCACCGGGCCCCATCCCTCCCTTGCATGAAAGCCTGCTGCCCGTGTACACAGCTCCCACTGCCCAGCCTCCAGCCTGGCCCTCAAGCCTGGGCAAAAAGCAACATCCTTTGCAGAGGAAACCTTGTCCTGCTTCCTACCCAGCTCTGCCTCGGGAGGTCCCAGAAGCCCCCTCTGGCAGCCCACCCGGGCCGTGGCCTCCACTTTCAGACACGTAAACGGAGGCCTGGGGCCATGCGGGGCTCAGCACCAAGGCCCTGGCTCCAGTCCAGGATTAGTGGCCTGGGCAATGGGGCTCAGCAACCTCGTCTGCAGCGACAGGGTCAGACAAGGCGGGTGACCCCCTGGCGACCCCTGCCCCTGGCCTCGCTTGTCAGCGAACGTCACCAGGTTCTCTCCCTGCTCTTCCTATGAGCTCGGCCCCTGGGGTTGGCCAGCACAACGCCAAGCACGCAGTAGGTGCTTAGTTCGCCTGGTGAGCAGCCCTCCCATCCCCGGAGGCTGGCATCCCCCCCGACCGCAGTGAGAATGACACCCAGGAAAGGTTCTAAGAAGTGAGAAAGTGAGACGCTGATGAAAGTGGAACGGCCCACTCTTGGGAGACAAAGGCCAGAACCGTGGGGTTTGCCCATTTCTACGATGCCAGTGATCCCACTGCCATCGGTTTCAAGCTACTGGCTCGACATAAGGGAACATGGAGTCGTGCTGGCTCCACGAGCTGGCTCCTGGTGACTGGGCGGGGTCACTGCCCACACAGGCCTGGCCCAGGCTGGGAGAGCAGGTCCCACGCCAGGCATCGGCCCTGCCCACCCCTGCTGTCTCTGTGGACCCACCAGGATGGTAAGGTGCACGCTGAGACACTCCCACGAATGACTCTGCCTGAACACCCATGGCGTGCTGGGCCCTGGACTGGACACTGGGGACACAGAGGGACTGAGGCTGACAAGCACGCTGTCTTCTGGGCGCACAGGGAGCAGGAGGCAGATGGCAGACAGACACGTGGGGAGAAAAGACCCTTTCAGGCAGCATATGGGATCCTGGCCTGGGGTGTGCACCAGGCCTGGCACTTGAGGCGCAGCACAGAGAGGGGACACTCTGAGGACACCCATGGGACACGGGCTGCCTCTATCCAGTGCCCTCCTTGACAATGCCTGGTCCGGCTGATGGCCAGCTGCCTGTGTCCCCTGAGGCCACGTTTCCCTGCTGAGGACGCAAGGCCACAGGTGGTCCCTGTGAGGACCGGCACAGGCCAAACGCACCTGTCATGTGGGTAAACACATCTTGCCCTCTGTACAAATGGGGAAACTGAGGCATGGAGCAGGGCGTCCCCCGCTTGAAGTTACAGAGGCAGGACGTGGTGGGGCCAGAACTCAAGCTCAAACAGCGGGCCCCAGGCCCCGTGCTGGGCCCCAGGACGGTGGCATCCTGACTCCCCTGTTCTCTGGACCAAGTGCCCGACCGAGGCCCACGGATGGCCACATGGCCAGAGGAGGGGCTCTGGGTTTACCACGCTCTTGACGACCCCACCTCCCCGCTCCACACCCCCGGGGGCCCTCCTGGCCAGAGAGCCTAGGAAGCTCACAGGAATTCTTCCGGAAGACCGTGTTGCTCATGAACTTGAAGAAGCGCTCGGCATAGAAGCTGGGCCGGTGGACAGAGACGGTGTCCTGGGGAGAGAAGCGGGGCCCGCAGGCAGGAAGGGCTGAGTGTCCCCACGCCACCAGTGCTCCCCGTGTCCCATGAGACAGCCCAGCCACACAGCGGCAGTCGGGCCGAGAGACGGGTCCATGGCACGGGACTGGCGGGTAACCTGGCAGGGAGGGGCCTGGGAGGGACATTTCTTCATTATAAACCCATCTGTGCTTTTAATCCTTGGAACCAAGTGAATAAAACAGCAACTGCAAAGAAGTAATCGAATAAAGAGCAAAACATGGAAACCAGAGGAGTCCTCCAGATGTCCCCAGACACGGCCTGGGTCCTCTGCCTGCTGTAATGTGACAGATCCCATAGGGACACACGGCCTCCAGAACACACAATACATTTCCCATCCTCACTGCAGTGAGACAGGACTGCAGGACCGGGTGCTGGCCGAGGGCGTGGGAGCCAAGACCAGGACGGAGTTCCCGCCCTCTCCTCTGCCTGGAGTGCCCTAGGGGGCCAGCCACCTGGGCTGGGGGCTGAGGACCATGCCCAGAAGGCCACCCTGCCTGCCCCAGACGGCTCATGCCTGTGATGTTACTCTGATTAACATCTGGACCCCCAGGAGATGAGCCAAAGTTTACTCTGGGGATTACATGTGGCCTCATGGGAACTTGGCAACTCTCCTTTCTGCCGAGGCTTTCTAATGCCACGAAAGGGTTTCCTGTTGACTGGCTGCCCACCTGGACCATCTTGGTGCACTTTCTGGAAGCTTCCATCTGGACCCCCACCCCCACCCGCAAACAGAGGGGAGTGTCGGGGGCTTTTACAGACTACGTGAACACAGACAGCCCTTAGCACTTTAGTAAGAACTGGTCTGCAGGGGGCCACGGGAGGAGAGGCGTGCGTCCAAGGCCCCAGCCAGCTCGTCAGCACAGGCGGACCAGGGGTGCCTGGGCCCCCAGATGGGCTGTTTTCTTCCCTGCAGTTGGTCCTCAAAGTCTTTCCATATTTGGAAATAACCCACTGCCAGGGTCCAAGCGTTGGCCGTGTTGCAGGAAAAAGGCGCATTTTAGCCCATTCTCAAGCAGCATAGACATGCTGCAGCAGGCCTCAGCCCTCGAGGCAATGGGTCAGCGTTGTGCAGTTGGACCCATGCAACCTTCTCTCTATCACGACACGTTTCCAGAACATTCTCTGCCTAGCTGGCCCCTGACGCTCCTGGTCCTCCTGGTCCAGCTGTCTTCGGGGAATCCTTCCAACTCAGCTTCCAACTCTTCTCCTCCAAGAAGCCTTTCTGTCCCCCTCCCCAGTGGAGATCAGACCCCCTGACTGGAGGTCCTCTTTGGAGGTCCAGCTGCCTGTGTCTTCCCTTCCTGACCCTGAGCCCTTGGCCTGTGACTGCCGGGTCACATGGCCGCCCCCAACGGAAGGAGGGAACACGTCTCTTGTCACGGCGCCGGGGGACCACTGTGTTTGTGGACTAAGGAACGCATGAACGACACTCACCCCGTCATGCACGAGGGCCTTCCAGGTGTGCTCCAGCTTCTTGATGAACCTGCAGAGAAGAAAGCGCTGAGCACGTGCCTAACTTCCGGGGCCGGTGGTTCTCCGGCGGACACTGGGCCGTGTCTGGGGACATCTGTGGTCATCACGACAGGGGGTGCTCCTGGCACTGAGCGGGTGGGAAGCCCCGGTCTAGAGGAACTGAGGTTGCCTGTGGCACCAGCCGGAGGCCACCTCCCTCTTCCTGTCCCCTCCATTCCCCATCCCGGCCTGCTGGCAGCTCCTACCACTGCTTCTGTCGGGGAGGAAGTGAAAAGGCTTCACTGCTTGACCCCCTGTGGGGGACTGGAGACCAGTACCTCCCAGAATACATCCTTCCCCTGTCCTCATGGCCTCGGCTGAGCCCTGGTCCTCTCAGCTGAAATTATCGTCTGGCACTGTGGCTCTAACGAGGTCCCTAAATGCCTGGGCTGAGGACAATGGTGCCTCCTCCAGGCAGCCTTCCTGGACACCCCCTCGTCCACCACAGGGGAGGGTCCTCTCCTCAGCACACACCCCCTCATGACACCCCTGGCCCAGGATGGGTTTGTGGCTGCCTGACATGTGCCAGCCCCCACTCCTTGCCTCCACTCAGAGCTTCTGCAGAAACCTTAGTTTGGTACTTGAGAAACTTCTTAATCCTGCTCTAAATCAGGAGGGACGTCCCTGTGGCAGAGGTCTACGAAGGTAGGAACACAGGCTGCGAATACTAGCAATGGATGGGTAGGAGCCGAGTTTCGTACGTGGGAAAGGAAGACACACAAGGGAGAAGTCACCAGTGCTGGGTGGACAGGAGTGGGGACCGCTGCGCCCACAACGCCCCCTCGGTTTGGTCCGGATCACGCAGGAGGCACACACGCTACTCTCAGAACAAAACACTAACGATTAAGGGGCGCCTGGGTGGCTCAGTGGGTCAAAGCCTCTGCCTTCGGCTCAGGTCATGACCCTGGGGTCCTGGAATCGGGCCCCGCATCGGGCTCTCTGCTCAGCGGGGAGCCTGCTTCCTCTCTCTCTGCCTGCCTCTCTGCCCACCTGTGATCTCTGTCACATAAATAAAATCTTTAACAAAACACTAACAATTAAACCACGCTCGCGGCCGAGACCTCGTAGAGGACGAGCACAGGTAATGGGGCTGCCGACACCCCAGCTCTGAGCTGCAGGTAAGGCTTCACTGTCTGCTCCGGGGCTCCGCCATGCTAGAGACTACACAACATGTGGCTGTGGCCATGAACGTTTCTTCCTGCCCATCGTATGAGCTGTCTGGGGATGCCGTGCCTCGTGGCCACGGGGCGCTCCCATCTCGCTGTTTACCCCAGCACACGGCACACAGTAGGTGCTCAGCAGACAGGACTGCATGGAAGATGGGCTGCTGACATCCTCCCTGGCCCCCCAGGCCCATGACAACCCCAACCTCTAGCTGACCGGAGATCTCACCACGTTCCTAGCACAGATCCTACAGGTGGTGTCTCCGGGCTGGGGACCAAATGCCTCCCTTTAGAGCCTGGTAGCCAGCTGGGAGCCTTGGGAGGGGGGGCCTCACGGGGGTGGGTGGTGACTAAGGAAGTCTGGACAGCAGAGCACATGGCTTCTGGGAGCAAGCGAGTGCATGGGGGAAGGGGGAGGCGGGTGGGGGGCAGGCAGGGGGAGATGCGGGGAGCCAGGGCAGGGGGGAGAGGGAGGGAGGGCGGTTCCCACCTGTAGGACTGCAGAATGTCAATGATGCCGATATGCAGCAGCAGACGCTCGCCACGGCCGTTCACGGCGGGGATGCCGCCCATCCTGGGGGGGGGGGGGGCGGAGCGCATTCAGCACCCGCCCCCCCAGCCCACTCGCTCCCGCGGGGGCTGCGCCACTGGGACGGGGCCGGTCTCCGCTCCTCTCAGGCCAGCCACTGTCAGCGGGAGGCTGCGGACAGGCCAGCCCCGCCCCCCGCGTACACGCGCACGCACACCCATGCACGCGCACGCACACTCAGCCCGGGCAGGACCACCAGGGCTTCTGGGTGCCCTCGGTGGGGGGGGTTAGTGGTTTCACTCGGCTCCCCCATGCCCAGCCCAGAGCTGTTAGTGAGGTCACACAAGGCAGCGACTATCCTTAGGTCACCAACGACCCGCCAGGCTCAGGCCCCCGCAGGCCCCTCTCATGGCACTGCACGCCCTGGTGAGCTCACCTGCGCACCCCGCCATCCCCTGCCGGGCCCTGCGCAAACCCTACAAACACCAAGACGGTGGGAGGTCGGGCCAGCCCTGGAGGATTTGGCGGCTCCCCACCAGGCTGGCCCTGTGGGGGGCTGGCACCTGCTCCTCACCCGCCCCCCAGCGGCTGGCCGGGAGTGGCAGCCCCCCCCCCCCCCCCCCCCCCAGGATGGGCGGCATCCCCGCCGTGA